GGGGGTCCCAGGAGATCATCACAGTCTTTTTGGAAAATGTCATGCGGCCTGATCCCCCAGGGACATCACACGGCAAGCCGTGGCGGCCACACCGTAGACCAAGCTATTAATTCGGCCGATGCTGCGGCCAAATAATGGCTCTGATCCGGTGAGGTGGGGGCATCTTGCGGAAGAGCAATGATCGAGATGCCCAACACACCCGTGTTTATTTGCAGCCGCCCTGTCACGCGGCAGCAGGGCAGATGGGCTGCCACGCTCCGCCGCCATGGTCATCACCTAGGGGGAAGTAGAGACCTGGGCGGTGGACTTCCATGGACGCCGGACCCGGAAGTGCCCGACAACGAGAAGTCCTCGTCATCCTCCTCCCCGGCAAACGGAGCCATCCGCCCCGTTGGAATAGCGAACGTGAATGGCACCGCCTCGGCCATATCCTGGTCCCCCAAACACTCGAAGCAGAGGTGGTGGGGATCAGCGCCCGCTATTAAGCCAGGGCAGGAAGGACAGGTATGATAACTCTTTCTTCTTCTTTCAAACGTTTTACTTTCAGTTGTTGCTCGCTCGCTGAAGAGAAAAAGGATGACAGTCGGGAGGCGTAACCGCCTTATATACTGTGGGCCTGCACGCGCATTCAGGTAGGCTCGCCCCGATTGGCCAGCTACGTTTATGCAACTCAGTAGGTGAATGCTCGCATAGCATGGTAGAGAGTAGTACCCATAGAGTCCAGTAGAGGGCGGAGCCTGTGTGATATATAACTCCAAGTTCTAATATTGTATCTACCTGAAGAGGAATTTGGATCAGGCACAAGGTTACAGTGGATGCAAAGAAAATAAATACATAGTGTAATTACATATAATTAAATAGTGTTTATGTTTGTATTTTTCATAAATAGACATAAAACTTAGGCTCTATCCAAAATAATAGACTTTTGTTGAAAAAATTAAATGAAGGTTTTAAAATAGATAGCTTCAAACATCCAGGATTTTATTGTATGAAACACATAAAAGCACTAAGTCGGTTCTTCTTTATCCTTTATTTACAACAAAGAGGTTTAACAACAATTGCCATTAACAACAGAAACGTTGTACATTTCAAGGAGTCCTTTTAGAAATAAAATGTCTTTCTTTTAAAATGTCAAAGGTTTTTGCAGCTTGATGTTGTCCAATATTTGCCATATTGTTCAAATTCGATAACAATACGATTAAAGCATTCAGTCGATACTGATCTTATTGATGCTGGAGACCAGTCTGTTGTGGCCAGTGCTCTCTTCTTTGCTGCGGTCTGCTGGGGGGCAGCATCAGAGCCGGTGACACCAGCAGAATCAATAAACTGATCAGGAAAGCTGGCTCTGTCATCGGCATCAAGCTGGACACCTTTGAAGCTGTGGTGGAGAGGAGGACACTGAACAGGCTGTTGTCCATCATGGATAACCCCACCCCCTCTCCACCTGCAGCTCGACAGTCAACGGAGCTCCTCCAAAAGACTGCTGCAGCTCCGCTGTCACAAGGACAGATACAGGAACACATTCCTGCCCACTGCAATAACTCTGTAGCCTACAACAAATTACCTCTGGCTGGAAGAGAACTCACTTCTCCATAGCTTCTCTTGGATAACTGGACTTAAACTCACACTGTACATTTTACATTTATATTCCATTGAATATTCCATTCCTTACACACTTACAGCAGGGTAGGTAAGAATGGAGATACCAGCTCGAGTGCGCTAGAATTTGAAAATACACAGCCGGTGTCAGTACCAGTGTCACTGTCACTACCCGATCTGCAGCTCTGCCCGATCTGCAGTGCGCATGTGCGAGATGGTCCGCCATATTGGACAACTTCGTACGACAACCCAAGAAGGACACTTGACACAGTGGCTTTTGGCAAAGCTCAAAAAGAAAACTCGAGAGGGATGAGTTATTGTTATTACAACGTGACTTCAGTATTATTTAACAACTCTTTTCATTGGGTTCTTTTATTTGGGTTTAAGTAAATTGTCAGAACAAGTGAGAAATGGATTTAACTTCTGTTAGACATAATGCCATACATTTTTGCATACATTCACAGTAAATATGTATTCAGTATGATAGCTGTTTAACAGAAGTTAAATTCTTTTCTCACTTATTCTGACAATGTACTTAACCGCAAATAAAAGAACCCAATAAAAAGAGTTGTTAAATAATACTGAAGTCACGTTGTAATAACAATAACTCATCCCTCTCGAGTTTTCTTTTAGAGCTTTGCCAAAAGCCACTGTGTCAAGTGTCCTTATTGGGTTGCCGTACGGAGTTGTCCAATATGGCGGACCATCTCGCACATGCGCACTGCAGATCGGGCAGAGCTGCAGATCGGGTAGTGACACTGGTAGCCCGAACATATCTGGTACTGACACCGGAACAAATCTGCCACTTCCTTACAGAGCCCCTCCTCCAACACACACGAACGCGCACATGACCAATGAGGGCACGAGATAAGTTTGTGCACAGAGGAAGGCTGACAGGCAGGTAGGCTATGGGGGTTATTCCCTATCTTTATTCAAGAGCGTGGTATTTAAATTTGAGAGCATACTTTATGTATTTATTTCCCTCAAACCCTGTCCTCACACTCAAATAGTGCCTGCTTGCACTTAGATTTGCTCTGCTTGTGCTCAAACTGTACGCTTGCACTCAGATATATTGCTGCTTAAAGATTTTTTCTGCTCTCCAGATTTATTCTGTGCGCGCTCGAAACTTTTGTGCAACAATCCTGTCAAAATCCCTCAACCAATAGGAGGCCTGGTGTCCTTGCGGGTGCGTTCGCTTTACTTATTACAGCGTCCCGTAAGGGCGGTTACTCTTTGGTTTATAAACTCCCGCCCTCCACGGCTTTATAACATAACATGTACTTCACTTCGCTGTACAACTTTTTTTTTGGGGGGTAAACACAGTTAGTATATGTTTATAAAACGGACAAGTCAAATCAAGCAATCTGATGTTTCTTAGCCGTGATATAATGAGCGTATATCCCGGGTATAATTGTAGTTACTTTTCACAAGTCAGTATCCCTCCGCGTCTGAGAACCGTTACAACTGTTACATTACGTCCGTCACGAAACTAACTAACTAACAAAGCTTAAAATGGAAACATTTAAGGTTAATTTCGACCTCCGTGGTGCCCTTACTATGGAGGTGTGGATTGAGAAGTGCCTATCTCCAGAAAAAAAAGCACCTAAACGACGACAATGCTGTCTGTCTAATATGTTCTCCAGCTGTTATTGTTGTTGCATAGCAACCACCTCGCACTGTGTTTTGTGCAGAAGGCAACGGAGGGACTATTTTATTTTGAACATCATTATTTAATAATAAAAACTATTTAAATTGGAGTGTATATTTTTCTTTCACATTGCCAGCCACACGTAGTAACCGTTTTATAAATGCAATAGCTCACTTCAGGCCGTGATATACGAATATATATATACAATATGGGGTTGTCGACACTCCGCTTCGCGTCGGGCCGAACCAAGCCGTAGCACAACAGTCTGGAGGAAGAAGTGGGCCGGTCGGAAAATTCACTAGCAATCCCCCCCTCCCCCCGTTGACAATTTACTAGCGATAACGAGGGCCGGTCGAGATTCCCGGGCTGATTTTTAGTCCCAGTACGCCACTGAACATAGCTATTATGTAAGATGCTGGTATATATATATATATACTAACTGTGCTTCCCCTCCCCCCAAACAAGTTGTAAATCAAACAAGTGAAGTACATGCTATGTTATAAAGCCGTGGAGGGCTGGAGTTTATAAACCAAAGAGTAACCGCCCTTACGGGACGCTGTAATAAGTAAAGCGAACGCACCCGCAAGGAACACCTGGCCTCCTATTGGTTGAGGGATTTTGACAGGATTGTTGCACAAAAGTTTCGAGCGCGCACAGAATAAATCTGAGAGCAGAACAAATCTGTAAACAGCAATATATCTGAGTGCAAGCGTACAGTTTGAGCACAAGCAGAGCAAATCTAAGTGCAATCAGGCACTATTTGAGTGCTGAGGACAGGGTTTGAGGGAAATAAATACATAAAGTATGCTCTCAAATTTAAATACCACGCTCTTGAATAAAGATAAGGAATAACCCCCATAGTAGGCCATCCAGTTATTTTAGCCGGGCCGGCTAAAATGATTGGTCGTGCTTTTTACAGCTCCACGGCTTCCACAGATGAATTTTTTGTATGTATTTATTGTCAAAGCATTTAATATATTCATTGCTATCGGGATGTTAAGAGCATTCCATGGAATATAACAAAAAGTGTTTCTGAAGTGAATTACCTACCCCACCTTTAATGTATAATATCCTGCTCTATATTTTGTTTACTGTAAATTTGTATTTCAACATGTATATTTTCTACTTTCGTAAAGCTATTTTATTTCTATTTGAGATATTTACATTTTGAATTGTTTATTTCTAGTCTTTTTTTTTTTTTTCGCAGCATGAGGTCTAAAACCACCAGACTAAGGGACTTTCATCCCACAGGCCATACGAATGTTTAACACCTGAACTTTTGAAAGAACATAAATAACATTCATCTGTTTGCAACTCACATAATATATCATATATATATATATATATATACTCCAATTACTATAGACTATTCTGCACAGTTTCGATCATATTCTGTTTCTATTCTATTTTATTTTTATTTACTTGTACTATTGTATCTGTTTTATTGTGTTGCACTCATAGACTGTATATATAAATATATATGTTGCACTGTTGGAGGAGCCTGTGACCTAAGATTTCCATTGTCTTAACTACACTGTAGCTATGCACACATGACAATAAAAGCCTTGAAACTTTTAATTTCTCTAATGTACTACTATGCCTTGTCTTTTTATGCTGCTGCAAAGCAAACATTTCCCACATTGGGATCAATAAAGTTAGACTACTTCTTATCTTAGCTCAGCCCCTCTTATCTCAACCATAGACTGCGAAGGACGATAGACTCCAGTCCCCGCTCCCCTCTGTATTGACCGCGCATGCGCCAGTATGAGACACGCCTCTTCTTCTATCTGGAAGCCATGTGGCTGTGGTTGGTAAATAAATAGCTCTAGTAATTGTAGTCTTTGCTTTTATTCTGAATTTCGGAAACAAACCCTGACATTGCAGCGTCGAGGCAGAAAACATGTCTTCCAGCGTGGTGGACCTCGAGGCGCAGGTGGAGTCGGTGCTCGGCGCGCTGGTCAAAGCTGCGACGGTGGAGTTAACGAAGCTGTTCGAGAGCAGATACCGTGCCTCGACGATGGATGTGGGCCGCGCTGATGACAATAAGCACAATAAAACACAGGATACTTTATCGACTGGGGACACGACACGCAGCATTGGAGTGCAAGTGGACGAGGACATGTGTCCGCTGTTTGAATTTACTGGTGCGTATGTTTGCAGCTTTAAATGTTTTCACTTCCTGTTTACGTCCATGGCTAGGCTACATGATTATATTATACATCCATGGGTTATATGCACGAGGAGAATGCACGCTATATCCTTAAAATGCAAAGTACAATTAGTAAGATTATATTCAGTGCAACTTAAAAAACATGTAATGTTTTTATTTAACTGTTGCCCAAAATCCTGCATGGTGTTCCCCATTGCTAACCCCAAGTGTAAAGGAATGTATGGGTCTTAACCCCTCCCCCTTCTTCTCCACAGACCCCCCTCCGCTCTCAAATGGAGATTGTCTGGGGGAGTGTAGCGAGAAGGAGGTGCAGGGGAGCTACACTGCCTCACAAACCTTCCTGTTTGAAGATAATGGCCAAGTTCACCCAGAGAGGTCGCCTCTGAAGGAACAGGTCAGTGAGAATTTACAGGGGTGTAAATCAGCTGTGGAATGAAGAGGAACAGGCTGAATGAAACTGTAAACAGCTTGATTGGCTCATCATCACACCCTGGCTCGTTGTTTATCATAGCAGTATTCATTTTTTGTTTAATGTTGCCTCAAGGATGATCTTCATTGTTCCCATTCCATCCAGTGTACCGCAAACATGCAAATCGTGTTTGTTTCTTCTTCAAACAGGTTGTGGCAGAGACTGTAGATATGGTGGAGGTGAGTGATATTAAAGAGGAGCCTCCAACTGATGGTGATCCTCACACAGAAGTTGTTTTACAAGGTAAGGAACATGAAACACACGCTGGCAAACACAAGAATATTGCAAATGGGGTTTAGCTGCAGTAGATTCAAACATTTCTTACTAAATGTACTGTACATTTTTTGTAATAAGCACATTTTACCAGTGGGAGTTGCAATTGAGAAAAGAGTAGGAAGTATTCACATAATCCATGTTTGTTAAGAGCAGACTGGGCTCTGGTTTCAGACAGAGGGTGAAAAGAGGTACCGCAGGATGAGAAACATATAGGTTCACTGATGGAAATAATTTGAATTATGATTGTTTAAAGCAGGGGTGTCAAACTCAATTTCATCGCGGGCCACATTAACATTATGGTTGCATCAAAAGGCCGGTTGTAACTTTAAGACTATATAAAAAATACATATATAAATATTCAATATATATAAAATAACGTATTATATTACATTATTGCCTCTGCATTGGATTATTTTCGGATAGGGTAATAACTAGGGATGTCCCGATCACCTTTTTTTGCTCCCGATCCGATTCCGATCATTTGATTTTGACCTCCGCCTTGCAAACATTGCATCTGGCTGTTACACTGCCTTTGCTTTCAATTTTATAATACTTCCAAACTCCTGACATTTTCTCTGTCCCGACTCCCGAGTCACCAGCTGAACGTAGCCTCTCGTTAGCTTACTGCTACTATTAGACACTGCGCCCACTCTGTTGCCAGGTTTGAGAGAAATAAGCAACCAGATCTATGAAAACAAGCCCAAAGAAAGCAACACATACATGATGTTGTGTAATTTTAAACCAATACTAAGTCCTCAGGATGACTTTAAGACGTGAACATGGTCATTTTTGTTTTGTAACATTAAATAAAAGAATACAAATATTTTATAAATAAAAAATCCCGATCCCCGATTTTTTTCTCCCGATTCCGATCTTTTGAAAATCACGTGATCGGCTCCGATCCCCGATCACGTGATCGGATCGGGACATCTCTAGTAATAACTTCATAATTAACTACGTCTGAAAGAAGAAGTCTAGGGCAAATAATTGCAAGTCTTTTCAGTGAGAATGTCATAAAATGTTTTTTTTTTTAAAAGTGTAATTCTGAGAAAAATTTAAAAATCTGAGATGCATTGTGGGACATGTAGTTTATGGGCAACGTGCTTCTGTAAATCGGCATGTAACCGTATAATAAACATATTATATTCTTTGCAAGCTCTTGTGGGGCCACAGAAAATGAAGCCACGGGCCGGATTTGGCCCCCGGGCCTTGAGTTTGACACCCCTGGTTTAAAGCTTTTTACACAATTGTGCTGTTGAAGAATAACTTTAATACCATAAAGTATGGATGATTTAACATGAGATTACACCATCCATATGCAAAAATATAGTCTTTGAACTATCAGGCTCTACCAAGGAAATGTATCTGTGACTACAGAGCAGTAACTTGACACCACTCTTATACAGCTGAAAGTGAAACTAAAATACGGCACATGTCTGATAGGAAAAACTGCAAAGAAACCCCAAACATCACAAAATAAATATTGTGAACTGAACACACTTTAAAACAAGTTGTTATGGTCTCCTGCACAGATTTGTGATGCTTCAATGATAGAATATGAGGCTGCACATCATATCAGTGCATCTACTTGACTTTTTGTTAGACATTTCACAAAACAAATATACACAACTCGGCCACAGAGGAATTCAGGAAAGGCCGCTACACCACCCAAGCTTACAGTCAATTGTGTACTTATGTGTTAAACAAATGACAGAGAAGAGAGAAGTTTAACCTTTAGAGATTTACTATTTCTAAAAAACAATCTCTCTTTAGCAGTTGGAAAACAGATGGCAAGACAAGTCAAAATTAGATTTTTATTTTACCTTTATTTAACCAGGATAGGTCTCATTGAGATTAACAATCTATTTTTCAAGCGAGTCCTGGCGCAAGAATGGTAACAGCACAGTTAGCCAAAGCATTTACAGACACAGCGACCTGCTTCAAGGTCATTTAGAGTTGCTTTGAATTTGTTTAGAGACACCAGCTCTCTGAGTTTCAGCTCAATTTGCACCTGGTTCCAAGCCACAGGAGCAGCGTAACTGAACGCCCTCTTCCCCAGTTCAGTACGGACTTTTAGTACAGTTAGATTAAACAAGTCAGGGCCGCCCCTGGTCAACTTGGGGCCCCAAGCGACATTGTGAGATGAGGCCCCCCCCCCTACCGACAGGAGTACAACAAATGTTTTTGGAAACAAAGTAGGCTACTTTGCAAATATAATTCCTGTTTATTATTATTGTCAACAGTTACTTTTGTATACAGTGAGGTAAATGGTAAATGTGCATGTATGTCGTTCACTATGCGTTTACAGGTGAATACGTCTGCATTTCCTGCCGAATACTAGCCTCAAAAAGATTACAATATAATTAATGCAAATAAACTACTTCTACTACTAATAATAATCATAATCAATTCAATAATATAAATACTATATTATTGTATTGTAATATTGTTGTAATAGTCAAGACAAAACATGTTTATTACATGATCAAAAACTGATATTTCTTAAATCTGTATTCAAACGTAGTTCCCTCTGTCAGCAATGTATCAACAACTACTCACACATTTCTCTCAGTATTTCTCTGTGTTGTGGTTGACATGATGATGACTGTTAGGAGTTAAGGGGAGAGGCTGAGCGTCACCATGAAATGTGCAAATTGACATACAAATGAATAAAAGGGGGAAAAATGCTCCATGTTTTTTAGGCTGTAAACTTTAACTGTTATGTAAGCCAACTAGACAGACAGTGTATCACTCTTCCTCCTGTACATTAGCAGATAAAAGGCATAACATGCTTAAATGAATGTTAAATAAAGAATGCTGGAAATAACTGCATCTCCATTAGCCTGTATGCTATGCAGAGACTGCCTTCTTCATGTCGTGAATTGCAGCTGATGTTTTAATATGGCAATTGGCAATTTGACTTGTACAACATTCGCAAGTTGTACATTTGACTCATACAATAACCCACCTTCGAGTGATGCTCTAGTTTCTTCATGTTTTGTTTTTTTTTCCCTCTTGCTTGCGCTGGACTGAAACTGTCTTTTCACCGACATCTCTTCACCTGCACTAGTGGCCGTATCAAAGCCGTGATTGGTCAGATGTTGATTCATTGCAACGGTGTCGGGTTACAGACGTGCTCCCCTTGTCACCTCTCACTCTCACTCTTGCGGGGGGGGTGTGCGGAGAACTGCGCACAGCAGCTGAGGCCCTCTGGGCGGGGCCCCCTGTGCAAGGCGGGGCCCCATGCAGCCTGCGTGATTGGCCTGTAGGGAGGGGCGGCCCTGAAACAAGTCCTCGGAGCGAAGCCGATAAGATCCTGTGGATTTCTGGTTTATGTAGATCCTTAGAAAGGGAGCACCAAGAATAGCCTTATATATAAGGATGTGCCAGTGTTTCAATCTATGCGTGGTCAGGGAAGACCATCCAACACGAGCGTATAGGTTGCCGTGGTGCGTCAATGTTTTGAAATTTGTGATGAATCTCAGTGCACCGTGGTAGATGGTATCCAGCGAGTGAAGGCACTGAGAAGATGCATTCATATAAACCACATCTCCATAATCCAGCACAGACAGAAAAGTTGCAGACACTATTTTTTTTACATTTTTTCAAAAGTTCCAGAATGTGTGGCTTAAAAGAAAGAGAATTGTCAATTATAATTGCAAGATACTTATACTGCGACACAGATTCAATCTCCGATCCCTGAATATTGCTAAAGTACACTTGCCACACCTAATAATCTTAACCATATACAGCAGATTTTGTTTTGTTCAAACTGAATTTTTATTTAAAATGTCCTATATATAAAGAGAGGACATCATGGCAGCGATGCCTTTGGGCAATACTTTTACTTTCCCCTCACCACTAGACAACTGATTAAAGACTGCAGCCCTGTTTGTTATCATTTACCCATGAACCCCTTACACTAATCTAATGGAAATTAAATATGTTGGTCCTATGTTTGATTAAGCACTCTGGTCACTTTACATTAACAAAAAATGTATGCCGGTGCAGTTGAAGCTCGATGAAATAAATAAGGTGGGAATGAAACATATAATTATAGGTGCATCTTAATCTGTTTCAGTCTCTGCAGCGACATGGACTGAGGAACCAAGACACGAGTCTCCGCACTGCTCCCCAGTAAAAAAGATGCCTCTCATTATCCATCCAGATATAATTTCTGGGAAGAAGGTTACGTTTGTGTGCCCGTTGATTCTCAAGCCTGGGTCTCCAGCCCTCACACCGGACATTCCACAGAAGCCAATCAAAACGGAGCCTCTGCAAGTCTGCATCAGCACCGCTAACGGCATCGCCTACAGCCCGTCCCCGTCTGATGGAGCTGCCACTCCTGCTCAGGTTGGGGCTTTGGAAAACATCCACACGCCAGAGGAGACGAAGAACAGCCTCGACATTAAACTGAAACAGTCTCATCCAGACAAAAAGCTGAAGCACGGCTGTGTGGTGCAGCTGGTGGACGTGTTGAGGGGGCCAGCATCAGAGGCGAAGCTTCAGGATGCTGTGGCCAAAGGTAATGGTGATAACCGTAAAAACAATTATCCTCTGCCCAAAGACCTCCGCCGCCACCAAGGTCTTCACACCGGCCGCCGCCTCTGTTGCTTCACCCCCTGTGAAAACGGTATCTGGCGGCTTCAGGAGGTGGTCGCCCACTCCCGCGATGGATACCCTTGCAGCAACTGTGGGAAGACGTTCAAGCGAAGGAAGATTCTACGGCGGCACGAGCGCTTCCACACCGGAGAGAAACCCTATGCATGCCTGAAGTGCTCGAAGACGTTTGCACTGAGGAAGAGCCTCCGGCGCCACTTGAGGTTCCACACTGGGCAAAGGCCACATAATTGTCCGAAGTGCGGCAAAAGCTTCCGTTTGCGAGAAAATCTGAAAGCACATCTGAGGTTTCACACTGGGGAGAAACCGTTTGACTGCGCCATTTGTGGCAAGACGTTCAGGATCGTCAGGAATCTGGAGAAACACAAACGGGGCTGTTGTGGAGTCTTTGTACCTTCATTCAGGACAATTGCTGGCCTGTAGCCGTGGAAACAGATGTCAGTGGCTGGTTTTGGTTGTTGTATCACTTTCTACCTCAGACAAAAAACACTATCACTTTTCTAGATGTAATGTTTGGACAAAGAAGTTAAAGCTATGAGAAGAATTGAAACAATCTAGTTTCATTCCAGAAAGAATTTAACAACCAACATGAAGAGGTGCATTATGATCTGGCTGTTTTTACATTTGTACCTATACTACTGATTAGTTTTCTTTGTTTATTATGCCTTGCCATATTTTGCCTATTATGATTTTGAACCAATAGTGAGACTGAACGGTGTGAGTTGTTCCGCAACATGACACTTTTCTTTAGATTTCAAATCCCTACCCATTACCCTATCCCTATTGGACCTTATAACCGGAAAATGATATACATTAGTCAACGGCAAGAGACAAAACATGTTTTGATCCTGTTTACATTTTGTTGTGAATGACACATTTGATGTTTTTCATGTGAGAACCTACTGGGACAAAACATGGGATCTTTGCTTCATCAGGAGATGTTGTCATGTGTTTTATACTATACTTTTTTTCACTTTATACTCATGTCTCTTACCAAAAAGGTTTAGTTTTATATTTCTGTTATGATGACTGAATGTATGTAGATGTCCTTACCTTCAAGACCAAGATGTCAAAGCCTATCCATGCTGACTATAAGAAATCTAGTTCTTATGTTAAAACCCTTTGGAATGACAAAGGTACTTATGACCAAACAAATTGGATCACATGTTGTCTTTTTTTGTTAATGAATCTAAAAAGTTGTTAGATTTATTTTTTAACTTCTGATACTAAATAACATTGTGTTTTAATAAAAAAAAATGGTGACCTGTATTTTGTTGTCTGCACCCTTGAACAGCTCTCTCATAATCACCCAATAGCCTATACAAGATTTATATTTTAACTAATGTATTAATTGATCGGTTAATAGACAAATTACTCTAGCATTATAGTTCTCCTATGAAACCCTTTTAAACGTATGGTTAATTAACTGCATGTCTTAAAATCTAGACAATGTGTAATTCTTTGAATAAGACTCATATGCAGTGGTGGGAAATGTAAGTAATGTAACGTTGTCAGAAGGAAAAAGGGAGTACACAGGGAAGTCATGGTTTAAAGAGGAGGAATATATAGTAAAATATCATGATTTGTTATCTTATTTATGCTTTTTTAACAATCGTAATCTGTTAAGAAACAAGAAAGTAAGGCTTCAACATAAATATACTGGAGCAAAATAACAAAACTGTCTTCCAAAATGTGGAAGAGTATCGGTGTAAAGTGGGGTCAAATATATGTTTGAGTTAACACCAGAGTTCCCATCATGCTTTGGGTGATGTAAACAGGAAGTAGTCAGTTAGCTCCGCGCTACGGGAAGCGTAGCTATTCATGTGCTGCATTTTTCAACCTAATATATACATTTGTGTTAATTAACACCATGACAAGTAATGCAAAATTAGCATGTTTTGTTTAGCTCTCACTGTAAAAAATGTTTTAGTTGCAGACAACAAATAATGTGATTGATATGATTGATCCTGAACGTCATATCTCTGGACATGGGAGAAACGGAGAGGGTACGTTAAGTGAGTAAATACATGTTGTATTTTCAGCAAAGCTCTGATTCGAGAAGATAATATGTTTCAGTTTATTTGGATAGTTGGACAGGAACCAATAACATCACAGCTCTGTGTCATGTCACGTTAGTCGAGCCATGACGGTCTGGACTTTGAGCACTTTTATTGCGCTGTTACTCGTGTTAATAGTTAGTCAGAATACACTTAGTGGTAGAAGGACTGTTCAGTGACTTGACTTCAACAACATATTCTCAAACTAGCAACAACTCAATTCAGCCCAGAAGAGTTCAGATATTTACTGTGAATTTGTTTTACACTCTGTAATAATGTCAATAAGTAAGCAATTTTATTTCTTATTTGTGTTCACTCTAATAATGACATTTGGGCAATTGTTGTCTGTATTCAACTTTAAAACTGATATTATATTTAGAGACTTTCTTTGCTTAGGCCACGCCCACCAGGAAGTACATTTATAAACATGCAGCAGTGCTTTCGCTTTACGGAAGATAGCAGACAAGTTTTACTGAGGTTGTGTTACTCAACTTTAACTTTTAAGGTAGGAACCCTTTTGCTGTTTAACTGCCAAGATCATACCTAAGGCCGCTAAGGCTCACTGGTTTTTCAAAACAAACAAGTTTTACAAGGCAGCAGCTGAGTGCTGGACAAACGCTGCAGTTAACCCCTTACTGTCCCCTCTTTTCATGCTTTCTTTGAACAAATAGGGATCAAGTATGGAAGATACGGATAAATTAAATCTTGAGGAGATGCTGATGTGCCCGGTGTGTCAGGACACGTTCAAGGACCCCCGACAGCTGTCCTGTGGTCACACCATTTGTATGGTCTGTCTGGAAAACATGATGGATCACTCCTCAGACGGCCCTTTCCGCTGCCCAGACTGTAGGGAATCGTTTGGACCCATCGTAGAGGTGCAGAAGAGCTACGCCCTGGCCAATATTGTAGAGCATTTCAGGGTGATCAAGAGGAGGAGGGTATGTGCTATAATGACCGTGACACTGTTGAGAATAAACATGGACAAATGTCTCACAAACCTTTCTCTTTTTTCAAAGCAGGAGGAGCAGACAACAAATGTGTACTGTGACTGCTGCCCGGAGGAAAAAACCCTGGCCTTCAAAACGTGTCTGAAGTGTGAGGTGTCGCTGTGCAAAGAACATGTCAAGGACCACCTGGAGCTCCTCGTGTTCACCGGACACCCTTTGGTTAGCCCTCTGGGGGACCTCCTGGAGAGGAAATGCCCACATCACGAGGACAAGGTGCTGAGGTACTACTGCAACGCGTCCATGCGCTACATCTGCAACGTGTGCACACTGGAGAGCAAGCAGCACAACCTGGCAACCGAGGCCTCCTCTGTCCTGCGAAGACAGCTGACTGTGAGCTTCAGAAACACACTGTATTACATGAGAAACATCTTGGCATCATTATGTTATTAGGAACAAAGTTGGATTTACAAAGGAAGTTTGTTGAACATTTCTTCTGGGAGTAGCACACGGGCAGGAGATTCCTGTTGATGCATGTTGTGCAGAGAAACAGGATTTTCTGGTTCCTCAGAATCTCAAAGTCTGACTGAAAATCTTTATGCGATCTATGGGACTCATTTCTTTTTTTGTGCGGATCCCATAGAATCCAAAGATGCAAATATGTAGGCTGTACATGTTTTACTCATTGAAACATATTGCTTATATGAAAATATAGAAAAAGCAGATACATCATATGCTGTATATATAACTGTCAGATAGTTTAGAATAAGATGATTTATTTTTCAACTACTTATTCTAAGACACTTCAGGCAAAAACATAATTTTCATGAAAAGATAAAACATTTTAAATTATTTTCATAATATCTGTAGCAAACAAATATGTTTTTTTAAGTTTGGAGAATAACATGTGTGGGGTGGAATATCTCTGCTGCTCCAATGTACTTTATTCAAAATGGTATTTTTTTAAACACATATTTATCCTTTAATAATTCAGTAGTCCATATTGCGATTTCAATTAATTGTGCGGGCCTAATTTAGACAATTGGATTTTCAGGGCTTTTAAGTCGAACTGTGTTTGTGTATGTATTTAACAGGAGTACATGGACCAACGCTTCGAAATGCTTAAGGCGCAAATTGCAGAATCCAGAGACAATTTGCAAAAAGAAATCCTACGTCAAGTAATCTTTGTTCTCTTAATATCTGTTATTCTTCAGTTTGTTTTCAACACTTCAGATGTAACATGTATTTCCCTCCTGACAGAAACAGAGAGTGATCCCCGCCGCCTCGCCACTCAACAGTGTCACAGTGGTGCTGCTCTTCCTGTGGTTCATCGTTCTGTATTACGGTAACAGATGATAAACCCTAGAACTTGTTGTCTTGTGTGTGTACGTGCACCCACTGATGTCTGTCCTTGTTTCCCACCAGCCTACAACTACTCTGTGGAAAACCAGATGCTAACAGAGGCGCTGGAAAAACAGCAGAACCGTGTGCATCACGTTTATTCTACCATTGAAGGTAACAAGAGAGGCATGCAGAAAGAAGTTGTAGGTTAACATTACGTTTCATTTAGCTGACGCTTTTATCCAAAGTGACCTATAATAAGTGTATTCAACCATAAAGAAACAAACTCAAAAAGCAAGAAATGGCTACTGCATTAGCTTTAAAAAAATAAATAAACCTTACTTTTTGTATTGACAGTCAACACAGGTTGTTTATCAGTGGACTAACTGCTGTCCTTATATCAATAGGGAGCTTGTTCCACCATTTCCTTATTAACAAAAGCTCATTGTGGATTCAACAACTTTAAAAACAATAACTTGTGGGTTAGACTTAGAGTATATTTCCCTAAATCTCTAAATATTCCTTTATTGGCCTAATAATAACTCCCTATATTAATCTTAGTGCAAAACCTAAATGTGTAAGATACAATTAATTTTGTGACATTTTCTCAGAGTATGAGCAACTTTCTGTCCGATCTGATGCTCCACCTAAATGGAGACCTCCTTAAGAAGTTAGTTGATTTGTATAATCATTTATTTTTCCTCTTCGTAGAACTCTTGGTAGGACATCCAATGAAAAGACACAAACCTCTGGAGACAGGAGAAGCCACAGGAGACGATCTGATAGAACATTGGAATGGAAATGTCAGTTGAAGGCAATTGAAGAGAACAATTTGTTTGTGTTGGAATACATTTGCTATCCTGATGGAGGTGCTATAATCTGTCTGACTATGAAGAAAACCATTGTCTGCCTTAAAGAGAGATCAGACAAAGATTGTGTTGCATTTTAACATCCTGGTTTTGGCCATATACGTATGGGATATGATTATTCTCGTGACTTGTCATGATTCTAAAATGATCCGATTTGAGGCTGGTCTGGATCATTTCTGTAATGGCTAAGTTGCTTCAATATTTGAAGATTCACTTTTGATTTCTGGCTGCCTTAATTGTGCCTCGTTTACTACTCTGGCTTTGGCTTGATCAAATCTCATTTCCTTTGAGTAAAGTCCTGTTTTAAGTACTACAGTAACACAGCTTTAAGAAACGAAGTCAAGAGAGAGAACACTCATTTGAGCACACCTGCTGTTTTATTAAGAAAACATTTAAGTCGAGCATTTTTTAACAACAATGAAGAGAATGTTTTACAAAAAAAGGGAAAGGCAGCATCAAACCAAAACGGCCACTGTTTCAGTCCTAACCAAGGTATACACAGTGGAACATGTTTTTCCTTAGCATGTAGTAAAGACAGAATTGTTAGTTCAGACATAAAACAACATTTCAGGCATTTCAAATCAGTGAGAACTCTACAATCATGTCTTAAACTGCTGGGAAAAGGTTGAAATGGTGGTCCAATGTTTTACAATAAACAAGTATAAAATGACTTCATTTGAAATAAAAAAACTGAGAGAATACCAGACTAACTTTGATAATTTATTGTGATGATCTTTTCTTTAGCTGCCTTGACGTCTCAACAAAAAGCTGTACACATAATCAAACATAACACTACATTATTTCAAAAATATTAATATTGAATCCTTTTAGTAGCATCTACTTGTAACTGTCAGACTTGTAGTAGAAATCAGAGAAATGGATGTTTCTGTGCTGCATTGGTACTGCAGTCGTCTTTCAACTGTTAACACGTGTCCTATTTTGTTTTGATGATGTGCAGCAGCTGCTCTCTATTTCACCATGGCCTGATTCCGGAATGAGCACCACGCCCTGAATATGTTTCTGAAAAAGAGAAAAAATACATTTTAGAAAAAGTTTTTCTTTTATACACTTCTGAACAAAATCTTGAGACTTCGGGAACAATGACTCTTTTCGCACTGATGGATCGTAACGAGGTTGTAAGTAGAGCTTCAAAATGCAAAAAGAATAGAGAGCAGGCAATTCAAACTCAAAAGTTTAAGACCATAAAAAAACAGAACTTAAAGTGTCAAAAATTAACTGAGTAGTGAGGATCCCCACTGTTGTTGTTGATAACTTCAAAAATGTGTTTCGATGTGAGTGTTTCCTGGAGGCTGGTGGAGAGGATGGCTTCACAAAGGGCATCCACGGTCTGGAACTGCCTCCGTTTTTATAAACTTCCCTTCCATCCATCCCCAAACGTTCTCAATGGGATTTAGATTAGGGGAACACCAAGGATGGTCCAAAAGAGCGGCGTTATTCTCCTGGAAGAAGTCCTTCATTAGGCAGGCGTTGTGAACTGCAGCGCTGTCCTGTTGAAAGACCCAGTCATCACAAACTAGGCCCTCAGTCAAGAGGGACGCCCGCTGCAACCTCTCCACATAGCCAGCTGCCGTTTGACGCCCCTTCACAACCTGAAGCTCCATTGTGCCATTGAAGGAAAAAGCACCCCAGATCATGATGGAGCCTCCACTGTGCCGTGTAGACAACATCTCCAGTGGGATCTCCTTGTCATGCCAGTAACGTTGGAAGCCATCCACCTTTCAATGTCCCATGTTTGGTGCACCCTTGCAAAGTCCAGACGGGCAAGTTTGTGGCGTGGGAAGAGACGTGGCCTTCGAAGACGTTTTTTGTTCTTTAAGCCCTTCTCTCGCAGACGCCATCTCATGGTTATTGGGCTGCAGTCAGCATCCATAATGGCCTTAATTTGGGTCGAGGATCGGCCTGTGTCTTTACGAACAGCCCGTAGGATCCTCCGGCTCAGCGCAGGTTAATTTGTTTTGGGTCTATCGCTTGACTTTTTTGGGCCATAACCCTCTTCTTTTAAGAAATGTAAAATGACCGTCTTACTGCGTCCAACCTCGGCAGCAACAGCGCATAGGGATGGGTACCGAGGCCCGGTATGAAAGGGGTCCCAGGGCTGAATTATTAAAGACAGTGGTACCGTTAAGCTCCAACGTTATCGGTCTTTTTATCGGTACTGGAGACATTTAAAAAATATAAGTCATGTATTATTGCTACACAAACATTATATTGCAGTTTTAGTTTCGCCAACTCCGTTACTAATACGCAAAAAGACTGCAAAATGCGTCTGTGATTATTTTTAGTATTTTTGATCTTTCCAATCCAGACGAGAGATCTCTCTCTCTCCCCCGCCTGTGTGGGAGGGGGCGGGGCAGTTTACACACACTCAGCTGCTACATGCAGCAACACACACACGGAGGAGATGGCGGAGAGAACGCGCTCCGAGGTGTGGTTAAACTTTACCCGTGTCGATGTGGACAATGCTCGTTACCTAAAGTGCAATAAGAGTTTAGAATGTAAGGGCGGTAACACGAGCAATTTGTCGAAACATCTTGCTAAAGTGCTCCACATTCAGACGGAGGAATGCACCGTCTTCGACTATCTTTCTAGTAGCTCTGTAGCTCCATCCACGAGTAACTTTTCCACGTCAGGTATGTTATGTATCCTTAATTTTCCTCCAGAAGAACCGTTAGGCCTTTTGCAGCATGCCTGTATGCCCCATCTGTGTTGCTCTGTGCCACTGTGTTACTGCAGAAAATACTTACAGTTCTATAAGTTCACATTATTTACAATTTGTTTAATTTACCTTTTTCTTTTTTTATTTAAAACAACCGATAAGAGTACCGTTAAAGGACCGGATTGATAAGCGGTATCGATAAAAGCAGTAGTACCGTTAGAACCTTCATGATACCCATCCCTAGTTACGATAGGCCTTGCTTGTGCAGCTCAACAATCCTGCCACGCGCAAAGATAGAAAGCCTTTTTGCCTTCGCCATCAGGAGGTCATGACAGAGTAAAAACCTGAGTGAAAATTACATGACATTTTTGCGCAGATTTTGACTTTTTAAATAAGGCTATGGTCTTAAACTTTTGATCGACCGATGAACAGCCTGTTTGAGTTTTCATTAAATTGCCTAGTCTCTATTTTTGGTCTCTTGTTCCCGTTTCTTCTTTTTGCATTTTGAAGCTCTACTGACAACCTGGTCACGATCCACCAGTGCGAAATGCTAATTCTTGTAATTTCCCCCCGGTCTTAAGATTTTGTTCAGGAGTGTATGTGCTGAAAGCTAAATTAAAAGCATGTTTATAGACGTGTACAAACCTGCAGTGAGTGGCCACACATTCGTTGCTGCAGTATTCCTTGTCCCAGTCGTCGCTCTCCACCGCAGGGTTGCTGCAGCCCGTCCTCACACACACACTCCCCACAGCCGCCACATCGCTGGACCCATTCACCTCCATGTCCTCCTGGAAAGCAGTTGGGAGAGCAGCATCAGCATGGCTACAGTACTGTGTTTCTGTACACTGATTTGGGATCATCGCAGTGGGTGATAAGATTATTCTGTGTAACTTCTTCAATGTTTTTGTTTTGTTCCTGGTGCACTACGGGACCATTTTAAGAGGTTACATTTCTAACAATTTATTGAGAATAATGCTATGCTTTATAAATAATTGAATCTTAAACCTATTGGTTATATATAATGGATCATATTCTATGTACTTAGTGGGAAACACTGCTCTGTAAGTATTAACCCTTTTTAGATACTTTTGGAATGTATTTCAATCAAAGAAGGACAATTCACCACATTTATGTTTCATTTGATGTTAAAACACAAGTTATTAATATCCACTCTGATTTAAAACTAACATTATAGTTGCAGCAGAATTGAGAAGGGATCAAATTTAACATTTTCTGACTTGAGGCAGAACATGGCCAACATTTCAACAACTTTGACCTGAACCTGAATAATATCCAGCACTTCTTAAAAATAAAGATTATGCTGCCACAACAGTGTGCTGCTAAAAAAGGTATTATTATTATTTGTATTCCATCATTTGATTATTTCAGTTTTATAAATCTATTTGTTTTTATTATTTCATGCGGTTTTACTACCATAACTGTTTATTATAGCTTTTTTCTTTTTGGTTTCAAATGATATTATTTTCTTCTTATTTTGTGGCTTTTCAGTCGTCTTTGAAGCACTTTGAAACACTTTGAAGCACTTTGAACTGTATGAAATGTGCTATAGAAAATCTATTTATGGATTTAATAAGCTAGCTTCAAAGAATGGAAAATCTAAAATTGTGAAACAGCCAATCAAATCAAAGAGTTACTTTTGGATAAACAAGCCTCACACATAAAGCATGTCAACAGATCATTTACCTCATCTGAGTGCAGCACCTCTGTGACCTCGTCGTCGTCCGCACTGCCCGACGTGTCAGCAGAGTTCACCTGCAGCGAGACCACCGCAGCCTGGGCGGAGGTAGTGGGGGTGGAGGACACGGCCATTGTGTTGGGGATCATAATGGGCAGGGTCTCTTTGCCCTGCAAGGACGAGGGAACTATTTTAATCTGGAGTGGAGGGGGAGACGTAGCCGCCACGCTCACAGGGAAGCCGGCCGAGGAGTTCCCCCCCTGCGGCTTGGCCTGTAACGGTGGAGGAGCGGGGGCCATTTGCTGGAGCCGGGGCGGGGGCGGCGCGTTCTGCATCTGCTGCAGCGGGGGCGGCTGACGAGAAGCCCCCGCCGCCACCAGGGAGGGGTGCAGAGAGCGGACCACCCCGGGCAACATGGTCACCACCTGCCCCCCCGCCTGCAGCAGGTGCTTGGGGATGATGATCTTGGTGACAGTCTGGGTGTGGGGGGGTCCAGCCGCTGGAGCCGGGGACTTGTTGGCCCCCGTGCGGGAACGCGTGGCCCTCTCCGGGACGTCCAGGATGATGTTGGAGGCGCAGATGTTGGTGATGGTGTTCTCCTCCAGGCTAGTGGCAATCTGGCGGTTGGCATGGTGACCGGCGTAAGGAAGGGCTGCAGGGGGCGGGTGGGACACAGGGGGAGGAGGGAGAGGGGCGGTGTCCATCTCCTCAGTGGCGGGCTGTGGTGAAGAAAAATAAGTGTTGCTATTGCTTTAAAGAAGGACATTTTATTTTACAAACGTCTTTAATGCCGTAGTTGGGATTAAACTATGGAGCTCATTACCAAATGATTTAAAGAGCTGTACCAACATCTTTAGTTTGAAGAACATTATGAAATAAGAATAATTATGGCCGTATAGCTCAGTTGGTAGACCTGGCGGCCCATGTTTGGTCCCCATACGGTGGACCCAAGGTTTGAATCCAGCCTGGGACCATTTGCTGTGTGTCTCCCCCTCCATCTCTCCCCTTATCAATGTCGCTAAAATAAAAAGGTACTGGATGCCCAAAACATTCTTTAAAAAAACACATATATATATACATTTTAATAATTACACCGTATCAAGATGTAACGTAATACTTCTGGTAGATTGTTGTGTTGACTGTCTTTTTATGTTACTTCCAAAGTTCACTTCCAGTGATGACAGACAAGATCATTTTGAGTGAGCTGCTGACCAATCAGAGCTCAGTGTGCGGAGTTTAAAGCGATCAAGTCATATTACAGGAGAAAGGAAATACAGAAAAACTGCCGTCGCAGGAAAGACGGCCGGCAAAAATCACCGACTGTGTGAACGTGAACATTAATAGAATATCACCTCCATCTTCAGAGCAATCTGACTATTATAACATTAGCGTTAAGAAAGCTTACTTAAATATCTGCCACAACATAAGTAACCGGATCAGAGTAACATTAAGTACAGTCCGCGGCATATCACTTCATAATGTATCATATATTTTCTTATCTGAGTCAGCTGAGCCGTATCGGGCCGTGCAACACTCACAGTGTCACATACTGTATGCAGAAGTATTATTTTAAGCAACACATTAAGTTGACGAAACACTCGAGACAAATGTAATTAAAGTCAGATCGTGTTTTAGACGGGGCCGTGATATCATAAACCTGTTAATGTACGCATTCAAACACTTGTTCTGTCACCAGCTGTATTCACCTTGCAGGTGCAGCTATGTGGCTTTGATCCTGGATAAAGTGTTTAAGTCATGGATGTTTAAAGTTTAACTTCTTCATATTTGTCTAATATTATAGTTGACTTTCCATTCAAGAAGTATGACGCTGCGCTGTCAGTACGCTTGTGATTGGTCAAATGTTGCTAACCCCGCCCCTTTCATGTGAACGCACACTCAGCCGGACAGAGAAACCCTGGCTTGAGTTACCGAGTTGATAACCAGCGTCGTAGGACCGCTTAGCGAGAGCGCGTTTGTTTTGGGTTAGTTAAGCCAGATAACTCAAACCTATCCAGGGTATGTTGAACTGGATTCGTAGTACAGGCCTCTGGAAGATTGTTGACATCCTCCTGGATCGAATTTAGTTATTTTACATTCACATTATACTTTTTGTAATTTGGATTGTCTATGTTGTAAATGTATTATCTTTTTTAAGGTATACCCACAACACCAATTGCACATCTGTCAATCCTGGGAGAGGGATTTCTCTGTTGCTCTTTAACACATAACTTTAACCCCCCCATTCATTGTGGGGTTTCTGTACACACTGTATCACCCCTGAGACAAATGTGTTATATTTCTTATTGGGCTATACAAGTCAAATTTGACATGATCTTACCTGTGTGAGCTGGTTGGCTTTATACGCTGCCAAGGCTTTCAAATACTCCTTCTTGGCTGCATCAGTCTTTCTCTTATACACCTAGTGGAGACAAGTACCACCATTATAAATCATATTTCTCTCCAATTAAACTTATGTTGTGTATATAAATATGTGTTCCTATACCTGTTTCTGTTCCTCAGCCAGGCTGTCCCACATGGAGGCCACAATCTTTGACACCTCCCCAAAGGAGGCGTTGGGGTTCTGGCCTTTAATGGCTGCCTGTGTGTCTCTGAAGAACAGGGCGTACGCTGACACGGGCTTCTGTGGTTCATTCGGGTCTTTCTTCTTCCGTCCTTTCTTAGCACCCAGCGCCGCAGACATTGAGGCCGGCTTCCCACCGCCCCTCCTGCCCGCTGCTGGAGCCACTGAAGACGTGAGAGCAGGGTGGGAGGACATGTGGGCGAGGGAGGCGAGATACAGGGGGGAGTCTACAAGCACACTCCTCTGAGGAAGGATAGAGAAAATGGAAGAGAGGGGAAAGTAGGTATTAGCTGTAGGCTCTTAAACGTCAAATTCAAAATGTGAACAAGAAGAACATTAACATAGGCAGGTAAAGCCCTCACCTTGAAGTCATCCATGTCCTCATCCTGCAGCGAGCCGGCTGGGGATGGTGTTGCACAGAGCGTCTGGTCCAGTGTGTCTGAATGATGCCCGATGCCGTCCCCCCCGAGACCCAGTGCCAGCTCCGCCGGGTTAATGGTGCTCAACTGGCTGCTTCCCAAAAGACCATGGCTGATGTCCCCGAGTTGGACATCAATGGTCATGGGGGATGAACTGCTGAAATGTGAACCGCTGGAACTCCCAAGTTCCTGCAGGGGGATGAGAACACAAAATGATGAAAACATTTGTAAATATAAACCACTTATGGATATCTGTTCGAGGGTCCACGGGTAGAGCGCTCACCAGAGCAGAGGAGCTTAGCAGGGCCCCCCCTCCGCCCTGGCCCATTGCCACAAGGTTCAGCTGCTCCAGGCCTTGAGACCCGGAGTTCACATAAGTGGAAGCGAAGGAAGGGTCATTGGCTGCCACCACCAGGTTGCTGACAAGGCTCCGGGATCCTGGAGGCCCAACGGTGCCGTCTGACCCATCTGTCATCTCATAGTGGGAAACTCCATCATTGATCCTCAGACGGGGGTCCGGATCCAGGGAGATGGGGGGAATCTCAAACACTTCATCACCGAGACTGGGAGTATGGAATGTTTGCTGTATGTGGGGAAAGACACAGAGCACATATTGAGTTTTCATTAAACTAAAACACATGTAAAGATAAACACAGTGAAGATGGTTACACTGCACTAACATGGTACTTGAATAAACTCCCTCACCTCGGCAGACAAGAAAGGGTGACCCGCTCCACTGATGGTGAGATAAGTGTCGCCGCCTTCTGGAAACTGAAACAAACCGTTAGCATGAAACTAAGTCATGTACATCTTCGACATGAATACAAGTTATAGTTATCAATTTGAGATGAATACTTGTTTACATTGGGTTACCTTGTTTTCCTCAGAGTATCCGCCATATGCTTGTGTGTCCAAAAACTCCGAATCATTTTGAGCACAACCATCCGAAAGAGAATAAAAATTCAGGTCCATTTTGAGAGGATTTACTTACATGTAAATAAACTATCGCACACGTTGTATACTTGTTTGACAAACTGAACTTCTTATTCATTCAAGTCTAATGTTCCAACATTAACTAAAACCGCTAGCTGGAGTTAGCGGCTAGCTAGCTAATTCCTCTCGGTTTGCATAACGTTACGGTGGATGAGATGATGCTAAACTAGCTTAGCTTCGAAGCTCTTGGCAGAACTGGGACACTTCAGTATTTCGAGGCTGATGGAAGTCAAATAATCCATATAGTAGCAAAATTATACGTTTTAGCCCCCGGGGAGCAAAGTTTACAGGAGACCCAGCCTGTTTTATACAGTATGGGGGCCCAACACATTCCCATTCATATGCTGGTGTGATGCTACTACCATGTCCTAGTAGCTAGTGTCGGGTTCATGGTCTGTGGGAAATATTGCGATTGCCTCATCAAACACTAGTGTTAACCGTAAATTACCTTAAATATTTGCTTTGTGTCGCCTATGTAACTTGTTAAGCAGCAAACAACCAGTATTATTAAGCAAAAAGCTTAAACTGTTTTCACAACCGTGTTTCTTATTTTAACGTTTTGTTAACCAGTAGAATACGAAATAAAAGATGTATTTCAATTTACATATGAAGTACACAATGAAACTACGGAGACCCCTAAGGGTAAAATATCAGGAAAAAAATTGTGATTATTTTCACATAGTACATTTCGTTTTTTGTTTGCATACAGTAGCCATGCTGTTACATTTATGTGTTCGTTAATTTAGGCCTGCATAAATCGAAGAATAATTTCACGTAAAGTACGTGTAATTATCAAAGCAAATATTATTGATTCGCATATAAAGACAAGTGACATGTTACTTAAAAGGCCATAACAAACCTGTAAGGGTCTGTAAAATAGGTATGTAAATATACAATTACAAAACTTTCCTTGAATAATATTGGTTTATTTTATTATTTATTTTCCTTACCTTCTGCAGCCATCTAATGTCATGTTTGAATGGGTGAAAGATGCATTGGTTCTTATTGTCAACATGTAATATTGTGATCTACCTGTGAAATATTTCGCTTAATCCCTTGACTTCACCCCAATTGAATTGTATTGTTACAATCACATTTGGGTTGGTTTTTGTACATTTGTTGACCTTTAAATAACCTTTATCACATGTATTTAATATAATATATTTACTGTTGGAAAGCAAGTTTAGTAAGGGATTAGTTATATTTTCAATATAGTGGAAGAACTCAATAACATCTCAGCCATTTCCAGGAAAATCAATAGATGTAGAACATGTAATGTATATATTAGCAAACTTTAAGCAGTTCATATCTGCTACCATCAGATACTTCATTGGTCTCAAAACATGTTGGTTTTGTGGAAATAACTGGCATTAATAAATTGTAGTTTAAAATGAATGGAAATCAGTTTAGCTCCGATGCAGTATCCCCTGCTGTGAAAAAGACACAACATATATATTATATTGCTTCGGCTTGATGAAAGTTACAATAAAACACACAAACCTGCTTTCACTGTAGATTGCTGTTATTCCTTTCACAGATACACTCAGATCATAAAACAAGAATAGTAACTCACTGCCGTCATCTTTGTACCACAGTACACAACTGATCAGCTCTACATTGTACAATACACCCATCCTCCTAGCACTGCTTCAGTAACTAATACACCACTTCCCCCCCTCCCACAGAGTGAAAACATTAACAGTACACCCACACACTGGATCCCCTTTTAGTTCACAGTCTTGTCAGGACAGTAGCTATGACCAAACAAGATTGGTGGTGGTTGGTGGTTGAGGGGGGGGGGGGTTGTGGGATCTGGATCCACGCTTCTGCTCAGTACACGTCCAGTTGCATGTAGCGCTTAGAGGACCAGCATTGAGGTTATTTGATAAGAAAAGGGCATCTGTACAGCAGGGGTCCCCTTTTGGTCATGGCTGGGAATGTCATGGGACAGGAAGAGGAGGAGAATGACGAGTCCTGAAATAAGAAAGCTCAGCTTTTTGCCATTATGTCAGAGGTCAGAGAGGAGGAGCAAGGAGAGAAAGATGGAACACAACTGTGATGACGAAAAAAGAAAACAGATGGGTGCAAACCTGCTCCTTTCATGGAAAAAATCTCTATATAAAATAATGAATAAAAGTAGCAACGAAAAAAAACATTAATCTGTAATTTGAAACATAATATGGTAAAAATAAACGACGAGGAATAACATGATTCATTGTTGAGAAGGGGACTACGTCCGATGTGTGCGGGAAGGGGGGTTTAGTCAATCCTCTGAGCTCGATGAGGAGTCGGAGTCCTTCTGTGCTATGATGACATCGTCCAATAGCGCCTCTTGATCGGAGCTGTCGTAGTCGCCTTGGGAAAGGCTGTCGCCGCCCTCCATTTTAACGTCAAAGTCTGGACTGGTGAGGAAGTGGTGGGAGGTCTCCAGGTCCTCCTCGTCCATCATGTAGGCTCCGTCTGACACCAGGGTCTCCTCTTCAACCCCGTCCAGGTTGGGGTCTTCGGTGGTGGGCTCTGGAGTGTGGTGAAGGTGGTGGTGATGGTGATGGTGGCGGCGTCGGCTTTTCTTCGGGAGCTCCGAGTGCTCGCTCAGCAGTCGGTGGAAGAAGGTCTCGGGCAGGAAGCCCTGTGGGAAGAATAGATATTGTCAGAAACACCGCAAAGTCTATAATGAAGAAACAGTTAGGAGGGTGGGATTTCATCAGATACCTCGATATGATAAATGATTATTGATAATGTGGATACACTGGCCAAGTGGTTAAAGATGAAAATGTAATCTCGTAAAAAGCCGTAACGTAGCCTTTTGATGCTCATTTTCAGGTTCATATTTTGTGCCTCTACTGTGACATGTTTCCATGCTTTAATGTTCAAAAAGCTCTTTATTTTTCTCATATGCTTTTCACCCTCTGTCTGAAACCAGAGCCTAGTCTTCTCTGATTGGTCAGCAGACTGGCTTTGTTGTGATAAGTCAACCACTTAGAAATGTCCCGCCCTTAATCACGTACAATGTGTTGCTAGCCAATAGAAGCGCGAGTGTTACATATTGATGTCACTTTGTTACAGAAGTAAACAAAGGACTTTACTCAAAGTATTTTGAAGTGAGACCTGAACACGTGTCATGAGTGACAGCTGCTTTAGTTTGTCTGCATGGAAACATATTGGGTGTGCAACATTATTTTTAACCACATTTTCATCTAGAGCAGGGGAGATTCCCAGTCGATCGCGAGATGTGCCTAAAAATAGAACAACAATATTCTGTTTTATCGTTAATGTCCTATAACATAATCTTCCTGTGCCAGAATAATGCACTTGAACGCATCAAATCTTTGTGATTGGTGTGACCCCATGTGTCAGGGCATGGCTGGTGGGCGCTAGTTAGCTGACGTTGTCCGTGTCAACAGGAGTGACAGACCGCACAAGACCGCAATTATGGCAGAAGCAAAAAAGCCCAAAATATATCATTTTCACTCCGAGTGGGAGAATGATTATTTTTGTATCTATTCCAATTCAAAGTCCATCTGTCTCATCGGCAATGCGAGCGTGGCTTTATCGAAGAAGGGTCATTTAGGAGCGGCATTTCAAAACAGTGCACAAACCAGAGTTCCCGTTAGCCGGTAATTACCGGACTATGACCGGTAAAATATGCTGAAGACCGGCACATCTAAATCTCTCCGGTCAAAGTGTCCGTCCAAATAATTTCCGTTTAGCACAATACCGCATCAGTTGCGCAACTTGCGCCACATATGTGACAGACAAAAGAGTATGTGGCAGACAAGAAGAGTCAATTCTAATGTCTAACACGTAATGTGGAGAAAGAGATGTCCTGTATGGGTTGATTGTGCGTTGATCTGTTGGTAATGCCTCGGGGTTCCGGTGGGCATGTAAACAAATGCATAATGCTGCGCTATACTTTGCTGCCTCACCCAGTTGCATAGCGACGCTTATTGTTTAGGTGTCTTTTAATAAGCAGGTAGTCATATCATTAGCTAGAACTAGCTAGATCTGATCGATATGGACATAAACGCGAGTAAAGTCTAATCTGACGGGAAAGAGAGATCAGCTGCTGCTGACGAGTCGACACGCAGCTCTGCATAATCACATGCAGCGGTGAGCGGACAAAACACACACTTCAGGTTAGAATATCACACGTAGCTATTTTAATGACCTCTCAAACTACCGTAACTAGTTATAGATATGTTTAGTTTTACTGTCGGTTTACTGTTCCGCCTGCTGCATGACGGGCTGTCAGGAGAGGGAGAGAGCGCTCCGTTTATTATTCCCGTGTTATTGTAAATTACTGTTCACTTTTGAATAATGTAGTTAATCTACTATAATTAGTTTGTTTAATATCGAATCATCAATTTGTTTTAAAGCTCAATAAATAACAAAGAAGACCTTTGACCGGCACTTTTCAAATGTTGTCCGGAAGATTTAAACTTTAACGGACATGTTGACCGGCGAAAAAATATTCTAACGGGAACTCTGGCACAAACGCTACGAGGCGAGTCGATTCGCTGACGGCCGTCACCGCTCTTCATTTTTTATGTTTTTAAAAGGCATCATTGAAGTTGCACCGACAGAGGTCCGCCGTTTCCCCGCAGCGAGGCTCCCCCCCAGTTGACAGTTCGCTAGCACCCCAGCACCCCCTCTCTATTTGGACTGGTAGATCTCGGCAGACAGCCAACTTTAAAAGTAGCTCTTGGTTCAAAAAAGGTTGGGCACCCCTGATCTAGAGGTTCAAACACTGCGGAGAAAAACCTTGTAATAACATCTTTAGTACGTACAGAGCTCCGAACAGTCTCAGACCAGTCGGCTGCTACAGCGTTGTCAGGGTTTTCCTGCAGGTATTCCTTCAGGTCTTGCAGCATCGGACAGAAAGCAGCTCCAACCTACAGAGGAAAAAACATGTTCGTCTGTTAGCAAGAGATAACAAACAGCTAACAAATCAGGGGTATACCACTCACTGTGTGCCTCACCTTCTTTCCTGTCCGCATGTTAATGACTTTGACCTTCTCACTGCCTGTCAGGGCTTTGTCTGCCCTCCTCCTCCTCTTCCTCTTGCTCCTGTTCTCAAGAAGCTGAGGAAACAAGACACATTATGAAATAGCTGAACAATATTTTAGACATTTGTATCCCAATCCGCCTGAGACCAAGGGCCTCATATTTATTTAACACTTGAACAACTCGTGAAAATACGGAGGCCTCTTGTAATCGTTACATAATCCCCTGAACGACATGAATTGAGCTCACTGCCATCATTTTGCAAAGTTGTAACAAACAAAAGAAACAAAAGCCTAAGACACAAAGTGGCAACAAATAGAAAGTTATTATATCAGGAGAAAAGCTTGGCTGTCTAAATCTCGCCTCTGTTGGACAGGTTCTTTCTTTCAGCTCATTATTTCTCTGTATATCTTACTAACGAAGCAAGATGGACACGGAGAGAAATGTTTGCTAACAAACTACAGTACAGTTATCAAGTATTATTGTACAGAATCCAAAGTGAGTACCAACTTCATCTCTTGATGCAAAACCAAGGCTCCCCTGTCTCCTTGCCACAGTTTGGAAGCTGAATGAGGAACCGTCAACAAGGCTTGGGTTTTTTCGTTGCATTTATAAAACACGTTTTCATTTCATACGCTCGGCCCACTCACCAAGTCTGATCTAATCTAGTTGCAGCTGTGCAATTGGTCGAAACATTGATCCTGCAAACGATATGAAGATGAATTGACAATCCTGTACTGATGATGGCATTTGATGAGTAGCCATAGAAACTAACATGGCTTTAGGCAAAAGCCAAAATGGACAGAGACGGAGTATAAAATCGTTAATCGCAACTATATGTATGACAGCTCATCATCAGCTAAAATGCATGCCCTAATTATACCTCCAACATGTCTCCCTCCACCTCATAATCTGGGTTCTCCTTCAACCAGGTGGGGGGGTCCCTGCGCCGAGGAGTTTTCTCCAGAGGATCATTGAGTCCATCTGGGTCTGATAACTAAAAGAGAGACAGCCAAAACAAAGTGATCAAACTAAAATCCAGAGCAGTTTCTGTTTTCCCATCCGACTCTTCCTGGACTACAGAGGAGCTCATGCCGATCTGACACACTTACGTCTTGGTCCTTGCGCTTCTTGCGGGCACTGCCCTCTCCCCCTGATCCGTTGGGCATCATGGCGTGCTTCGAGAAGGTCAGCTTCAGCCCCTCCTCCTGACAGGGGACACACAGAGACCTCTAAATTAGCCATAGAGCCCATATCACCCTTCACCCTGTAGCAGGGCTGCATGATTACAGCTCAAATGTTAAAGTGCCCTATATGCCTCATTTTCAGTCTCATGAATGTATTTGTGTCTCTTCTGTGACATGTTTACATGCTTTAATGTTGAAAAAGGTAGTTGTTTTTTGCTCGTACTGCCTGTGCTGCAACACCTGTTTTCGCCCTCTGTCTGAAACCAGAACCCAGTGTGCTCTGATTGGCTAGCTGGTCAGCACTGTTGTGATTAATCAACCAATAAGAAATGTCCTGCCCCATAGCTCATATCTCGTCTATCAATGTGTTGGAGCAGAAGCAAATGAAAGCAATGTTATGTAGCCATGTCAGTATCTTAAGGAAGTAAACAAAGAAGTCTAATTGAGATGTTTCAGGCAGGGGAGTGTGTGAGAGAAAGTCCCTCTTGAGGGAACTGTGGGATTTTATGTTTTGCATACCATTTACATGCACTAAAACCCTACAGAAAGGGAAAACCTCCATAACCATAATAGGGCCTCTTTAAGACCTGTCAGATTCACACTGGTGACAGATTGTGGTTGTGTTGTTGTTTTCTCACCTTAAGGAGCTTGACGGTGAACTCCCCATCTTCACCCTCCTCCCCGGGGGCCCCTGGTGTGCCGCCGGGTTTACGGTTCAACCTCGTGAACGCCATCTCGTCTCCCCCCAGCTCTGAGCTCGGGGCGAGCTGAGCCTCAGGCAGGTAGCGCCGCCCCGTGGGCCACTGACCGCTCAGCGTCAGCGTACACAAACTGTCCAGGCGGTTGATCAACACGCGGTCCTGAGGCAAAGAAAGAGCAACAATAAAATCATACATTAGGTTAGATGTGTGTGGGGGACCCAAGTTCCCATCAGCAAAAACACGTGTGTTTGCTATCCTGGCTCCAAGATGGTGGAATGAGCTCCCCATTGAAAGTCGCCCAGGACAGCAGATAGCTTACACATCTTCCGGCGCAGACTGAAAACTCATCTCTTTCGACTTCACTTCGAGCGATAGAACTATTAACAAAGCACTTATATACTAATAAAGGACTGGCTTATCTAAAGCCAGTTGAGTAGCACTTGAAATGTTTTAGCTCTATGAAACCCGATGTACTTATATGATTCTGTTTTCTTCAAGGTTGTATCTTGTTGGTCGAATGCACTTATTGTAAGTCGCTTTGGATAAAAGCGTCAGCTAAATGCAATGTGCTTTACTAATCCTGAAATAGTTTAAATAAATGCAATGGTTTATCCTTCAAGAGAAATGCTTTGAGATTTGAATGAAGTTAAACATACAATAATAAATTGTACATGAACTACCTTGGGCCAATCCACTCTGAGAGGATCGGGGGGAAGAAGGCCGTCCTGAGATGTGCTCATAGAGAGTAAACTGTTGTCTCCATCCACGTCACACATCTTCATGCGTGCTAAGAAGGGAAAAGGGGAAACTGTTACATTTGGTTTATTCTTGAAGCATTTATCATTTTTCTGTGAAATACCAACTTACCTCTTTCTTCATCACTCTCTCCACTCTCATCGCTGCTGCCTGATCGCCCAGAAGACGACGAGCCTGAATCCGAGTCAGAATCGGAATCCGAGCCTCCCTCCCCCTTCCTCTCTCCTGATTTCCCGACCCTCCCCTTGCTCCTCTTGATGTTCCAGCCCTGCCCTCGCTCCTTGCCATCATGATGACTTCTGGGCGTGCTCTGCAGGACGGCACTGATTTCTCCTCCAAGCAGCAGGGAGTCCTCGTCAGCCTGCTCCTCTTTCACAACAGGCATGTCCTCCTCCACCTTTGGCAGGATGGTGGGCATGATGGGCATGATGGGCTGAGGCGGAGGTGGAGCAGACTGCTGGGTCAAGACAAACTCATCCCGAGCCTGGTTGAAGGAGAACTGAGGGTCTGGGAAGATGGAGAGCTCGGTGCGGCTGACGCCATGCAGAGACGACCCGAGCATCAGCTGATGGTCGTGTTCGGGAATATTCCACCAGGCGGGCAGCTCGGAGGTGTTCGGAGCCAGAGAAAGACGCTCCGCCAGCAGCGGATGCGTCAGGACTCGCTCACGGAGGCGACGCAGCAGGCTGATGCGGTAAAGGGTACGGGAAGCACGCTCCTCAGTGATGGGGGCCACATTCTGGGGATGCTCGACTACATCTGAGGGGGAGAGAAGACATTCTTACTATAATGGGACTCTGCTTTTAACCTGTTAAGCCCTGAGCCTGTTTTTGACATTCCCAGAACAAATGACCATAACTTCACTTCTAAAAGGGTTAAATTAATAATCCTTTTTCCCAGAGCAATGATAAACCTGTGAGTTTGATGTAGAAGAGTCAGAATCAATATAGATTTTTTTATTTTAAAGTAAATTCAGATTGAACATAGTAAAAAAAAAATGTAAACTATAGTGTCCGTCCAAAAACACCTGATTACTTATAGTGAAAACCACCCTTGAATGATGGGATAGTAGACTAAAAGCTTTAGGAATCCACACTATAACATATAATAAGTACCCTGCATCAAGATTGATGCAAAACAAGTGACATTTGACCTTTTTAGAGAGGTTTAAAAAACACTTCTGGGGTAATTTGGGTGGATTTTCCATATCTCTGGCCCCTGAACCGTTAGAGCCAATAGAATCGAGGGGAAGTCCCTAAATCCACCTACACGTTACCATTGAGGAGTGAGAGTGATGCGCACGCAGCTTGCCCAAACCGAAAGCTATGTTACGCTCTGAAAACTGAAAAATTATTGCCATAAATATGATGATGGATTATCAGTAATCCTTTCAAAGGGACACAGAGACATTGGATTAACCTTCGGCAGCGTTTTCATGCCATTGAACACAAGTTTTGATCAGAAAATAGTAAAGGTAAGATGAATTTGCCGTTTTGGCTCCGTAAAGCTACGTTATGTGTTGTCTGGGTTTGCCTTCGTTGCCCTGAGTTCTGGTCGCACAGTGATGATACTTATACCTCTAGAATCTGTGGAATCTCAGCTTTAATCTGATATCTTGTTTGTGCAGATCCGATAAGTAATAAAGCATTTCTACCGTGAGTTCTGTGCTAAGTGCGTTAGCATTTTTTTGCTCAGGGCTAATTCAGAGGCTTGACATTACCCTTTTGTTTCGTTTAGCTAAAGATGGTTCGTAACGTCAGTTAGCTGAGTTTCTTCCCGTTAAGTGGGTATGACACATTAATAGGTTGTTAAATATTAAGAAGCCCTAAGACACAGTTTCGTGAAAAAAAAGCCCGCAGCCCCCGAGGTTAACAATAATTTAAAGTTTTGTTTAAAAAGCATTTTTAGTGGTAGTTACCTTCGCGGCCTGTGCGCAGGTGGCAAACTCTCCGGCACATAGCGACAAAAGAGTGGAAATATCGACTGAGGCTCTCGTCTGTTTTCTTGTCCAGACGAGCAAAGGTACGGAAGCGGTTCCAGTCAAACTCAGGCTCTCCTGCCTCAGGAAGTCCTGGCTCCTTTTTAAACTTTTGCACTGCGAAAGTGGAAACCACGCGGTAGAAGTCGCATTCTTCCCTACGCGTCCACCTGGGGGAAACACAGACAGTGGAGCTAAGTGAAGGATGAGAAAGAAAATAATGTATTTTTGAATTGGCAGGTCCCTACAGATTGTATATCTAATGAGACTATCGTAGCATAAAGAATTCATTTGATTCTAGCAATTGTCCATTTAAAACAAAACCGCGTACAGGCACATTTCTTACATCTGTTACCCTCAAGGATAAAAACACTGCAACACTGAAGATATAACTTCTGTTACCATGAGTGTCACATAAAAACCATAATGCAGCCCCAGCGTACCTCTGCTGGCGCTCCTGCCGTGCGATCTCCTTCAGCTTGCTGGCCTGTTCGCAGCGCCTGCGCCTGCGGTCGCCCTTCGCCTCCGCTTCGATCTTCAGCTGCACCTGCCTGTAGCTGCGTTGGTACGCCGTGATCAGCCGCCGCATGCGCGCCGTCAGCGAAGAGCTGGAGGGCCAGTCGCACGCACCGCTCTGGCTGGAAAAGCTCTCCGTGATCACCGGACCCACCTTGTCTTCCACAGTAATCTCATCGTCCACGTTCATGGAGTCAGTCTGCAGCACGAGATGAGAAGAGACTCATTCAATTGTTTATCACTGTTGCTTAGTTACAAAATATTCTTTGGGAATCGACCAGTGCAGACAAGTTTTAATACGAAGTATCAGATTCATACCTCGTCAAACAGATCTTTGGCGTGTCTTGACGCAGGCTTGAACTCCGGGTCCTCTGAGTATTTATCAAAGTCAGCACTGCACAACACAAACAATCAGAAATGGTTATTATTAATACATTTTATAAAAAAGAAGGTAAGAAGTGTTTAGTAAAAGGGACACCAAATGTAAAGGTATCGTGCAGTTAACAACAAGAATTTGACATTTTGAAATGTGGTTATAATAGGGTCTCTAGAACGGACATAAATGAGATATCCACTTCTACTGGTAATACTGCTATAAATGTATAAACAAATACATTTGTATTCAGCATTACTCACTCATCTCCCAGCTCGGCGTCTCCAGTGTGCTGCTCAGCATCGATGGCCTTGTCGTCGGGCCGACCGGCTCTCTCCAGGAAGCTGAGGCAGGGATCAGCACGCATAGTGGTGTACATCTCGTAACCTGGCAACAGAGACAAGTGTGTTAAATGAGAAAATGCTCAACGCCTTGTGAAATGACAAGTCTCAGAAGGGTGGCAAATGCAGCAGCTTGACAAATGTTACATAACAACGGTGAACATGATCACCACGGAGAGAGAAACTGTTTTGTATTATATCCACAACCTATTCTCATAAATATATTAAGCTTCAATAATCCCCTTTCACACCTACGACAAGTGATGTATGTCCATATCAGTACTTATTCCAGCTCCCATTGGCAGTGATGAAAAAGGTGAATTGTTGCCATTTGACGTGTGTTGAAGTAAATTCAAAACCATTCGTTATTAACAACGCAACACTTAAAAATAAATATGGTTTTCTCAAGACCCCAGACTCCACTTAATCATTTGGTAATGTTACCTTGCTAAACATTATAAAAAACACACTTGATTCAAACTCCACAGAAAGTAAAAGAAAACTCATTAAAGCCATCTTGTTTAGTCTTTCCACTGTTTCAACATCCATAACTCTGTTTTGAGAGCTTAAAAGAAATACTGAATAATAATTATATATAAAATATAAATTAGTAAGTGTTAGGGATTAATTCTGTCTTTACTTTAGATATTTAACCTTTCTGCCTGTTGACATTTACGACAAACCCTAAGTCTGTTATCTCCCGTAAGGAATGTGATAATGGAGTCGTATGTTGATACTACCAGGTTTTATGGCCTGACCTGGCGGGCACAGGGGGGGTTTTACGACAGTGAGAACGCTGGCTTTCTAAGCTCCACAGATGTGTCTGTGACACACCTGTGTCTCCAGGTGTTTACGCCCATCCCCAATATGTGGATTACTCGCTGTAAACTAGTTAAAAGGTCTACCAAGATGCGAGGCTGATCAGAATTGACATGGCAACCCACCCGTGCAGTCAGAACCTTTGACTGTGTGACTTGTGATTAGTGTTAATTTCGTCAGCTATATTTTAATTTAGTTTTAGTCCTGTGTTAAATTTCCTTTTTAGTTTTAGTCATATTTAGTCACCTTCATCCTGTTTTTATTTAGTCAAGTTTTAGTCGACTAAAAGTCTGAGCATTTTAGTCTTATTTTAGTCAAAGAAAACTAATTATTTTAGTCTACTTTTTGTCAATGAAAACTGTTGAGTCTTTTTTAGTCATCAGATTATATAGAACATTTCAGTCAAACTAGTCTAGCCAAAACCAATCATTTGTCATTTTAGTCAAACTTATTTCACAATAAGATTATATCTTGTCCTTATTTGATGAAAAACACAGGTTGAATGATTAAAAGAATGCAGCTTTGCAGAGAGGATCTGCTCAGGTTTGTGGTGTTTTCACCAGCTGTGTTATGGCCACATTGCTTCCCTTCTGATAAAACAATGCATTCGCTTTTTTTCTCCGCCTCATTGTAGCGAAAATGGGCCCAAATATCACATCGTTTCTTTCTCCCAAGCAGTGGTGGCTTTAGACTTTTTCGTTGTCAGTCATTTTGACGGACAGGATCGTAACATTTCCGTCATAATCCATTATTATCCGTCGAGTGCACAATTTATCTCTCACTCGCGCTGACGGCGGGGGGAGGGGGTCTTCGGTTAACGCGAGTGCGACCACTGCTCCCAAGCCCTGTTGTTGCCATTTTATTTTCTGTTAAATAAGGTTAGTTAGACCATGAGTTAGACCCGAGTCTTCCTGACAGTTCACATTGTGCCGCTGCCCGGTGTAACTCAAATGTACCACCGTGCGCAGCACGGACACACAGCTGCTGCCCTGCCGCAGCACCGGAAATGGAACTGCTGGGAGAAAAACTGACTATCAGAGATGTAACGTTATCTTTGATAATATTTCGTCTCCTCATTTTTTGTCAACGAAAGTAAAGAGAGATTTTGGAATAGTTTTTATTTAGTAAACTACATTTTCGTCTCGTCACTTTTCGTCAATGATATTGCATGATGATTTCGTTACAGTTATTGTTTACTGCCGTCGGTGCCGTCTCGTCATCGTCTCGTTTTCGTCATGGAAAAAAAGGTCGTTGACGAACATATTTCGTCATAGTTTTAGTCAACGAAATTAACACTACTTGTGATGTGAATTTCTCCGGCCGATGCTTGTATTAAAGATCCGTGTTTGACATCAAAGCTCCAACTCTCCTCGTGTCTCTCTAAGTCCTGACTCTCCATTGCTGCAGAAGTTTCCCTTACAGTAAGTACTAGGGCATACTTCCACTGGCAATGGGGAAGGAGTTTATCACCTATTTTTTGCGGGTTTTCCCGTGTTTTAATTAACCCACGTGCTTATTTCAGTTATAACATGGTTATAGAGAAAAATCCTACCATGTTTGAACACGCCAACAAGCAGTGAGCGGTCTGCCTCAGTGTCCCACCATCCTGCAGGGAACTCCTGCTGCTCCATCTCAGGCATCCAGATGTCAACATCCCTGGACAAAATTGAATGAAATTAACAACTGCATGGCATACTGTGTTCCGTAATGGAGCCTGTGTGTTCTGCATTTAGCTTAATGTACAAAGGGCAGATTCAGTACCTGATGTCAGCCCCTTTCAGGACGGCGTCTGAATGTTCTCCAATCACCTCCTGTTTCAGATAGTAGAGCATCCGCACCCTCAGCAGCACCCTGAGGTAGGAGAGGAGAGGTTTCAGTGTTTGGACATGCAGGCTAAACGACACAGTGAGTTACAGCTCATTGGGCTTCACTCACTTGTTGCACTGGTGCTTGAGGTGCTTGCGGTAGCTGTCGTCCAGTAGCAGGGTGTCAGGGTTGAACTTGCGGATCCACTCCACCTTCTGAATATCAAACGTGCTCTGGGCCTTTACCCTCTTACCCTTCCTGCCTCTTGGAACAGGGATAGACAGGCCTAGAAGAAAACAAAACGTTTATTTTAAAACATTCAACATATAAGGTACAAGCTTTGGCTACACGAAAATAGGTTGTGGTTTTAGTAGGAGTTTGTACTTTTTCCTTCTCCAAAAAAAGTCATTCATCCCCTTTTTGACAAAGTTGACAGATATTTTAAACATTGTGTGTGTACCAGAGTGGTTGAGAAGTGTTTGGGGTTCGCGCCCGTTCTCCGGTGGTGTGATGAGCTCCCAGATGAAACTCTTGATGTTCTCATCTCCCCGATAGTGGAGCAGACAGAACACCAGGATGACACGGCAGATCGTCTCCACGTCGCGTTCACTCAGACGCCGCTTACATCTGGCGTGAGACAAGATGTCCTTCCAGCGACCCCAACTGGAGGAGAAGAAGAAAACAGGAAGCAGAGTAAGGAAAAGGGACGAGACCGGAGAGAATACATTCGGAAATTGAGCAGCAAAGTGTACGTACCCATAGACGAGCAGGTGCTTCTCCACCCGGAAACAGTCGGTGCGTCCGTAGCCAGTTCCACTGTGGCGGTCGGAGCGCCGGGAGGCCCGCGACTGTCTGGAGTTGGCAGGCGGATACTCATCGTCGCTGTCATCGGACAGGTCTCCACCTTCACCTCGTAAACTGGAGAACTGGCGGGTCTGCTTGCGGACTCTTGGAGTGTCGATCACGAGGGTGTTCTATTGGGAGTGAAGTAACATTGGTTACATCGCGATGAATAAGCATTTCATATAAAAGCTAGTGTTCCAGTAGCCTGTAATTACAAGCACAAGATCCGAGTACTTCTACTTTTACTCAAGTACAAGATCTGAGTACTTCTACTTTTACTCAAGTACAAGATCTGAGTACTTCTACTTTTACTCAAGTACAAGATCTGAGTACTTCTACTTTTACTCAAGTACAAGATCTGGGTACTTCGACTAGTACTAAAGTACCATATCTGAGTACTTCTACTTTTAATCTAGTACAAGATCTATACTTATACCACCTCTGTTTATAGCCTATGAAAAAAAGTATTAGAAAACGAAGGCTAAAGCTAACGTTAGCGGATATAATAGCAATGTATGCTAGTTAGCTAGCTCAACGATTCCTTAAAAATAATATTGCGACAGAAAAACGTTTCAGTGCACATCACGCTCTGCCGCTCCGACAGGGAGCTCTGCTCTGAACACCTGGACTGCCGGTTCTAACAGCTGTTCACCAGCGGTCCAGTCTGTGCCACAGTGACTCCGGACCGCACAGTTACTATTAACGAATGCACCGTAGGTAATGTAGCTGCTGAAGCTAGACCCTCATCGCGGAGCAGCAGAGTTCAGCCGACAGACAGGAAGACACGAGCACACTTCTTACAGGCCCCCCCCCATACCCCAAAAATATTTTTATTGCAGATCTAAATGAATCACACAAACGAGCTATTTTGGATTCAAAACGGCGAATTTCGCCGAAAGGTGACAAGTTTGCATCCCTGAGGAGGATTCTTTCTGCAGAACAGATTTAAAAACAGCACTTCATCTTAAGTCGGCAGCAGCACGTCTTAATTCAAACAGCCAGACAGGCCTACATTTGTTTACAAAAAGTATTTATTTTGCTATTGTTGTGAAAGTATGTAGACCTAAAACTGAGGGAAATCCTTTGTTAAGAGCTATGACGTAGGCTTATGTAAAAAAAATTCTGGCGTAATGCACAAGTCCATGGACTTTATCTTCAGATATTCTTGATGACATCATTCTTTACATAGCCATCCTTTCAATTGTTTTAAGCTCAATAATAAACACAGATAATATTTGATCAGAATTTCTCCCATTTGTCTGGGACATTAGAGGACATATGATGCTCTTTTTCAGGTTTCATATTAGGGACACAAAACATAATAGGGGCCCTTTAAAACCTTCCCAGACACTAGTTAAATCTACAGTATTTCACATGTTGTGGCGATCGTAAGACACCATGCTCGTACCTTTCTGGTCATGGTGTCCATGTCTATGTCGGCTCTCTTGGCCCACTTCTGCCAGAACTCAGGGTCGTCAAGAGCGATGTCGTTCCGGTTCTCAGAGGCCACGAAGCTGGCCTTGGAGAACGTGGAGCCCTTGCCCTCGTTCTCGATGGTGATGGTGGTGGCTCTTCGCTGCAGGATCTGGTCTATGTCCTCCTCGCAGAAGCGATTGCCTTCATCGTTCTCGTCCATGATGGCGGCGTAGGCTCCTTTCCTCAGCAAGTCCTCGATCTCCTTCTTAGAGAACTGCTGCACCGGCTAAAGGCGACGCAGAGAGACATTTACACAAGTGGATTTAGAATTCTATTTCCGAAATAAACTAAGCGTACTGCAACAGCGACTGACCCAAAAATGACTTAGCATCTAGAAATATGACAGATTTTCTTTTTCTCACCCCGTTGTTGTTGCCTTCTTTGTTCCCACTCATGCTCTGCAGGACGGCACGGTCCAGCCCGAGCTTCAGACTGGCTTTATCCAGCATTTCCCTCTCATAGGAGTTCCGAGTGATCAGACGGTACACCTTCACCGCCTTGGACTGGCCAATGCGATGACACCGAGCTTGAGCCTGAAATAAAAAATTAAAAGAGGGGTCAAAAGAGCATCATGTGCAGCTGCTGTTCAACGTTTTTAAGCATTAAATGGGAAAATATACACTTAAAGAACCGAGGGAGTAAACGTAAAGACTGTTTGTTGTTGTAGCCCTATTGAACTATCTTTAGGACAGACAGCAGATATATATATATATATCGTACCTGCAGGTCATTTTGAGGGTTCCAGTCAGAGTCGAATATCACACAGGTGTCAGCCGCAGTGAGGTTGATACCCAGGCCTCCAGCCCTGGTACACAGCAGGAAGACGAATCGGTCCGAGTCGGGCTTGCTGAAGCGGTCGATGGCAGCTTGTCGTAAGTTCCCACGCACTCTGCCATCGATTCGCTCGTAAAGGTATCTGTTAAAGAAATAACATTCCTTACATTAGCACATCTCATAACTCCTCACAATACTTTCATGTTATGACAATCTTTACGCTTTTAGAGCCACCTTGGCCTTCTTACCTCTTGTTGATGAGGTAGTCCTCCAGAATGTCCAAGCAGCGCACCATCTGGGAGAAGATGAGCACCTTGTGGCCGCCGGCCTTGAGGCGAGGCAGCAGCTTGTCCAGTAGCACCAGCTTGCCGGCCGAGCGAATCAGAGCCTGCAAATGGAAGTCGGAGGCCATGGGGTCGTACACCTGCCGCAACTCCGTGACGATCTTCTCCTCCGCGCCTGGACAAGAAAAAAGACAGAGGCACAGTTATATTATGTTATCGAACTATGCAAATGCAGTTCAGACTGCTTAGTGTGTGAGAAAATTGTTTTTATTTAATATAAGACCATTGTCTAAAGTGCCACCAAATAAATAATATAACAATTATTCTAAAATGCTTTTATGAAAAAGTGCAACATTTAGATAGTAGTAAGCACAATATTTGGTAAAGTCACAATATGTTCATATTTCTGATGCAAAATCAGTCAGAAATTGCACTTAATTACACATTTTCCCAAATAATTCAGCCCTTATAAATGCAAACTTAAATTACATACTTTTTAAATAAAAATATTACTACTCCAAAATGCCCTTCAAATGATTTGGAAAGCAAGCCAATTATTATATGAAACAGTTAATTTTGAGACTGAATAAAACAAACAACATGCAGACAACGAGATGCGTAATATGAAGAGTTAATAAGTTCATATTGTGATGACATACCATTGATGAGGTAGGGGTGGTTGCAGCACTTGCGTAGCTCCATCATAGTGTTGAGCAGGTTGGGGACGTTGCTGTTACTGGTCACACCTAAACTGAGGAAAGTGAAGTTCCTCTCCAGGATGGCCCGGTAATACTTCTTCTGGACATCCGTCAACTCAACCTGAGATCAAATACAGTGAAATCATTTAACTGTTGCCTTATTTGTGTCCTTCAGTTTACATCGCATATTCATTATTTACACCTACCTCAATGATGGTTTCCTGTTTGGGCGCCAAATTCTTCTCGACATCCTCTTTGAGTCTTCTTAACATCATGGGTTTCAAGATGGCCTGCAGCTTCTGAACCTATGGGTCAAAGTAAATCATTTTCTTAGTGACAATGTCATGGACGAGTGTGTTACAATTGAGTGTTTCATTGCCAAAGTGAGTGTATATTCCACACCTGTTCTTCTGTTTTGAGGTCCCCAAAGTCTCTGAGGAATTCAGTCTCAGAGGAAAACTGAGCCGGCTCCAGGAAGTGAAGCAGGCTGAAGAGTTCCTCCACCGTGTTCTGGAGAGGAGTGCCGGTCAACAACACCTTGTGTTCCTGGGAGAAACAACAGAAAGCACATTTAGGAGATAGAGAGGGAAAGGGTAGGGCAAAAATATCAATCAGGCAGACAGGTAAGTGAATACCAAATACAAAGGAAGTATTTCAGGGAACAAAGACCTTTCTTAATGTAATCAACTAAAATTTTCTGTGCAAATTTGACCATAAGTTTTGTTTCAAAATGACTCACCAGATCCAACATCTTCAAGCTGTCCAACAGCTTGCAGTTGCGGTTCTTGAGTCGGTGAGCCTCATCGATGATCACGCAGCGCCAGGAGATCTCCCTCAGCTCCGGGCAGTCGGACAGGATCATCTCAAACGTTGTGATGAGGGCGTCAAACTTGTACGCACCAGGGATCAAGTGATCCTGCAGAGAGAAGGGCCATCTTTTATTCAACATGTGTAAGAGACAAAATGCAAACTAGGGTGGAAATAGAAATCTCTCTTTGCAGAGCTTTGACATTTATAAATGTTTGTAATATATTATTTTTGGATCTTTTTTGTTGTGGTCTGAAAGCGTAGGATTGATAAAAATATTTTAGGTTATTTCAGACAAGAACGTTTCTTTGATAATTACACAAAATGTGTCGTTTTGTTTGTTTATGTGGATATATTGTGTAAATGTAGATTTGACTGATTGAGTGTGAACCGCAGGAAGAATAGCCAGTGCCCATATTTGTGCTAATGGGGAATTTTTAACAAGTTAATCGACAATCTAATAATAGTTAGATAAATAAAATAAAGTAATAACTCCACCTTGTCATCCTTGAAGTACATCTCATACTGCTGGATCATCTGTCGGCTGGCCAGGCTGCCGTGGTACACGATGGCGTTCATGTCGGTCCATGTGACAAACTCCCTCTCCCAGTTGGTGATGGTGGAGAGTGGAGCGATGATCAGGAAAGGGCCGGTGACGCCGGCATCGTACTCCTCCGACAGCAGCGCGATGGACTGGATGGTCTTCCCCAGACCCATCTCGTCTGCCAGGATACAGTTCTGCCTGAGAGACAAGACACAGGGAGTCATTAGTCATTAGTGACGTGTTGGGAGAAGCAATTGACAAGCACTATCGCAAACCTGGTTATAGATGACAATGCATTTTTGTTGTGTTATGTTATTGATAATGTGCAGCAAGCCAGTCATTATAGCAAAAGAAAATATAACTTCCTTTTTTTTTTTATATCTGGTTGAACAAAGTTGTCTGGCTCTTAACTGTCAAAGTCTGTTCATACATTCTTTTCCCTTTAACTAGTCTGCCAGAGCCCATACTATGCCCCATTTAGTGTTTAATTCCTGTCTGTCTGTCGTCTTCTTCTCTGACTCTAATGTCTTTCATTCTCTAGCACTGCTTTCTTAATTTTTCTTTGCTTTACTGGGGACAATTTAGCCATCACGAATCCAACAGTTGCTGCTCTAAATAACTTAAAATATGAATATTCAAAAAGTATTGAATGGAGGAAAAACAAAAAAAAATGTTGGCCACAACTTAAAGTGACGGGACTTCTTTCTGCGTATTGATATGACTGCACATAGTCCCTTGATCAGCACGTCCTAAGCAACGGTCTGCTATCCTTAGCAGCGGTCTTCTATCGGAAAAAGAGGAGACCACTGAATCTCCAAATTGACCAGTTATAATCAAGTATTCAACTAAGCTGTGTTATAACCTCTTATAAAACGGAGAAGTCAAATCAAGCAATCTGATTGGTTCTTAGCTGTGATATAATGAGCGTATATCACGGGTAGATTTGTAGTTACTTTTCACAACAAGTCAGTATCCCTCCACATCTGAGAAAAGCTACAACCGTTACAACTTCGGGCCGAACCACGCTCCTTAACTGTGATTTAATGGCCATATACCACGGCCTGTCGTGAGCTATTGCTTAATTATACAATACTTTTCTATAGTTGCTACTACTGTAATTACAGCACCTTACCTGGTAATCCAATCCGAGTGTGGCATCAAAATGCAACATCTTACAGGTGACTATTGAGTGTAGTGCTTATCTCCTCTGTGTGATAATTACCTGTTGTACCAGTTGAAGAGCAGCCAGTTGACTCCTTCTAGCTGGTACTCTCTGAGTATGTTGGAATTTTTGTACTCTCTGGTTTCCTCCAACTTTTTCCATGCACTGGCAGAGGGCCGTGCCTGAGGAGAGGAATGAAAAAAATGAATCAAAGAGTCTATGGGAATGATACACCAATTGCTCTTGTAGGCATGTTTACAGAATTGAAGCGTATGCAAGTCACTTTGGATAGAAGCGTCAGCCAAATGACATGTAATGTGAAGTACCAAACACTTTCGCTATCTTCCCCCTGAATTCATTTCATTTCAAACCTTTATTTAACCAGATTGGTCCCATTGAGATCATAGATCTCTTTTTCAAGGGAGACCTGCACTGAATGCTCACCGTTCTTTTCAGGCGGGGTTGTCGGTTTAGAATTTTGCTGAATTCTTCGACCTTGCCCTCATCCACGTCCTCCTTCAGCTCCCAAGTGGCGTCTTCATAAGGCAGAGAGCACCACTTCACCAAGTAGTAGATAACAGGCTAGAGGGAAAAGCAAGAATTGATCAACCATGATCAAATATCATACTTTATAAAAGAAGGGTCATGCTTCTTAAGGGTTCAGTTCAGTAGCGCGATTTCTCACCTCGCCATTGTCTTTGTCCACACTGTGGGAGACGTCCAGGATCCTGTCCACCTCCGTATAGTCTGGGTTGAAAGCCTCCTCCTCCTGAACAGAACCACAGGGTCAGTACAAAGTTCAAGCTGTAGAACTACATGCTAAAAATAAGAGCTTCCAGGATCTGCCCCCGTCTCACCTCCTGGAAGAGGTGTCTCATCTGTGCCTGCTTGGCCTTGAACCTCTTGATCTTCTGATGGATCCTCTTATCTTTCTCCAGCTGACCCAAACTGGCCCACTCACAGTGCATGTATGAACTGAGAACAAGAGTCAGGATTTATTCATTTAGCTGTCTGCTCATGAAATAAACCAAAGTTACGGATTGAGATATTGAAACTTACTAGTTCTTGTATTTTACAAAGAATTCCTCAACGTTGGTGTACTGGCCCACACAAACCTGGAAAACAAGGAACGATGATGGGTTTTTATGATTCTTAAAAATGGGATTCAATAATGGTATTGAATTAAATGAAATAACACAATGCACATACTTCCTTCTTGGTTAGCCTCAAAGACAGAACTTTGTCTACAATAGCAGCATCTTCTTCACTTGGGTTTTCCTGTAAAAAAAATGTATACCATTTAAAAAAAAGGGGGCTTTATGAGAGTCTGGGGGACAAACTACCGGGAGGGAATTTGGGTATTTAAGCCTTTGCAGACCATTTACATGCACACAAAGCTATATCACAAACTACAGGGGGAAAGCATAATATAGCCCCTTTAAAAAGGCGTCAATTTTCTTACTATTTTAACATATATCATGAATAAAGCAAAAACCCCACCCAATGACAATCCTTTCACTTTGACGCTCACCACAAAGAACTGCATGCTGGGCTGTCCGTCGGCGTCCAGCTCCAGCTCCTGTTTGAGCTGCGCGGCTGACCCGCCGCTGATGGAGGCCACAGCTGCTGCGGTCGTAGTAACATCTACATCCTCCTGCTCGTCCTCATCGTCCGTTATCTTGATGTCCAGGTCCTCTGTGTACTTCTTCCTTTTCACCACGCGATTGGAACGCCTCTGCTGGCCGGAAGACAAACGTGTAGTGAGCGCGATTGTAAAAGGTCAAGCAGATGAAGAGATGGGCACACCCCACTTTTCACATCAGAACAGATGTGATGAAACGTTCAGCGTCTGTGCCTAACTGTACATTTTACAGCAAATTCCTTCTCTGCAACAAACGCCTACAGCTGATCTGGAGTGTGCATCCATCTGTCCTCTCTCAATCTGTCACTGTTCCACACACTAACATGTGGATTTGTGTAGTTTAATTGACTGAGACAGTAGTACAGTTTTGACATTTTCAAAAAAAGGACATCTGACACCTTAGCACCAACTTAGCAATAAGGAGAATTGATAAAAACGAGAATACATCTGATAAACATTTGATCTAATAGTCTTTTTCCAGCACATAGAACCCTTTTGTGAACCTGGAAATGTTGAGTGGCACCTGTTCTGTTAGTAATGTATACTATGGGTCCCCAGCATTTAGAAACTGTGGCATGCTAATGTATTTTGGGCATTTGCACAATTGGCATACATTTGCGTTAATTAGCATTATAACCTATATGGACAACAGTTAAATGGCTTTGCTGACTTGGACAATATTGGAGTGATTTAAGGAGTTATTGAGGATGCTGACACCAATTCTGACATTTAAACGATCAAAAATGGCAGTTGGAACCAGAAAGTGGTCATATTTGGCCTCCCAGAGGGACGACTAGGGATGCTCCGATCGCCAATTTCGGCCGATACCGATCCGATCGAGTGGGCGGGGCCTAAATGGAAGATTTTTTGAAACCTGCCATAATTCCCAAACCTTTTTTTCATGAAAAACGTAGGAAAACCTCTCCTAGGTTGGAAAATAAAAAATAATTAAGAGAAAAATATTAAACAAAATCCCTCTTGAGGGCATGAAGAGACAAAAACGTGTCAAAAATTCCACCTAGCTCCCAATAGACTCCCATGTAAACAATTTCCAGATCTTTCTTCAGAGCAGAGAGAAGTAAACTTTAAACAAACTGCTCCCATCTCCACATTTTACACACAAAACCAAAAAAAAACCTTTATCAGTTCATTTGGGTTTCCTGATGCTCACGGTCTGGTCATTTTTTGATAGGAGCCATAGTTTTTGAACAGGTGGCAAAATTGTCAGATATAATCCTCAATGCATTCTTAATGGGACGCAGTGCTGCAGCTGGTAACCATGGTGTTGCTGGGCAGATTGAAAGCTTTGATCTCTGGGCTCACACAGGTGTTATGATTGGGTGTTATGATTAGGGGCTCAGCACAGAAACAAACACACTGGACTTTAACAGACTGTCTCAGCCTATTCTTTTCTGTCTGATAAAGACCTCATACAGACTTCAACAGGTTCCACATATTTTATACATTATTGGTGACGTATGGTTTTAGTCGAAAAGTTTGCAGTCAAAATCTTCTTCTGCTTTCCCAAGCCTTTTTACTTTCTTTTCTCATCTTAATACAAATTCATTCACTACTACTTACATCTGATATTTAACTCCTTCAGCCTATTTTCAGCTGCAGAAACCATTCAACTATTACATTATTCAGCTATTTCAGGACATTGAGGCTATACATGTTGTTTTTTCTTTTAAATATTAAGCTTCGTCACTGTTTTTCCTACTCTTCCAGTTTAACATATCACTTTCAAGTTTTCAACAAAGTCATTGCAATGCATTTGAGCTGTAACAATTTGATTCAAATCATTTCACTTTTCTGCATTTCTCCGCTAAGTTCAGCAACACACTTACTAAAAGCAGCTACCAATCAGCTAATAACATATTCAGCATTTTCAGCCACAAATGTTCACAGTTTACAGAATTCACACGCATTTTCAGCAGGAAATGCATTTTCTAGTTAAGGCAAGTTGTGCTAATTGTCAGAAGATTATGCAAATTAGCATCCAGCCGATTATAAATGCTTGGGACCAGTAGTAAACATTTCTAACATTACATATAATAATTATAATAATAAGATCTAGACTAAAACTAAAATGGTTGCAAAATGAACACTGGTTCCAGCTAGAACAGTTGACAATATCATCCCTAATCTCCCTTTTTGCCATGTGGCCGTGTATGAGTTTGTACCGTAATGAGGTCATCATCCAGCGTAGTAGGTGAGGCAGGACTCAACTCCCCATCAGAGTGGTCTGAGGACCCAGTCCTCTTCCTTTTCTTTGCTCCCACTAGAGTAATAGTGCTGCGGGAAGGGAAAGGTGGCAGGGAAGAGCAAAGACACAATTAAGTAGCGAAAAGTAACTAACAGTGTCTTCCTTTCCAAACACATATAACTTGCATCCATGTTATTCTCTCCCTCACAAACATATCACTTACTTTGTCTTAGTCTTGCTTTTGCTCTTGTTCCCAGACCCAGGTATCACTGTGCCTCCAGACGCTCCTGTTGCTCCTCCTGGCGTCTTCGCTTTGCCCTTTTTGTCCCCTCCTGAGCTTTTGGGCGTTGCTCCTCCAGCTACAGGACTTTTCTTCTTGCTACCTCCTCCGCCACTCTTTTTCTTTGCAGTAGACACCACGGTGACGGTGCCCCCCAACTCTGGGGAGGTCTGCGTGGCCGGGAGCTCGTCCTGGTTCAGGACTCTGGGCAGGTTCTTCTCGCCGCGCGCCTTCGCCCGGGCTATAGCTTCAGCCACGATGCGGTTTGCTTTCTCCTGCTTGCACAGGATCTCCACTCGCCGCACAGAGGTCGGCTCTCCAGGAGCCTTTGTGATGCGGATGGCCTGGGACGGCGTGGTGGTCGTGTTGGAGGGGCCCGCTGCCGACGTGTTGATGACCTTCACCACGGAGACGGTGCCGCCGAGCGAGGTTGTCCCGCTTGTCTGTGTGAAAGAGAATATTTTAGAGGGCAGAACTTTTCTCATGACTTTTTGGGTTTAGGTTAAAATGGCAGCACGATTTGGAAAGAACAGTTAATGCCATTATGTTGACTGTTATTGGGACTGCGTTAAGATTTGCGATATTTAGGGTACGGATCACATTTGAAATGAATTATTCACCTCATCATTAAAAATATAAATGATCATGGTGTGATTTCCTAAGAGGTTTTAAAATGTAGATTCATTGTGCAGCCCTATTTGTAAACATGTTAAATTCCTTGTTATTGTGTGGTTTCTGTTCAGACGTCAGGTCTCTCTCGCAAAAGAGATCTTAATCTGAATGAGACTTCTTGATGAAATAAAATAAAATGAACCACTATATACGCCACAAATAAATCCTTAAGCCCCCCCCTCTTTATAATAGTGTATACGTTTGTGAAATACAGAGAGGTCTATGCCCATGTTAAGGTCTACCTGTGGCTGCAGAAGCATTTTGAGCGGCACTGCAACTCTCTGTCCTCCTTGGCTCTGAGTGATCTGCAGCACCTGTGGGCCGCCGGGAGTTCCCGTTCCTGAGACCAGCTGGTACTGTGGGAGAGAAAGAAGAGAGGTGTCAAGACACAGACCCATTTGAAAAACTTTTTTTTTTAAAAAGCCTATGTCAAGTTAGATGTCACAAGTAGATAGATACATCTATCATAAGATACAGATACAGTAAATATCCAGAACATTTGGCAAGATTGTAAAAAACATATTTGGGAAATCTGCCTGTATGTCTGCTTATAAATAGTGGTTTCAATTTCATCTTTCTAGAAGCAGTATTAGTTGAGGGTGTCTTGAGGCTGGACAGGTATTAAGTAGTGCCTATTCCAACAGGTTTTCTTGACTTCTATACTTGGTGCTAAGATGGGCTACACATAGCATCAATTTGACACTACGGTTAGAAAGAGCCACATTCTGACATGTTTTACCTAAACATGTCAGACTTAGAAATCTGTTAAAACTTCCTAACGTTTTTTCTTTATCTCCAATTTTTTCAAAGAGGGGAACACACCCGTGGTCCATTTACAGGTGTGTTCCCCTCTTTCTCCACGTCTCTCCAAAAAAGGCACTAGGCCAAAAACATATCTTCAAATTATATATATATATATATATATATATATATATATATATATATATATATATATATATATATATATATATATTCTCTGGCTGGATAGAAGACTTTCAACACCCCCTTTAAAAATTGCATCAATGGAAAATAACTTGCAGCTTGCATGAAGACAGCTCTTCACACGGTTGTAAAAGACAGCATCAGAGCTCTGAGTATTATGATATCACCGCATTCAAAACTTCTGTTTTTGTTTCTCTTTGTTTTTGTTGTTGTTATTTATTCTCCGTCAAAGCGTCTTTGAGTTTCTAGAAAAGCGCTATACAAGTCTCATGTATTATTATTATCAACAAGAGAACAAAAAACAACAACATTTGATTACACAAGCAGGTACTTCCAAATTCTCTCACACTTCTTCCTCACCTTAATTCCCCCTTGCTGGTTGGGCTGCTGCTGCACCTGCAGCTGAATGGTGAGGACTTTGGGCTGGCCTCCAGCCTGGCCTGCAGCCCGGGCCTGGGTCAGGGCTGCTAGCTGGCTTCCCTGAAGCACCAGTTTGCCCCCGGGGAGCTGCCCCAGCACCAGTCTAGTCCCCCCCTGCTGCACCTGTGTGATCTGCTGCTGGCCTTGACCCGCAGCCATTCCCTGGGATGGCTGCTGGAGAACCAGTGTGATCCTCTTCTGTTCGCCACCCTAGAAACAGATACACGGGATGAGAATCAGGGGAAAAAACTGGCCTACAAATCCAAGAGTCGCCTGATGTGGTCAGCATGAGAAGGAGAGGTGGTGCTTACCTGCATTTGGGCCTGCATGGCTGGCTGCAGCTGCACCTGGCCTTGGGAGTTTACTTGGACTGTCTGGCCCTGCGTCTGCTGGGGCATGGTGGTCAGCACCATCTGTTTCACTGGCCCGTTAGGAGACTGCAGCAGCCTCTGCACCCCCGCAGTGCCCACCTTGACTTGAGCCTGTCCCTGGCCCGCCTGATTCAAAACTGTCCCGCCCTGCAGTATGTTCATGCCAGGTTTAAATTGAGTGCCGGATAACACACGGATGACCTTTCCAGTGGTCTGCCCTGTGGCTCCTGAAACAGTCTGCAGCACCTGGGCTTGACCCTGTGGCCCTTTGAGAATGACAATTTTACCGCCGGCCTGCTGTGTGATGGCAGCTAACTGCTGCGGAGTGAGCTGGTGAGTTATCTGCGTGAGCTGCTGCGTGTTGGCAGTGGTGGTGATGACCGGGGAGCTGGAAACAGTCAGAGGTGAGCGCAGCAGGACCGTGCTACTGGTGGCCACGCTGGTGCTGCTGACAATGGGTATGGTGGTCTGGGTCTGAGGTACAGTTTCTACCACGGCAGGAGCAGGGACTACAGTGGGAGCTGCAGATATGGAAATAGTCTGAGCAGTCGCCACCGGCACCGGCTGCTGTGTGAGGACTTGAACGGGGACGGGGTCCAGGTTGGAAGGAGCTGCTACAGAAAGGCAGAGGCCCGTGTTGTCCATGAGATCAGCCTCGGTTGATGGGTCCACTTGGCCCAAAGCCAGCTTAAGAGCCTCCTCTACGGGGTCCGAGGAGCCCTGAGTGAATGAACCGTCCGGCAGGGCATCAAGGTTAAACAGAGGGGTGTCCTCAAAGAGGTCCATGATGGGGTCTGCCATGTTGCCCTCTCCACACAGGGAGATGGGTAGAGCGGGAAAAGACTCCGAAGAAGGAAGATCTATAGTCGCAGTCCAGTTCTTCTCAACTTTTAGGTAAAAAGCTGGGAAAAGAGGAGAAACGCTTGTTAATGCAGCACCAATAAATAACGTTGACATTTGTTATAGGAATTATGATCATACAACTCAAACCTGCATAGAACAATATACGTTTGGTGGGACTCATTCAATAGATACTTAGTACATACGTGTTCAAGTAAACAAAGATAACAAGCAGAAGACGGAGACATTGAAAATTAGGCCTTAATTGACAAAATACTATCCTTTCTGATTCTTGTGTCATTTTCAGCTTCAGGTTCTTTTTTTGTTGATAATCAACAGCAATCATTTAAGTTTTGAATGCACAGAACGAATGTTTGTACAATAAATAAGACAACTTTTATATGAACAGACTTGCAAGTTTACTGTATATGAAATGCCTCAAACATACCACTTTTGTATCCAACAATTCGGAAGTAAAACTTATTTTGGATGACATAACTCCTAAAAAACAAATGCCTCACTCAAATGTTTTTGAAAATAACACCAAACTCATGATCAACTTGTTCAGAAAACGCTATCAATGGGATATAAGAGGCTTACTAAAACATGTTCAGGCAGTTTTAATGTTAATATAGAAGGCTACACAATGTAGGGGATATTCTGTGAATGAAAAATGTAAATAGTTGGAAGTGAGGTGAGAAGAGGAGGGTACTGATGCTAGAGCGGCAGGATGCTTTCCTCTGGTCGGATTGCAGCCTTTCTCACAAACCCGTCGGTTAGCATTAGCTTGTACCACGACCAAGATGTGGCTATTACAAAAGCGTGCGTGGCACTGAAACGTTTCCAGGGTTATAAACATGATATATTGTATGTTTGGTTCCATCTCCTTGCTTCTCTGTCATTTACTACCAACCATTCAGTCTACCGGACTCCTTCAATCTCATCAACAAACCGGACCAAACCAAAGCAACGTGCCACAATAACCATTGCCCGTCAACGTTCAGACACGGGTTAGGCCGCAATACTGTTTCGGTTGGTCTGCGTCTATTTTTCGGCACAAATACATGACAATAACCATTATATCCACTGCCCCAACTCTCACAGTAATAATTTCGGGGTGCTAAATTTACCTTTGCATCGACACACATGGCTTTCTCCGTCTCACAACACTGTACGATTACAGGAAACGGCCAGGGAAGAGCAGGAACTAACATTCTTGCCAGAGAAAGCGTAGAATGCGTGCCCCTCGTACGGTTCCAGGCGCTGATTGGTCTGTGTTCTCCCGAGCCGGCAGCATACGGCTATTTTATTGGAGGCAGGGGCCATCCGTCATCAGCGCGGCCACTTTTGGGCGGGATGAGAGCCATAGTTAGGTTGAGACAACAATAAATGCGGCCTAGCTGGGATCATTGGCTAAGTGATCTTCTTCAATGTTGGTGTTTTACTGCTGTGAGAAAGCGTTAACCATTTAGAGCTGACTGAAGAGTAATACACGGTGTTTTAATCACATTAAATGGTTACTGAACTGTACAACACAGTAGGCCTGTTTCTGAATGACACTGTTGTTTTTTTTCTAATGGTTTTATGACATTTGCTTCAGCTCAGGAATTATCCTAATGGCGGGATATAACCTTAGTACTTTATGAAAAAATATACTTCCAGACTTTGTGGGCACCTTGGCGGATTTTTTTCTTTATAATAAAAGGTTGAGGTATCAATAATAGCTGTCTGCTAGGTACCAATGGGATGATTGGTGAGCCTCCATCATTGATTCAGGTCTGTATGATCATGGTTTTGGCGCCCTCAAGTGTACAGGCTGAAACATGATTTCAGGCTCTTTTAAAGAATGGTCGTCAGATTATCCTAGGAGGCACATGGGAAGACTATTAACAACTCAGCCCGCTCCTTTCTTCCTTTTGTGGGTTATGCATGGGCACAGGCACAGCATGTTTATTTAATCGGAAGCATGCGTCCCATGTAGGCTAAGTAGGCTACAAAATCATAAGTAGCCTAATAATGAAACTCTCAAAATTATAAATTGACACCTTGCTTAATGACAGGCCTTCAAAATCAGGCCCACACGTGAAGGCTCTCATGAGGATATTGATTTGTACACCAGGCTCTTTATTACTTACACCCCTTTTGCCTTCAGAATTGAATTGTATGTTTTACTGCTGGAAGTAGCCATTAGAGAAGATAGGTAGCCTATAGTGTGGTTATAAAGGGAGCTGCATGGTCCTCAACAATGCTGAGGTGGCATTTAAATGAAGCTGAAGCTGTTGTCGTCTAACATCAACAAGGCCATTCCAGAGAACTGCCAATGACTGGATATTTGCTCTTTTTCCAAACATTCTTCTGAAAACTTCAGCCAGCTATATGCGTTGCATTCCAGTACATCAGCAGTTTCTGAAATACTCAAACAAGTCTTTGTGGCACCAATGCTATGATGATGCTATGCATCATTTAAAGTCTTTTAATCAACTTTTTTTTACCAATTCCGATGCTTTGTTTGAACTAGCAAATGACCTTGACCATGTTTACACGCCTTAATTCATTGAGTGGCTGCCATATATTGTTGTGTTAACTAGCACTTAAAATAGTATACCACCTGATTAAGTTAACATATTTGAGGTGTAGTATTAATAACAATTCATTATATTACCAAAAAACAAGCAGGTCCTTCTATGGGGCATCCGAACAAGTCATCAGTTGTGCGCTGTTGAAAATCTGGCATTTAGTTTATTTTTAAATGATACTTAACATTGCTGTCCTTCTCAGCTTACAATGAATATGATCTATGACACCACAAAAAAATGTAAACGATAGCAAGAGGCCTAATATTTCAGTATTCTAAGGTCAAGATTGATTCTGCAATAGGGCCAACAGGCAGAGATGGTCATGAACCAGGGAAGCGTAAGTGACTTAATGTGACAGCCCACCACACTTTATCCACGGCAGCCCTGTAGAGAAGAGCCTGCCGGATCGCCAAGGCCTCCATCTGTCTGCGGCACTGCGAGGAGTATCCGCTATCCTCCACACTCACACTCTGCCTCATGCGGGTCTGCTCCATCCACGCCAACGCTGACTCTGCTGGTGGGAGCTATATTTACAAACAGCTGCCGTGGCACACAGTGGGTAGAGTACCAGAGGAAGGAGGAATACTGACACACAATTAGTAAATCAGTTATTTCTTTGTGTTTATCTACAAATGTTTTCGTTGACTCTGGCAAAAAATGTGTGGATATAGCAATTTATGACAATGCACCGCATAAAAGCAACATGCTGAGCCAATATTATAGGATTTTATTTCAATATTTTCTCTTTAAAAGAAATATAAATGAACATTTTGCAGGAGACTAACAGGCATATAGAGGGGCACATTTGTAAGCTAGACAGGATGCCATGTGGAGCACAGCAATGTTGCAAACACTTATCAAATCAAATGTAATTTGAGCAGAGAAGCCCACTTTGCGCATTGGCTATTTTATAATGTAATCTCTTATAACCGAACAAATATTTTCAGAGTTTCAGATTGAAGCCTTCCATTTCTTCAATCCATTATTTTTTTCTCTGCTTCTTTCTCACAACTGCGACCTCCGATTCCCTTTCCATCACCTTTCTGAAGAAACACACTCGGCGATAAACTCTTCACTTTCTAACACCTCAACCACCTTCCTCACAGGGGGAACACCAGGAACCCGGAGAAAGTGGAGTACTTCCAGCCTCCCATCAGGTTTCCTCTCTCCAATCTGAGGTAAACCTTGTCCCCCTTCTCCATTATCACCAGGCCGGCGTTAGTGGCGGCTTCTCTGGTCACATCCTGGTCACCAGCGAAAGCTGAAATCATAGGCCAGCCATTCAACATCAAGCTGACCTAAGAGAGAGAAAACGAAGGGATTATGGAGTGCATGTTGGTTCAATGCAATAAAACAAAAATCATCATAGTTGAGGTTTCCTACCTGAATAGTTTGTCTATTGTAGGCCTTTACAACATGGAAGTTGAAGCTGTACACGCCCCTTCTTGGCGCCAGGAACACACTGCTCTCCTGGTCAAAATGATTGCCCACATTCACCAAAATCTGATGCAACAGCAAGGGAGGGTGGAAAAAGGGGCACGGCACGTCATTATTTTTCTTCCACGCAGTTAGATGTCAGGCCACACCCAGATACTGAGTCATTTTTTTCCCTACAATTCCATCACAACAGCAAAGCTCAACATTTACATGAAAATGCTGGCAGGTCTGCACTGTGAGTCTGAACGTTTGTACCTCTAACTTATTTATAACATGGCATTGTAATTATCTTGTTTTTTTCTCCAAAACTACACATGAAAACATTTTCCAAGTACTTAGCAGATGACCAAGTAATTGTTTTGCAAGTCACAAGTAGCAGGTCTTTCCACTCTGTCAAACATCCCTTTTGTGTTTTGAGTCATGATGCACATTTGGAAAACTCTAATTTGTTTTTACCACCATATTTTTTGAATGCAAATGAAATTGTCTTTGGTTTATTTATTTCCAACTGTCACTCAGTAACGTTACATTACTTCTTTGTGAACTACTGCAACTTGATTGAATGCTGTTGGATTGGTTTGAAGAAGAGGATTTAGAGAATTTAGTGTTGACTTACTGAGAATAAATAGCTATGGAAGCCCATTTCCGCCACTTACATTTTTATAATATATATACCTATAGTTTTGTGGTAACGTTCACGCCACTAATGACAATAGTGTAGGCATACTGCTGCTGTGAGTTGCTAGCCTAACTCTAACCCGTGAACGTTACCACAAAACTATAGGCATATAGTTCATAACAGGTAATGTCAAAGCTATGAACTGCATTGTTGTAGTTTAGCTGCAATATAGGCTATATGTAACATCTAACATAAGTCACCTGTAATAGTTACCTTATTTAGGACTAGATGCCGTTTGCATGGTGGAGAGCAGCAAGGTGATGAAGGGACCTTTGAAGACAGCGCCACTGCAGCGCATGCACACTTCTTATCTCATAATTATGACTTTTTATCTCATTATTTCGACTTTTCTATCTCATAATTATGACTTTTCATGGGGATTTTATTTTTTTCAAGTGGCAGAAATGGGCTTCCATAATTAGCTTTAACATTGGAGCAAAAATGCTTATTTAGCTTGTGTTTATTATTTAATTTATCATTATTTATTTACACCATGTTTATTTGTAATTGGTTATCACTTCCGGCATTTGTCTCATGGTTGATTGTATTTAATGCACCTGATCTGTTGAAAGACAGAGGGAAAACTAGGTTCAGACAATTACTCTCCACTGTATGGTCCCACTTTAGTTGTTGTTTGTTGAATTTTTTAACTTTAACTTAGTACAAACTTCTATTTGAAAAGGGTCACAGTGAAGAGCCCAGTCTAAGCCTCTAAGCAACTGAATTCATTGGGAATGTTGTCCCTAAACAAGGGTAATTGATTTGTTGGTTAGGGATTTTTTAAATCTTTGGACTTGGGGAAAGTATCTATTCCAAGTTTAAACACAAGTCATTCATACATTTCTTATTGAAAGTTGAGTTGCAGGTCTGTTTTGATTTTGTCGATTTGTGGCTTGAATCTGACTTTAATCTACGTCATGTGACTTGATTCCACACCTCTGGGTAATTTGTCCTCTCATCGTCAATGGGCTTTATTTGACATGGAAAATAACAAGCATCCTCTTATCTAAATACAAAATACTCACATTATCAAAGTAGATGATCATGGTGCGGTTGCTCATGTCTGTGGGCTCGTGGTTGGTCTGGCGGCTGGCGGAGAAGGCCACCCTCCCGGAGCCGGAGCGCACCGACATGCCCAGGGCGTTCCCGGAGGGCTCGGATGAAGGAGTGGAGTCGCACACCACCAGGCACTTCCCCTCTAGGATGATGGGCTCTGTGTCATTCTGACCCCTGGACTCCATCGGCCCCCACAACAGCAACACCCCCAACAGCATGGAGAGGTCAAAGGTGACCGACCTGCTGTGCATGACTGAACCTGGCGTGTTTACTCCAATATCTCTGATTGATTCTACTGTATGTGTCAAACACAACTTGGAATGAAAACAAACATGCTACAGTGAAAGAAAAAGTGTGTGGTAAAATGTTCCAAAGTTTAACCTCTTATGTAATTTTGTCTGAAGTACATTAATATGCACCTACGCAGCAGTAGAAGTGTCTATGTGTCTCACAAAAAAATTATATTCAGGAAAAATATTTAGAATTCCTCCCTGGCCATAGCTGTCAATCACTCCCTTTCTGTCTTGTCTTCTGAGTTTACTTGTTTGCCCACCAGAAATCCCAATTGTGTTCAGTGTCCTACGTGCTGTGTCAGCAGGGGCCAGAATGACAATCACAACACAATTCTTGAATCGGTATTTTCAAGTTGATTTCTTTGGCAAAAAGAAAACCTGACAAGAAGGCAGAAGATATGTAGCTGAGAAAAAGGAAAAAAGGTTTGCAAAGTGAGAAAAGATCCAAGTTCAGACTTTAACTGATGGAGATGGAGAGGGAGTGAAGGATGGTGGGGGATTGAAAGATGCTGATGATGAGAGGTGAGAGAAAAAAACAGATGAGGTAAGATTTTGGAGAGGTGACAAGCAAAGGATGTAGGACCCAGAAGGGAGTGCGAAATAGAGAGGGTGTGGGGGAACAACTCCACTGAGTGACCATCTGTCTTTTACACGTATCCCCCCCCCCCCTCCTCCATCCGACGCTGCTCAACACAAATTCCCTCACACAACATACATACTCTTGTTCTCGCTTGTGCTTTTGTTTCACACTTACAGACACAAATATAGTAGCTATACATAAAACAAAAATTGCACTGTTGAGAATTTTTAGCAGCCTTTCTGTTGTTTAACTCGTAGAAATGTGACATTTAATACAGGATAAGTTTAAAACAGTACATTTTAAAATCATTTATTGTTGACTAAGACGTGTGAAAACATCTCCTTCGTAGCTTTAATGAAATTGTCATCGCACACAAATACATACAGTTTTCTGGACTGATAAGATTCACATTATTGCAATATTATAAACTATTCAACTTAAAACAAGTGGTATAAAATGACCCGGATATTTCTTTATAGTACTATCCCTAAGTGAATAGAAAATAGATGATCACCTGTTTCCTTCCGAATATTCTTGTATTCCATACCAGGTGAAAAACAGTTGTTATATGGTCAAAAAATCCACGTTCTCTGGCTCCTCTAACATTATCTCTCAGCACGGCAGTCAGTGTGATCGTAACCAAGCCACAGTATGCTCTGTTCCCTCTCTCTATCTCTCTATCCTTGTCTTTCTCTCAGCCAACCCCCCCCCTTTCCTTCTGCTTCTTTCTCACCCTCCTCTATGTTACATCCACCCACTCATCTTTACCGTGAAATAAAGAAAAATTGCAAAATAATTGGGGATGTGAGCTGCTTCAAACAGCCAACTTAGCGAGTCAGTGGCAGTTGTTTTTCTTTTTCAAATAAGTGATTCCTTCCTGTTTTTCAATTGGAGTTGGAAGGGTTTAAATGCTCTTTCTTTCACCTGTGGAGTGGAAAATCTTTACACCTCCTATGCTTCATGTAGCTAGGGAGCATGTATTATGAGACTGGGTGAATGGAACATAGCATACATTTCTCTGTGAGGATATTCGTTTCTTTTACATACAGACATGTAATAGCTGAAAATATTTGTGTCATTTGTTATTTACAAAAAGAAGCTTTCAGTCAGAACTGAGGAAGGTGCTTAAGAATGGATGGAATGCATTTCAAAACATCTTACAACCTTCTTCATACAGTTGTTATATCTAAACCAATCCAACCAGACCAGTCATCTGCAGTTTTGATCGCTGTAGAATGAAAAGCACACAACAATCTTGCAATTTGGTTTCCAAAACCTATTTGAGTCTTTTCAAAGGAGCCTCTTTTTACATTACATTACATTACATTACATTGCATTTAGCTGACGCTTTTATCCAAAGCGACTTACAATAAGTACATTCGACCAGGAAGACACAACCTTGAAGAAAACAGAATCATATAAGTACATCAGGTTTCATAGAGCCAAAACATTTCAAGTGCTACTCAACTGGCTTTAGATAAGCCAGTCCTTTATTAGTATAAAAGTGCTTCGTTAGTTGCTTCAGTTGCTTTCCTGTTACGATGCACTTATATCCACTCATTGAATGTTCCATTCTCAAATATCTCTGATATTTCCATATCAATATCACCTGATCTAGGAAATATGGTTTTGTTCTTTATAAGACGAGCTCAGGCTTGGATGTAAGGGGAGAGAAATATTAGAGAGGCTCAAAGTTCCAGTTAGCTTCCAGAAATAAATCAGCAGCGCTTTGTCTTGGCATGGCTTTGTCTAAGTTAAACCAGCATGGTGCCAGTCAGCGTGTTTTCTCCGTCCCCCTTTGTCTTTTTTTCCACCTCAGACTTTGAGGATGGTGATGTGACTGTTGAGCTCAGCTTTGTAGAGTCCAAAGCCCAAGCACACGGACTCAGTGAACGTGGTGGAGAACGTGTGGAGGTGGGTCAGGTGGTTGGATGGTTTCACCTCGGAGAAGGTGATGGTGCCCGCTCCGTAGTCCACGGTGACGGAAACACGGTTGCCGGTCATTTGGTACGTAAGGCGGGTCTTCCTGCGGTTGTGCCAAGCAGCCAACTTCCTGTCGTGCTGCTGCGTCAAACTCCATGACACCTAGACGTTTAACAACCACCTTTTAAATCCAGGAATATGTCCTTTTGGTTCAAACTACAGCTGAAACAATTGATTGTCAAGTACCAACAATGTTTAGGGTTTGATTCAACAGAAAGTCACCTTTAGAATTTAAGATGCATAATTGTGATGATGTGTGTTAATTGTATGATGTGCTGTATGTTGTCTTATGTGCCGGAGCTAAATATACATTTCCATGTTATCCAAATGTAATGCATACTAAAGTAATCTGAATCTGAATCTATTGCTAAAGACTAAAGATCTTTCTCTGTTGTCTGTGAACGTATCTTTATGACTGTTTATCAGGGAACACAAGCAATTTGAATTGTACACTGGGAGATTTCTATTGGAATTTTTGTATTATAAATGATGAATGGACTGCATTTATATAGCGATTTCCACTCTTTGCAACCCAAGTCAAGGATACATTAACACAATGGTTGTGGGGGCTGGGAATGGAAGCACTGACCTACCAAATGGTAGACAACTACCCTACCATCAGCCAGAGCCATTTCTGATCATATTTTATAGACCAAACCTTCAACACTGAAAATATTATGTGACATATATCAAATTTGAATGGCTAAATGCTCTAAATTGAACAAACACCCTTAGCATATGTACCTTATTGTTCCCAAAGGCGTTACCGTCTTTGCCTTTCCGCCGAATACTTCTATAGCTGACGCCAATGTCCCAGAATCCCTCAGCTTCCAGCTCCCAGTAGTGAGTCCCAGAGGCGATGGTCTGGGCGGTGAGGACCTGCGGCCAGTGGTCGAAACGTTCGGGGTGAGCAGGGTGTGGTTGGCGGTTTCGTACCCGCGTCACGGAGCGAAGATCATCAGAGATGCTCAACAGAGGATGGGCTGTGTAAGTGTCCAGAGTCAAACGACTGGTCACTGTATGAGAGAAGAATAACAGACGAAGCAAAGCAAGGAGAGAGTTAGAGGCAGCCGTCATGCTCGGCTACTCTAAAGGCTGTACATTTTTTTTATAAATAAATATGAGGACAAATCTTCAAATCTAGCTCTTGGTAAAAAAGCAATAAAAACAATTTTCCAAAGATATTCAAGAGGCCCTTTTAAACTTTTTGGGGTTTTCCCTTTCCTGTAGTGTCATATAGGTTGTTTAGCTTGAAAATGGTCTGCAAAAGGCTACAATTCCAAGTCCCCTTTCTCTTCCACACATTCCACCCCATCCTGAAACACCTCCATTGGACTCCTTTTTTTACTTCTGTAACTTAATGACATCACTATTGTACACTTGTGCTTCTATCGGCCACAGCTCCAACACATTGTAGGTGATGGTCCACACTACTGCATTTTAAAACCAGCACAGCAATGTCTCTTCCGAAAAAGGACCTGTTAACTTAATATAATCCAGAGAACCTGTTGTAAGAATTTGAATATAGAAACTAGCTTCTTTTTACTGTATCACCGTATTATTTCAGATTTAAATAAATTGGGTATGTCACCCATCTGCACTCACAGAGCTCCCTCTTGAGTTCACTGAGGCAGCGGAGGGTGCCGGTTATGAAATCTCGATACTTGCTCTCTATGTCCTCCAAGATGTGTTTCCTGTCCAGACTGATGGCATCAGGGACATAAACTGGGCTGTCCAGGTCTGCTAGTAACCTAGGATATAAGAGAACAACACATGCTGCAGGAGAGGGACTATCTTGTTGATGAGAAACAAAATATATATATTTTTAAAGATAAAAGGCATGTAGGGTGTAATCGTTACATCTAGTGATTCCAACAGACAAAGACTGCATCAACACAAATGATGACACAGTTTTGTTCTGGACTTACTTTGTGTCGTCCGATTGAAAGGCCTAAGAAAGAGTCAAGGACAGCCGAGAAAAACATGACAGAAAAGAATTCATTTACAAAAGAAATTGCAAACATCCCTTACAGTCCAGCCCAGCAGGATAAGAAAGCAAACAAACAAACAAACAAACAAACAAACAAACAAACAAACAAACAAACAAACAAACACAAAGAGGAAGCTTCACACAAACATATAACTAACCACATCTGTGGGAATGTATATGTGCCATTTTTTCCCAAGATGTACTGTATAAGCTTATGCAACATAAATCATGATGTTTGAACGGCTGTGCTGCATAGCTCAGATTCTTGATAAGCTAAAACTTTTTGATGACAGCATCTTCTGTGTGTTTTTGTCTCTTTTTTTAAAGATGAATTGGCTTTGTGCTAAAACAAATAACAGCTTAAAGGCCCTGAACATCTTTTTGCCTTAATTAGGCAGGACGACTGCCAAAAATCTAGGGGGTGGGGGGGGCGACTTAGGCAAAGTTTTAAACATAGGCTAAAGTCTACCAGGGGCCTCAGCCTTGAAGATAAAATGTCTCCATAACTGTCAAATTTAGAACCATTTTGGTTATTTCTTGTATTAGTTTAGTGCAGTTTTGTCTGTTCTCTTTCCACTGGTTTGGGCCAAATTTAAACATTGTGTCATTAAATAAAGCTGTAATCAGGATTTAGCAACATGTGGAGAGCGGCTGTGGTTCAATCCCCTGAGCCTAATATCTGCGTCTGTATAAATGTGTTTAAATGCTGACATGTGTTGTTGTAAATCCCTTTGAATAGACGCAAAAGCAAGAAAGGCGCTACGCTTCTAAATGCTGTCCATTTACCATTAACACATTTGAAACCAGGCACATTCAGTCAGTTATTCAGCAATGTTAATACCTTATCAAAAGTGACCTCCATTCAGTTTTCACCAGCTGAGTTAAGATATGCTAGGTAAACATATGATACACCAACAAGTTGTGTCTATTTAGACAAAACCATCTCAAACTTAATTACCGTAAATGTGAAAACTTTGGTTACCAAAATCTTGTCCTGTTCCCTACAGATTCTCCATCCTTGAGCATACATGTGTTTTGAAAGATAACAACCAAAGACATGTTTTGAAAGAGCCCTTGAGCCATGCCACTTGCATTGCTAACGGTTAGCTAAAGGACAACTGATTGAGCTTAGTTCAGCACATCAGAAGCTAAATTGTTTTAGGTTTTTCTGCATGACTGACAACACTGTATCATCATTATTCACAGTGGCTACCCTACTTATAATACATCAGAATACATGCATTTGTATGTCAACAGATCAAGTGTGTACATCAGTGAGTCAGTCCTCACCCAGATGAGCAGGAAGGGGTCGGTCTCTGACAGCAGCGAGGCCAAGTAGTACTGGATGCTCAGCGCCTGGCTCATACCGTCTCTCACCTTGGAGCAGTCTTCATGCACTCGCTCTATCACCTGCTGCCTCTCCCTCGTGGTGATCTCCCTCAGAGCGCCCACCAGCTTCGTCACCTGGATCTGCAGGTCTGAGCCCAGCCGCTCCACCTGGGAGATGTCATCCATCAGGGAGTCCTGAAATCAGTCGGGAGAGATTGGCGCAAGATCAGCGATTAAATATAATCAAAAATATCTAATGCATTTGAAAAAATTCCAACTCACAGCCATGACAATACACTCATGCTCCTTGAGGATTCGCTCTCCATCTTTCATCTTCTCCTCTGCTTTGCCTAGCAGGGTTTGGAGAATGACCTGGGGAATCACACATGAGTCAATGCAGGAACTGTGCATTGAAAATGTTTACAAAACAAACACATTTTCTTCCAGCTGACCTTCAGATCCTCTTCCACCTGTCTCAGCGCCTTCACTTTGTGCTGAGCGTGGCTTCCGTCCAGCAGACAGTCTCCACACACGTACTCCCTGTCATCGGCGCAGTAGTATCTCAGTATCTCTTCGTGGGTCTGGCACTTCCGCTGGGAGAGGTTCCCCAGCGGATCCACCAGCAGGTGGGTGCTGAACGCCGGCCTCTCCAGATGGGGTTGGAGGTGTAGGGCACACAGCGACACTTCACACCTCAGGCAGGTCTTGACGGCCAATGGCGGCTTTCCTTCCACCGCTTCCTCTGGAGGGCAGCAGTCACACAGCACCTCCCCGTGCTCCTCCTGACACTGGGGGCAGTTGAAGCGACCTTTGACCTCACCCTGCCCACTCCAGGCCTCGCGGATGCAGGTGGGGCAGAAGCTGTGACCGCAGGGCAGAGGGTGGGATTTGCTGAAGCAGTCTCGGCACACGGAGCAGGTCAGCTCTTCCTCCATGGACGCCATGGTGGGCGGATCACTGTGTATGTGTCACACAAGGCTACTCACTATACAGTTTGTAAGACAGAAACCAGATACACACTGATTTTGATTCCTGTGAGTAATTGTACGTGCTCGGAAAATGTAACCAAGTTGTGGATTTATTCACACAAATTGAAAGACATTATTTACAAATGTACCTGCTGCTGTTATACGTAAGAATGTGAATTATAATGCGCAGTTCTTGTTGAGCTGGTGGGAAGTTTACTCCAACTGTGCACGCTGAACAGTAATCCTGTCTCCTGGGCTTTTGCCTACCGCGCTCTATGAATAGAATACTAAACCACCATTACTGTGAAAATGTTCTGAGGTTGGACAAAAATAACACTACATATCCTAATGGGTTTAAGTGAGCGTTAATGGCGTTTAAAATGTAGACTTGCTGGTTATCACATTAAGGATAAAGGGGTTGCAACAATGAACATGAGTGTTAACTCCACTAAGCACAGTTACAGGGGATCAGGAGATCCTCCTTGAGAGATTGTTGGCCGGATTTACTCTCAGCATGTGCTCGGCTTTTACATCTTTAACTACGAACACACATGTGCTTGTCAGAACTGAATGTGATTTTTTACAAACAAAATGGTGTTTCTTACCTGCTGATGCCCTGGTGTTTGCCGACTGTGGCCATCGGTGAGGGTGAGTGTGGTCAGTGTTGTTGACCGAGGAGGCTAATCCCAAAAGATCCACCCACCCTCGGTGTCTGCTTTAGTGGTTTGCACCGGACTCAGAGAGGTCACATGACCCTGGAGGTGGCCAAGGGAAAATTATTAGGTAACTTTGAAGTTAACTTTACATCATCTTTTGGAACTGAAACAGTGACTACTTAACACGTCATATGACACTGTGAGTGGAAAAAACATCTCCCTGTCTGTTATATCAGCAACCTCTCTGATAATAAAGTGTGACTTTTAATTTGTCTTTATATTCAGTGTGCAATATCAACCTTAAAGGGACTCTATTATGCTCATTTTCAGCTTCATATTTGTATTTTGTGCCTCTGTGACATGTTTTTATGCTTTAATATTCAAATAACTTTTAGCCTTTGCAGACCATTTACATTTATATTCCATACACATCTGTATTTCTTTCTTAATAGGTAACGTGCATAGCCACTTTAACAAAAATTCTCCCACTTCCACCGATCCTGTTGATCAGAAAAATACTGATAATTATATATCACTGTCAATGGCTTAAACTTCACTTTTTTGCCATCAGTTGAGTCAGTGTTTCTCAAAGTGGGGGGCGTGACAGGGGGAGCCAGAGACCAGGAGGAAAAAATGTTATGACAAACAAAATAAAAGACGTCGGCATGACCGGCGGAAGTAACACTTAGAAACCTTAGAAACCTTAGAAACCTATGAGCGCGCTGTAGGACACAGGTGTGTAATGTACATTTTGAGGATGGAAGGTCAATAGGCGGCGTCAGGGGGGCACTAAGGGGTGCTGCAGGTCCCCCTAGGATAGCCATAGCACCCCCTAAGCACCCCCAAGAAATGTATGTATTTTTTATTTGTATGTGTGAAATTCATAATTTGAAAAATGTATGATTCGAAAATAATATGCTACAGTACAGTACAAGTACGTCTGGTCTCTGTGTTTCATTCAAGCTCGGCTCTGAGATAGAGAGAGAGTGCACCGATACCGGCCGGAGATTGTTGTTGTTAGCATCTGGTGCTAGCTAGCTACGCTAACGGATAGAAGGAGCTTTTTCAACAACAAGGTGGACGGAGAACTCTCGCCTGTCAGACTGAGAGGCTCAGATAACTCTCTCAGTGTTTAGATTACCCACAGCACCCCCAAAAGAAAATCTCTGGCGCCGCCACTGAGCCTGCAACCCCGTTTTGAAGAAATGTGCAGTGCAAAACAGGCTCATTGCAGATAATGCTGTGATAAGACACACTTTTTTGCCAAATATCAGCATTTTCTTTCTTTTCATTTTTTTGCACAGATTGCAAAGTGGCAAAGTATTATAACTTATTGTTCTGGCAAAGGGATTGCACAATTGTATTTATTTTTTTGAGCACACAGACTTATGGAGCATTGTTTTATTATCACTGTTCTAGCAAAGTGATTTTTTTTATTTTTTTGAAAGGAATGCTCACGTTCATATTGATATATTTTAATAAATGTTAACTTGGCCCATTACGTGACTATTTGTGTTGGGGGAGCTCGACTTTATTTTTTTCTCCAAAGGGGGGCCTGACAGAAAATGTTTGAGAACAATGAGTTAAGTTAACCATGACTGCACCTGCACACACAAGAACACTAGTTTAACCTCCCTGAATATGTAACTGTATTTACATGACCAAGTCATTCAACTTTTAATATTAAAATAAACTTGTTTCCCATACATGATGAGGCCAGTATGTTTCCCGTAGCCAAAACAACTGATCCCTAAAGCATAAATGATCAAAGGTAGCAAGCAACAAGGAAGCTTAGAGCATTCTCTGCATGTATAGAGAGAGATGGAACAAAATAATAAATTGCGCATGTTTCCTTTGCACTTACACACAGGTGATTAAGCACCCAATTAGTTAGAAATGAAGCTTTGAAATGTAGCCAAAACCCAGGTGGGATTGTCATTAAATTGTGTACACAAATTCATGTTCCCCACAGGATGTACTGTTACAACTTTGGTGATGATCTGAAATAAGGGTAACTATGTCTGTCATTTAAATATGAAGCAGACACTTTACCTTAGTTTAGCATAAAGATCAAATCAGGGAGAAACAGCAAGCTTGGTTCAAAATTCACCGTGCTAGAATAAATCCTGCATAAGTCTACTGGTAAAACCGATACAATAAGTATGTAACATATTAGTGAGTTTTAAAGGTGCTGGTAGACCTTGTTTAATATATGACACTCTGCTTCTGTCTTTCTATGTCCGGTATGATCAGTATCTAAGCCGATGTTAGCTTTCAGATATAGCTGTGTTACTGACATTACTGGGTCAGTTTACTGACTTTGCTGACTCTTCTCTACACAAGCAACGAAAAGCATCTGGTGTAACATATTGCCTTAATGTACTGAGCTTTATTTGTGTGTACATGGTTACAATATGTGTTGGTGTCTATACTGTATGTGTGTGAATCCATAACTACTGGGGCAAAAATAAGTTGCATGCACCCTTTGGTGCTTTCATGTTCCAAAAAAGCACAGCAAACATGCCCTCTTGATTCCCCCTTTGGTAGATAAAACCTTATAACATGCCCTTTACTCTTCTAGAAGAACACTTTATGTTTGAAGTGTGTGAATCATCTGTTTCTCATAGCACATGCTTAACTGCTTGAATATCTGAATTACTTCACAAACCAGAGATGCCCATTTTTAAACCAGGGCCTATTTCACAAAGTAGGAAAAATAAGTAAAGTGGAAAACTCAAACCATTCAGATCATAGCACATTTAAATATGAGCAACTCAAGTTTATTGTAAAACATGTTGTCTTTGAGAGACACCTAGTGGCTTTACTGATGTAAGACCACAGCAAGGTAGTTAAGGCAACACGTTGTATTGTAAATATAATAGTAATCAAAATAAATGTGCTATTCTATTTTAAATGTCATCATCAGGGAGGTTGTTAGGTATAATGATTATCCTAAGATTATGGTTTGTATTGCATTTAATGAGATGTAACCGTCTGAAGCACTAGTGTGTTTTACCTGATCCTGACAGAAGTCTTAGATACTTTGTTCCTTATGTAAGACTATATTACATTACATTACATTGCATTTAGCTGACGCTTTTATCCAAAGCGACTTACAATAAGTACATTCGACCAGGAAGACACAACCTTGAAGAAAACAGAATCATATAAGTACATCAGGTTTCATAGAGCCAAACATTTCAAGTGCTACTCAACTGGCTTTAGATAAGCCAGTCCTTTATTAGTATAAAAGTGCTTATATATTGTCATGCAAGCGGAAAGACTCAAATATAATGTTTGCATCTTGATTCGTCAGAGATTACATGTGTCAAGGTCATTCTTGAGGCCATGCATAGATGATTTATCAAGCTAAACTCAACCCCAAGGTCAAATGTATTTGAATGAAGTAAATCAGCCCTGCACAGTCAGTCCCACTCCATCCTAATCCAATCTAATCCAATCTCAGAACAAGTCAGACTACATTTTAAATCTACACTAAATCTAAAACAATCTTGCTGATCCAGAAAGACTTAACAAACCGACATATCTATAGCCACATAGAATGCTACGGCTAGGACTATTAAACAACATCCAGACTTATTATTGGCTTTAATAAAACCTATATATTTCCAGTGGACAGGTATTGTCTCCAAATGACTTTGGCTGTAACAAAGTATGCTTTCAAAGTTCTAAAACAGCTCACTAAAGACTGTACTGAGAACTCAATGTAAATATGGGGATAAGACCTGTAGTGCCAAGAATCCAACATTTAAAAACTCACTGAGACGAAATGTGATTTTTTTATTAAAATATGAAAAATATGAAATATGATTTGTTATGATAACCTGGGGGGGCGGGGGTACAATCATGCACACCTGTACCAATCTCCCAGTCAGCCTGATTGAGCCCAGCTGTGTGGCCTGTGCGACATGCACACTGAGAGCCAATGTGGAGGTAACCGTGGTCACTGTTTCCCAGAGGACCGTCTGGCGGCGAGGGCCATTAATTATAAGAGACAGGCAGACAGACAGCTATACTGCTAAGCAGACAGACAGACAGTACCGCAGAGAGCGTAGACAGGCCTGACAGCAGCAGGCCCCGACAAATACAAAGAAAAGAGGAAGAGCAGCACGCACGGCCAACAAAATAATCCTCCCCGTGCAGCGAGTAGCCCGCAGCACCGCCCCTGCTTCTCCTCCCGACACAGGACTATCAGTAAATACATTCAGGCATAATAACCCTTTGTTAAAAGAGAAAGAAACGCGATTTGCGACGGAGATAAATAATTGAAAAAAAATGCGGCTGTCCGACTGCGCATCCCTGAGTGTGAATAGGGAATTGCTGCGCCAGTGTCCCGGCTGAGAGACGAGAGCCGATCTTACCCAACCTAAGCTCCTGAGCTTTTCCCCCCGTGTCATTACACAATATCGCTGCCAAAAATCATCGTTTCAAACATGGTAAGTTGTTTTTGTGTTATATTTAAAGCGGTTGTGTCGGCGACGAGCGGCCTGTGGGGGAAATGCACATCCGGGACTGTATTTTTTCGAGAAGTCATAATATTTTATGAATCATAACTTGTTATGATGTGGGAGCGCGCCTGGCGTGCAACAGGTCGCCGTACAGTAGCGGGGACGCGCATCTCTCCACCGTATTTTGCGCTTGTTCCAAACATTGGTGTAAAAAACACGTCCGACCGTCGTAATGGCAAGATGGCACGAAAAATACGAATGCGTTGTTGGCACAATAGAGTTCTGGTTTAAAAAAAGCAACGATATTCTGTCTTTTGACTGTTTCATAACAACTATTGGAGTTCTCACTTCTTTCTCTTTGACACATTAGTATCGATTACACAATGACGAGCATGTTTATAGGTTTATAGGTTAATTATTTTCGTTTTAATCATTTTATACTGCACGGAAATCACTGCTCGATTTACATAGAAAAAGTGTCCATATGCCCACTACTGATTAAAACACAATTCCGGAGGTCAAATTGATCATATTACAAATAAATCGCTTTTACAGTAAACTGTCCAACAATGGAACTTGAAGACCTTTTCAAAAAAGAATAATTTTTGACACATTATTAGTCGATTGGACTGTAATCGGCTGAGGACCTATAACATTTAGACTATATGTCAAACCTTGGATGCATTTTATTATTCTGCCCAAGTCTAGAGAGACAGGGGAGAGGTTGGGGTGGGGGGTGTTGGTGTTGGTGGGGGGGTGGTGTCACAGGGCCCGGGTGAAAAATGATTTTCCTCCTCACTCTGTGCCTGTGTCTTTCTTTCACTACCTCTCTCCACGTGGTAAGCGGTCGGGATGAGGGTGAAAAGGGAGCATTGTGCCTCCAGTCAGTGGCCTTATGTGTTGGAGAGGCTCTAAGAGGGTGATGTTCACTCAGCTGTGCTCCCTCTACGCCATTGTTGCAAATTCCACCTCATTTCAGCCACTCTGTTTACTGAGCTCACACAGTAGCCTGTTCTAGAGGCGACCGGAGCACAGACACCTCACATATCACACAGCCTGAATAGACTAGGATATGGGCATGTGAGGCCTCTGACTTAATACATTTGGTGTAATGTAACAAAAAGTAAAACGCAGAATTATTTTAACCAAGCTGTCTTAATCCTAACCTTTTCCTTCTGTTACACACTGGTAAACACACACTGTGTCATCCAGATGTTAGAGGATCATATCAATAATCAGAAGCGCAGGAAAGGGCCTTTATGTGACGAACTTGAGCGTCAATGTGTGAGGGTTTACTAAAGCAAGGCAGTGGACTCTTGGCTTCTCAAAAGAAGGGGTGTTCACTCGCCATTTGAATGCAAAGTAGTGGATGAACAAGTGGGCTGTGTGAGTGCGTGTGTGTGTGTAGGGGGGCCAACGGTGAGTTTTGAGAAAAGGAAGACTTGTTGAGAGAAACTGTCACACATGCGTCTTTGGCACTTTAGTTCTGTTTTTCTTTCTCTGCACCACAATGCCATCAACGTGGACAAGCTTTATTGAGACTAATCAATCCGGAGGGTCCATTGTCAAATTTTTTGAGATGATACTTTAGGTTTTCTTCTATTTTTTCCCTCTAAGTAATTTAGATGCCTACTTTTTTCAGTGCACAGGGAGAAAGAATAAAAGTTGTGTGTTGGCCAATGCGCCCCTGCGTCGGTCCCATCCTGCAGAAGCATGTCCCGTCGGAAACAGAAACGACCTCAGCAGCTTATGAACCAGACCCTCGGTGCCTGTCGGATACTTGAGCATGGTGAGAATTAGACTATATATCAATAGATTACTCATTATTCAGTGGGATTGGTTTCACCTCAAATAATTAACTTTACCTCAACATGCAGAGATTGTTCCAGTTGATTTGTCATTGGAATAGTGGATCTAATGTAATGCATACATTAAACTAACAAATTAACTTTTTGTAAAACGTGTTACCTATAGGATGTCTTGCCTAACCTCTTATAGGAAATACCGGTTTTAGAATTGAAATGTAATCGGTCAAAAGAATATTGTTGATTAGGAGGTAGTTATTTTATCTCCATTTCTAAATGTTTGTTACCAGAAATATTAAACATTTACATCCATTCAATTTACATTTTGTCATACATGAACGCTAAGAAGAAAGAGAAACCTTGTTTGAAGAATTGGCCTACAGACAGTCTTTAATTAATTCTCTGGTTGCTGCCATTAGCTGCTTTCTTTTCCCTACTAAATACAAATGTCTTCACTCCTCATGACTGCCACTGGTTCAAAGACGCAGACCAACCAGAATAGGGGGATATACAGTAAATCCCCAGAGAAACACTTATTTAAAAACAATGTATAGTGAATTTGAAAATGTGTTTACGAGAAGCAAGATACTGTGGTTGAAGCAAAAAGATGAGAAGGTCAAGTAAAAGGAAACTTTGTGAGGCACTATAAGGTGCTCGAACTGCAATAGCATTAGACCCTATTGTCCCCTTTCAGCTTTGTTGCTGGGCACTGAAGCATGAACATACCCATGAAGGAGTTTGTGTGTATGCAAGTGTGTGTATTTGTGTCTGTTAACTCCAGTTACAGGAGGAGGGCTCACAGTGTCATAAAATTGTAGCTTCAAGCAAACAGCAGTATGTCTGTGTGTGTTAGCGTGTGCATGGGCAACCCTCTGCATACAAAGTGTTGATTCTATTGTGTCTGTTGTGCATTGGCAGGTATTTTGTGTGTATGTGCTTTAACATTAGTCTCTTGTGCTTTTTTCTGGCTAAGTTAGCTTGTTCATGGTCTGTGAGTCGTCATGTCTGTTTTTGGGGCTGTTTGTTTTCTTTTGAGCCACCTCTCTTCCTCTGCCTGGCCCTAAACCGAATCAGGAATGCGACCTCAGTGTTAAAGGTCAAGTCTGCCAGCCAATCAGGCTACCAGTACAGTGTCCAGTACCTACGCAGGACCTAACCCTTAGCACTACTCTGGACTACTGGGGGCAGGGCTCTTAAGGAGATGAGAGAAAGACAGCTTGAATGGAGGAGGGAAGAAAGGGAGAGGGGCAGGGATGGGAGAGTGTATGGATGTGGCTTCTTTTTATTTGGGAGGGGGTTAGGTAAAGTCCATTGTCTTGTGTTGCCCTGGAAACAAGGTAGGCTCCTCTAGTGTGTGTGTGTGTGTGTGTGTGTGTGTGTGTGTGTGTGTGTGTGTGTGTGTGTGTGTGTGTGTGTGTGTGTGTGTGTGTGTGTGTGTGTGTGTGTGTGTGTGTGTGTGTGTGTGTGTGTGTGTGTGTGTGTGTGTGTGTGTGTGTGTGTGTGTGTGTGTGTGTGTGTGTGTGTGTGTGTGTGTGTGTGTGTGTGTGTGTGTGTGTGTGTGTGTGTGTGTGTGTGTGTGTGTGTGTGTGTGTGTGTGTGTGTGTCGTGTGTGTGTGTGTGTGTGTGTGTGTGTGTGTGGTGTGTGTGTGATGTGTGTGTGTGTGTGTGTGTGTGTGTGTGTGTGTGTGTGTGTGTGTGTGTGTGTGTGTGTGTGTGTGTGTGTGTGTGTGTGTGTGTGGTGTGTGTGTGTGTGTGTGTGTGTGTGTGTGTGTGTTGTGTGTGTGTGTGTGTGTGTGTGTGTGTGTGTGTGTGTGTGTGTGTGTGTGTGTGTGTGTGTGGTCAGTCAGGTGATGAGGAGGATAGACAAAGAGGAAAAGAAAACAGTAGTGGATCATAAACTAGTGTAAATTAATCCCAAAGGTTAAAAAGCCAATACATCCATTTCCAACACATTAGTCACCTAATAAGATAATGTACTTTTCACTGCTGGTATTTTATGTTGTGTCCTATATCATGGAGAAGATTGTAGACTATAATGTAAACTTTTGTTTTCATTGACGGTGGTATGATTACATTTAGTGTTTCTTCTTTCAATTTTCTTAGATGACAACTTGGCAATGAAGTCAAACTCCTTTCCATTTATCCTGGATTCTCCCTTGTGCTCTCCATCGACCTCTCTTCAAAGTTCCCAGCTGCCCCTCGCTGTCCGTTCATTTTTCAAGGGCTCTCAGACCCCCTCTTTACCTACTGAGGGTCCACTGATATCCTGCTCACCCAGCCAGCCCTCCCACCAGCCCCTCAAAGACCCAGGACCCCCCCTCTCTCCTGACTTCCCGTTCTCCTCTCTCTCTTCCCAAACTCAATATCCACCCTTTCAACAGCCTGGTTGCAACCCTACGTCTTCTGCAAGTGCCCTCAGCCCCCCCTCCCGAAGCGCACACATGGCCTCTCCCAAGTTGGGGCTGTCAGCCACCACCACTACTTCTTCTTCCTCCTCATCATCCTCTGCCTCCCTATGTCCACCACCACACCCTGGTAGCCCTAGCCGTGTGCCTGAGGGACCCCCAAGTCCTGTTACTCCAATACCCAGCCCAGGAGTGACATCAGCCTCAGCTGCACCCTCTAGGGCCCAACTGAGCATCGCCCTGATACTGGAGGAGCTCCGGGTCCTTCAGCAAAGGCAGATCCATCAAATGCAGATAACAGAGGAGATCTGTAGACAGGTGCTACGCCTCGGTGGAGCCTCCTATACCATAGACACACCCTCCCAGCAACTCCTCCCCCCCCTGCCTCAGCTCTGCCTGGAAGGCGGCAAAAGGGCAGCCAGCCCAAATACCCAGCCAACCACACCTCAGCCGTCCGCCTCTGTCGCTCCTCTCCTGGCATGTTTCTCCTCCCTGCTCCCTTCTCAGGCAGCCAACAAACCCACAAAGCCAAGCAGTTCCCTGTCTCAAATCCTGCAGCCCCACAAATCCCAGATGGAAGGGATGGGAGGGACTGGAGGGGCTCATGGTTATCTGAGGGGGATTTCCAGATCCTCAGCACCCCCCACCTCTTCCTCTTCCGCCATGTCCATGGTTTCTTCCAGCTATCCGTTAGCCTTGTCATTAGCTCTCCCCACCCGCTATCTTCATGAGAAATCTCCAAATACCACTTCAGTGACTGGGCACAGTGGGCTGTCCTTCCTAAACTCATCCCTCCCCACATCAGTATCTATGGTCCAAAACTCCCAAAATGCCCTGCAATCTTTCTCTGCAGGGGTAGAACCTTCCTCTTCAGGCTCCGCCTCCACAGGCCGACTGCAACATGCCTGCCGCTTTTGTGGAAAAGCATTCAGTAGTGACTCTTCCCTACAGATACATCTGCGCTCGCACACAGGGGAACGACCCTACCAGTGCCCAGTGTGCCTCAGCCGCTTCACCACAAGGGGCAATCTCAAGGTGCACTTCCTACGCCATCGTGAGCAAAACCCAGAGCTCTCACTTTCACTCCTGCCACCATCCTTGTTTGGAGTAGCATTAGGACCCACTGGGGGGGCAGAAATGGGACAGACCATGAGCAGTAGTAGCAGTACTAGTGGCATGAATATGATGCAGATGAGGCCAAAAGGCTGGCCTGAGGATGAAACATGTGGAGATAATGTGGAGGGCAGTGGTACCAGCACAGGCTTTTCTCTGGGAGCCTCTGGAGGATCTACTTCTTCTTCCCTGCCCTTGCCCCCTAGTGTAGACCTGGCTTTGATTTCCCACTCTCTTCTGCAGCTTAATAGGGCTGCGGCTGTAGCAGCTGCAGCTTCTATCGCCTCTGGCTCATCCCACTCCTCTTCTTCAACTTCCTCCTCTTCTCTGGTTACCTCACTCCTCTCCAACCCTTCCATGTCATCGTCTTCCAGCCTCACAGGCTTATTCAAGGGTGCCAAGCAGCAGCACTTTGATGAAAACACTCCCCCTCATGCCCCAATGCTTACTCCTGCTGCATACTCCCAGCTAGCCCACCTGCCTAAGCTCCTTTTCCCATCTGTCTCCACGTCTTCCTCTACCCCTACTGCACACTCATCCCTCTACAACCATGCAGCCTTGGGCCTGATGCGCAACCAACTCCCCTCTGCCCCAGGCTCCCACCAACTTGCTTCATCTAGCCATTCTCAGCTTTCTTTTCCTTTCTCTTCATTTCCTAAAGTCCAAGGTCAAACCACCAACACTCAATCCTCCCTGCCATCAGCCACTCCTACATCTGAAACTTCAAAGCTGCAGAGGCTGGTGGAAAAGCTAGAGAAGGCCCCCCATTCCTCATCTGAATGGCTGTCTTCCTCTACTTCCTCCTCCATTCTTGAGATGTTATCTGGAAGTGCCACTACCTCTTCAAGTTCAGCCAACAGTCGTTTCAAAAATGCAAACACTTCGACCACATACGTCATGGCGTCCCCACCATCTTCGACTCGTGCTTCCACTTCTGTTGCAAACTTCACCCATGAGATGGTTGCTGCCCTAGGCATGAGTGCCAATGGAGCGAGTGCCATGGCAGGGGGCTTGCTACCATCACTAAGCATCACAGGTCCAGCTGGTAACCTGACAAACAATCAGTGCGGGGTGTGTCTACGGGTCCTGAGCTGTCCAAGAGCACTGCGTCTGCACCAGGCTACACACCTCGGAGAACGCCCTTTTCCATGTAAGATATGTGGCAGATCCTTCTCTACCAAAGGCAGCCTGCGGTCACATCTAGCCACTCATCATGCCCGACCTCCAAATGCACGTGTCCAGAACTCTTGCCCACTGTGCCAGCGTAAGTTTACTAACGCTCTAGTGCTCCAGCACCACATCCGTATGCACCTTGGTGGACAGTTGCCAACAGATGGCACAGAGGATCCTGCACATGAGATGCCAACTGAATCTATGGCAAAACCTGAGTCTCAATCCCAATCGACTGACCCAAATACTGTATCTACTAAAACACCTCCTTTAGCAGGCCACTCTAGGAGCCCAGCCCCAAGCTCACTATTTCAATCTCCAGCAGTTGGCTCGGTTCCTGTGTCCGGCAGTACGAAATCAGTTGAGTTTGGGAAGTCTGGGACCTCCAGTCCTGACCTTATTCCCCCCTCTGACCTTAGCCCTGACCCCTTCATGAATCCCACCACACAAACTCCATCCCCAGGCAGTGTGGAACCCCCTGTCCTTTGTGTCAGTGCCCCCTTGCCAGTCTCTCAACAGACAGAACAAGCTTCCCAAGTTAGCAAAGATAACCAGGTTGAGCAAGCTACTAACGATGTCCAACATCCTAAATCCAGCCCCTCACCAATTTCCTTCACTGTTACCAAAACACCAGTTTCATCGAACGCTATGGAAGTAGACTGTGGAGAAGATGAAGCAGTCACCTCCTTCGAAGCCCTTTGTGGCTCCAGATCAAATCTGGAAGACTTTAAAAGCACACCTGCCCTTGCTGACCCCTCTGCTTACACCTGTCCCAGTACCTCCTCTGACCCCAACCTGAGTCAAGATATAACGAATGTTATCGCAACACCAACCTTAGTATCAGAGTCTGTCTCCCCAAGGCCCCAATCACCAGAACCCATGGAAGAAGACAATGATGAGTCTTCTCCACCAGCATCACCAAAGCAAGACAAAGCAACTGTGCCTGACGAGAACCTCAACATGACGTCCACTGTGGAGACTGCTGACACTATTGGTGCTGATGGAAAAGGTGCATCTCAGAGAGATGGCACGTTTGTGAGGGAAACACGTCAGAGCTTTCATTTTGGTTCATACGGGAGGGAAGAGCAGACAGAAGATGTTAAGATTAGTGGATTGGCTCCAATTGAAGCAATGGATGGTTCTGTCCCCATTAACCTTGCCCCAACCCTCCCATCCCCGATGTCTCGTCCTGAAAAGAAGACGTATAGCTGTGCTGAGTGTGGAAAAGAGTATGCCAGTCGCAGTGGACTAAAGGTGAAATACCAAAATGTTGATATTAAAACGACATGTTGGCAGAGATGTTTTAGTACAGTGCTTTTTCAAGAGATTGACACAATATTTGACAGATTAATTACAGAACTTAAGTACTAAACTACTTTGTTTAAATAATGACTTTATGTTCGCAGGGGCACATGAAGCATCATGGTGTAGCATCCAAAACAACACGTCCACCAGTCCGGAGTAGTCGTTCTTCAGCTGACCAACTTTCTTCTTCTACATCGATGAATTCCTTGAACATTCCAGCCACCAGGAGCTCAGCGGGCTTCTGGAACCAGTACCAAGCTTTCCTCAACACCAGTAATGAGCCAACTGATGATCCAACAGCTGGCAGCCAAGGAGAAAATCAGTCGGGTCGGTCTTCAAAATCACCCATTCATTCTCAGATGGATTTGAAATCCAATGAGGAAGCTGAGGAAGAGTCTAGTGAAGAGCCATAACTCAGCGTGATGGCTGAATAACGTTTGGCTGTTTCCAAACAATGGTTACCTTTTTGGTGAAACTGTATGAACATTTGCATAGTAATGCTTCCATAACACATTTCAAGTACCTGTCAGGTTCATAGTCAGAGTAATATGTTTGTATGTGAAAGTTGTGATTTGACCAGCTTGGTCTTGTGTGAAAAAAAAGAAAAGAAGACAGCTTATGTATAAATAAAGATAAAAATATTAAGTAGTAACAAAGTTCAGATTTTGCTGGATTTGATAAAAAGTGACACTTTCATTTTCCGGTTGAAGTTGATAATAGTGTGTTGCACATTCTAACGTAAAAAAAGAAGAAAAAAAGAGCATCACTGTTGTATCAATGTTTAATATCAGACCTGGGTCAAAAAATATTAGGGTGCTCTTTGTTTTAACTTCCCAGGCACTTATAGATAGGGTTACACAAATAGCCTACACTAAAATAATAGTTTCAAAATAATTTTGGGTCAGTGTGTAAACATTTCGGTACTTGTCTTATTGTGCCATGTACCAAATCGGATCCAACTGGCACCAAAGGAGGCTCAAGCTAACCAAAATGTGATTTCTTGCAAGTGCTTATCGACCTAGGTCTGTTTTATATTACGCATTATCATAGCATTCTTTCCCTCAAGCACAGAAGGAACTCATATAAATGAGGAAATTAAGAAAGCAACATTTTTTGCAAGAGCACAAAAGGCCAACACACTGAATGTGTTTCTGTGGCTAATATTACGTCTTTTGTCCCCCATCTTGTGGTTCGGATATGCTCCTCACTCATGTCATTGTGATTTACAAGAAGCACAGCAGCAGTGTTTGTGAACCCAGTATGGACATGGTCTTGTGTTTGATCTTTGACCTTTAGTTTGTGAATATTTTGATTGTTGTTTGGTCCGAAAAGTGATATCTGTAACACTTTTTCAGCTACTAAAACTTTAAGTTACTATATATCAAAAGGCTATGTCTGTTTGTTGTAAGCTGTTTCAGTATCTCCATATTAAAAAATATTTGGAAAAAAATATCCTGCTGTAATTGATGTACTGACTTAATTTCCACGTAATTATGCTTGCCTTGGGTGTCTACTCATGACGGCCATCATCCCTCAGTCACACGTTACTGATCTGTTTTCTCTGCCAAGACAATCAAAGCTCCTTCTCTTGTATCACATCAACCAAAGGGAGAGCAGGAGGCCAGCTGTCTTTCCTTAGCTGTGGCCAACACAGCAGCTGAGCTACAGTATGTGCGCACATAAGGTGGGTAAAAGGACGCTTGTATCTAATGTCTTCAACATTTTAATCCAAAATGTGTCTTTGAATGCACGTGCACACACATAGGCAACATGCCCACATCAGCCTATGCCATGTCCAACCCTTAGCTGCCATTAAAACGAACAAATGAGTGCTACCACATGCATGCCAATTAACGCCGCCTGGATCTGTTATCTGGTACCAAACCAACATGTCTTTACAAAGATAAATGTCTAGTATTTGTTTTCCTCTTAAATAAAGCAGAAATTATCATGAGGTCATTGTCATTCATAGATATATATATATATCTCTATATATATATATATATATATATATATAATAAGAGGATACATTATATGTCATGTAAGTAGTTAAATGTATGTGCAATGTGTGCATTAGAGGGCGCAATTCCCCTTTCAAAACACAATTGGTTACTGTTTGGGCCTTTTTCAGGAGAACTCATTAGAATCAGTGAGAGAAAGCATTAATCTGTCAAGTATAAAATACATTCCGATAAAAGCAGCTTTTAATAAACTAAATGTACATTTCCCAAGCTTAAAACCTGAACAGTTTAAGACAATAAAGACAACATCTTAATAATATGGCTGTAAAGTGCAAGGGCAAAAAAGGTTTGAAGATGGTACACAAACAAATGGATTAATTGTACTTTCTTTGTTCCGTTTAATGAGGGAAAATATATTGATATATTGGTAAACCACCCCAAAAATAACACAATTCACTTTTCAGAGGCGTGTTACTGTTTTGTCTATGGCTTGCAAGAAAATAGCTTCATGCATTTCTATGGAGCATTTTAGGCATTTAATCACAGCCTGAAGGTAAAATCAAACCCTGCCAAGTCTAATGTGAAGGTCACTAAGTTGATTCCAGCCCTCTATGTTGGAGGGGCGGGCGGTTTTAGGAGGGGGAGGTGAGGTTTACAACCCTCTGCTTTCCAGCTAAAGTCTCCGGGGAGTATCGAACTACCACGTCTGCAGCGGTGAGAGAGGGGAAGAGGAGAGGGGATCAAAATAAGCCGACTAGAGGGTAGAGAAGACAGGACAGCGAGGAGTAAAGTCTGCCTCACGAAAACAAAGTCGGCTGCAACATCTGGAGTAAAGTGCAAGCTCAATTTGGACATAAAATACGCACAGGCTGCAGCTCCCGAGCCCCTCCTTCAGACTTCCTGCTCCCGAGAACGTCTGATAATTTGGTTAAACTTCCCCAACACGCAAGAAAAATGCACAGACTGGACAAATACCTCTCGTGGTTTAGGTAACTTAAGTGATACGTTGTGAAGACACACATCTTCTGGAAACGCGTTTTGAGCTTTGCGCAAAGTCTATCGTGGTCACGCCGTTTTCGTTTATGGGACACGTTTTTCACAATGTTTTGACAAATAGCAAGGTGAATATTGCGCAAACTGTTACAGGAAGATCTGTGCGTTTTTGATTAGTTTTTTTGGAGAGACGAGTGATGGCACCAGAGCTCAAATCGCTTATCCGACTGCTGCTGCTTGCGGTGGCGTGGGAGCTGAGCGCACAGGGAGCGACGGAGCGACAAGTCAATCCACAGGTGAGGAGTACAGGCAACGGTGGACAAAATGTCCTTAATATAGAGGGGTAAAGCTATACAGAATTATAGTTAGGCTAGATAAATGAATCCAGAATCAAGGAATGAAGCCAGACAAAGAAATAGTCAGCTCAATAGTCCAAAATCAAGGTAGGCCTATAGATTTAGGGATACAATGATACTGGGTTTGGGAACAAATTCAGATAAATAAATCCAGTTTCAAGGAATAAAGTATGATACATAAATCCATAGTTCGGGAACAGAGTCATATGAATACATTAAGAATCAATCTAAGTGAGATAAATAATTACAGAGTTTAGGGATATAGAAACAAAATGACTAGAGCTATAAAACCAGCTACTTAAAAAAATAGATCAAAAATAGGTAAAACCTGATAAATAAATCAAAAGATGTGGAAGAAAGATTTAGTAAGGAATCTAGAAAAAGCAAATAAATATACATTATATTTCTGTTACTGACTTTTTTCTCTCTCTTATATAGATCATTTAAATATATCTGAAATATTTTTATATTATTTGTGGACTCTATTACAGATGTGTTTATATTTAAACATTGTCTGATTTTATTATGTCTATATACTATTATTATTATTATTATTACATGTTTGTATTTATCTATCTATCTACCTCTCTCTCTATCTATCTACCTACCTATCTATACAGTAAGTGTTCAGTTAGAAACAAATATTAAATGATGAGTGACTGGGAAATGTAAATCTAAATCCCATATTTTCTGAATGGAAAAAAACTAATTTGATTTGACAAGCCTGCACATAATATATATACACTGGTTTTGTTTATGACTGGCATTTAGCCTTTGTTTAAACTCAGAATGTTATAGTCATTTCAACAGTTGCCTGTAGTTGGCTCAGGGATATGGGAAGGGCTGTGACCCTGGGTTAGAGGAAGCAGCCCATAATGATGATAGCGCTCGTGAAAACACTGAGAAATGCTGAGAGGGCAAAAAACAGGAGGGCTAGAGGAAAAAAAGCAAATGAGGAAAAATGCATGAGTTTGTATTGTGGTTGGGGCAGAGACATTTTCTGTGGGGATGGAGGGGGGATTGATAGCTGTGGGTACAGTTATATCAGAGGGCTGGGGAGATGTAATTGTTGACATCTGTCCTGAGTTATGGCTCAGCGGACTGGGGGAGGTGCTTTCACAATCTGAGAGGTTCTGCAGCATCTCGGCCATGGTCAGCTGAGGAAAAACAACTCCTTGAACTCTGGTTCTGAACATTAAAGACTTCCAATAACCCACTGAGCAGAGACACCAGCTAAGTGCTGTAGATCAGGGACTTTTAGAGACTGTTCCTCTTCTTTTCTGTTCTGCCCTTTTAAGTCTAATTTGTTCTGTCTGCGGTATCAACCATCCTCACATGCCAAAGCCAGTGAAGCATTAGGAAGTTCTGTTTATGTTGCAGGAATAGACATTGTTATGTTACCCCTACACACCTGCTTCCTTATGTATCACCATATGTGTGTGTGCAGTGTGTTTGAAAAGGGTACAAAGGGAGCAAAGAGGCCTAAACGTCTATCTTTTTTAAAAGTTATGTTTAAATACTAGACAACAATCAACTCCAAGTTACTAATATGTTCTGATGATGTTAAACGGGTTGGTTCCATCAGTAATAGTTCTAAACCGTGGACAATGTAGGCCTTCATTTTCCAATGAGAATCAATTTAGTATTACACAGAAATGTACTTTTCTGAGTAATACTAATGAGTTGTTTCTAAAGTAGGCTAGCATGAATTAAGCTAGTGGCTATACCAGGGATGCAAATAGAATATTAGATGTGCTAACAATCAAACGTCAGTTAGTTGTTTTAGAAAATGACGCTTCACAAACCCTTTCTTTACAATAACTGCATCTAAACAATGCTTTCACTTAAATTGGTGGCCTCCCTTTGATGCTTTTCAACAAGTGACCAGACAAGTTCCGAATGTATTTTCTGGCAAGTCATGCTTAACAAATTCTAGGCTTCAATGGCAGACTCAAATAAGATGAGGCAGATCTAGCACTTCAAACAAATGATTTCAGCAAAAATAGCAGCCGGAAATGTGAGAATGGAAGAAAGTCATACATTTTCTTATTGCTTTGATCAAATTTGTATAGAAGATTGCACTAAAGTGCATGGGCAGGCTTGGCAGGAAGTGCCCTGGAAAATGTGTTGGTTCAATACGTTTATGTTGATATAGTGATACACCTCATATGACATTTACTGTGTGAAACCACTGCTGGCTGTGTTTATATTTAAACAGGGGATGTTTGTGAAATGTTGCTCCCACTAACCCACAAGCTACTAGTATCAGTTCCCAGTTCTGCCCTTCAGTAGGTTGTGTTTTAATTAAGAGTAAGTCTAATTAGGTCAACGGCTACGTGTTGGTGGGATGAACAGTCGGGGATTGGAGGATGCAGAGGCTATGTCCTGTGGTCTGTGGTAGAGACAGGAAGTAGGCAGTGGGCTTTTGTTTCACTGCTAAAAACACTTTGGTGTGTCAGCAACCACCTGCAAGTGGCACACACACACACACACACACACACACACACACACACACACACACACACACACACACACACACACACACACACACACACACACACACACACACACACACACACACACACACACACTACTACTACTACTACTTGAATATGTGCACATATTTGCTTCTAGCCACACAGAATGGCTAGAAGCTGAGGTCATTGGCTCCAGAGAAGCATAAATGGACATGAAATTAGATGATAAAGGCAAAGCAGGGAAGACAGTGAGGAGGCTGTTGGTGACTAGAAAGGAAGGCATTGTGGCAATGGGAGTGATGCAATCTGGGAAAAGGACAGTCGTAAAATGAATCAATTATCCAGTACAGGATGTAAATCATAGCTGACGTGCACACATCCTGTATGAATATTGGTCTCTTATTCCTTGTGCTGCAAAATAAAATTGGCATTGATTTAAAAAAGATTGGTCAAACAAGTAACTTTATGTATGTACTATTAGTGGAAGAAAGGAGGAAGGAAGGAAGGATGGGTTTGTAGTTTTCAGACAAAGTAACATCCCATAAATCACCAGTGGGTGGCCTGACGGCAGCCTCCCTGAGGAATAATGTGAGGTGTTACAGGAAATAAGGTAATACCCTTAGTCATTTCCTGTTCATAAAGGAAGCAAGCAATGAGCCAAAATTCAGGGAGGCTTAATCCTGCCATTGAGGTTTGCTTGGGATTGCCCTATCGCTCAAATGACATTGGCAGAGATGATTAGTGTTCCACTCTTGTGTCACCGGCTCTTATTGTAGTTGGCTGGAAAAAAGGTTGTTTTAATAGACAGCAGCTGGTGTCATTAACACACAAATGTGCCCACACACACACACACACACATATATATGTATACATCACTTCAGGGGACATTACATTGACTTACATGCATTTCCTGGAGACTTATCCTAACCTTAACCTTAACCAACACATGCCTAACCCTTACCCTTAACCTTACCCTTACCCTAAACAAGTCTTCACCCTAAAATTAATGATTCCCCTCATGGGGACCTCCAATTTGTCCCCATAAGGGAGGTGAGTCCCCACACGTGACTGTGTAAACAGATTTAGGTCCCCACAAGTATAGTAATGCTAGGCCACACACACACACACACACACACACACACACACACACACACACACACACACACACAAACAAAGACCGTTCTACATGTGTGTTGGGGAGCTCCTTGCCAGATAGGTCAGCATCATCATAACTATCTTCCTAGAAGAAAAGCAATAGCCTCCGGCAAATGTTCATAAGACATAAAGAATTTGAAAAGATTGACTTTACAGTGTTACCCTGAATAAACCTACGCAGTAACTCACACAATAACAAGACAATAACTAGCTGTTGCAAGTGTAGTGGGAGTACACATCTGATTAAATACTTTGAATGTGTAATGAAGAGCTGTGTGTGTGCTGTATATGCCTTAGTTGGACTCCCTTCACTGTCAACCAACGTTTTTTTCCCCATTAGTACTCACCAAACGGAACAACTGACGTTCTCTCAAATGTAATCTCTTTTTTCTCCCTCTGTCACCCTGTACAAAATGAGGACTCTGCCACCCGACATACATAGCAACCGTTGTTTGATTCTTGTGGATCTTCCATTAAACAATAAACTCACTTCGATGCATACGAGCGGTCAGCGCCCTTTACCTCAAAGTCCTGGATTCCTTCCTAAAAGTACCTTTGCTCTGTGCTTCTCTCTGTCTATGAATATACATCTGTGGACTAACACACACTTTTGCTTATGCAGCAGTTTTAAAAGTTTTACATCAGGTATTCTCAGCCTGGGTTACTTTAGCAGTTGCCAGGCGGTAAGCCTATGTGGAAAGACGTGGCATAGATGTGATGGATAAACTGCAAAAAAAGTCAGATTAAACTGTACTAAAATATGAAATAGTAAACATACAGCTATGAATTTATGGTAGAAACTGTAAGCTTAAAGGTGGGGTAGGTAAGTTTGAGAAACCGGCTCGAGATACACTTTTTGTTATATTCCATGGAATGCTCTTAACATCCCGATAGCAATGAATATCTTAATATCTTGTGCTTTGACAAAAAATCCATAAAAAAATGTCATCTGTGGAAGCCGTAGTACTGTAAAAAGCACGACCAATTATTTTAGCCGGCCCGGCTAAAATAACTGGATGGCCTACCTGCCTGTCAGCTTTCCATCTGTGCACAAACTTATCTCGTGCCCTCATTGGTCATGTGCGCGTTCGTGTGTGTTGGAGGAGGGGCTCTACAAGGAAGTGGCAGATTTTCTCCGGTTGTGTATTTTCAAATTCTAGCTCACTCGAGCTGGTTTCTCAAACTTACCTACCCCACCTTTAAAGAAATGGATAAACATAGTTAAGAGTAATGGAATAACTGTTGAAAAATTGGCTACTGTAAAAGTAATGGAGAAACAGTATAAATGGTAACTCTAAATGAATGGATTAACATTTCGCTAGCTTCAAGTATTGGATAAATTGTTAAAATCGAAAAGTAATGGAATAACAATTAAAGTAGTTAGCTAAACGTAATAGATCAAGGGTTGAGATAAATAGCTAAACGCAATGGAAAGACGGTTGGAGTATTAATGCATACATCATTATGGTCAATAAAAGGGGTATATGAGTATATCAGACAAGGCTGTGAAGGTACAACTTACGAAGGAGCTTGGGAACCACTGCTCTACATTAAAGGACTGTATTAGCTTAGGCTCTCATCTCCTATGCCACAGTAAACACTGACCATTTCCTCTTCCTGCCACTGCTTTAGTTAGTCAGGCCATTAGTGTGGTCAAAAATAGTAGAGTACGAAGTGAATGAGACTTTGTCAAGTCACCTCAGGGACCCATGAAACAGGCGTGGGAGCATTCAAGTTAAAACAAGTGTTCAGTGTCACTCAACAGCAGGCTTTTGACTGGGCTGAGGGCAATGTTAGTTATGTAGAAAAACAAAACAGTGGATATGAAAAAGAGGAGAATAAGGTTTCAAGAGCAATCAAATCAACCCTTTTTCTTATATTCATAGTGTAACACATTCTGAGATGCTAAAGTTGGCATTTGACTCTCCCGCTGCAGTGTATGTGCTGGAACAGTGGGAAACACTGAGTCTTTATGTGTCCAGTGGAGCTCCACGGGTGAGTCAGAACCAGAGAAGGGCTCATTCAGGGGTGAAGTCTAAATACTGAGACCTCCATGTCTCCAAGGGAGAGAGAGATTAGACCTTCAAGGGCCTCCAAAATGCCATTCAGCCATTCACTCCTGCCCAACTTCATGTATAGTCATGCGTGAATATAAACGTACAGACCTGAGCACCTAGTCAGACAACATGTGTCAGCACTACTCGCACACATTTGCTCTGTACTGTACATTGTAGGTGGAAAAAGGCTGAAACCAAGCAATGAAACAAGTTGTGACTTCATTGTATTTAGCAACGTTTAGCAGATGGGCTATACAGCAATAATTAAGTTGCTCTGGGTGTGGTTGTTCATAAGTATTTACCCTCAAGTCTCCGGGTTTTCCATAAGAGAGGGATGAGGATTAAGAGAAGAGAAGGGGTGGAGCGACAATTATAGAGACAGAGACATGGACGTGGGGGGAAGAGTTTGACTTTGAGGTTTGGATGCACCGAGGAAGAAATTCCCAGTTAAATGACTGCCTGACGCTGCTGCTCCACTGGAGACATCGGCTGAGGTTGCCCAAGGCCTGAGTCTCACCCTGGGACACTCCCTAGCTTTCTCGTTTCAATGCCCTCCACAGCACAAACATCCACTTTGCACATATGTTTTTTAATCAGGACTATGCAAAACAGATGACAATAAGTTACGTCCCATCAAGTCCTAGCGTGCAAGAAAGGAATCAAACACATCCTACAAGTGCATAACAAGCTCACAACGTGACTGTACAGCAGAATATCAAAGCAGTCTCAGTTTTCACTGCGCTCACAATAGCTTCAGTGTTGTTTTTCAGCTCTGGCTTGAGAGGGAAAGAGTTAAGGAGAAGCTGAGTGGGAGAGGTGCTGAGCGAAGCCGCTGGCCCAGGTCCAGACGTCAGACCAGCACCGCAGTGAAATGGGTTTCTAGGGGAAAGTAAGGTCAACCTAACCTGAGATAGAAAGATATTGATGCTTGAAGAACTCAGGCCTCATAATATGTTCTTGAAGGGATTCAAACTAATGTTCTTTTCAAGTACAAACTCAACAACTGGGATGAGTTCAGGTATAGGTGTTGCAGTGAAACACAAACAAGTAGCTAAAGAATGATTTCAATGTAGAAACTGTAGTTAATCTTTAACTCTCTGAGGGGGATTTCCTGGTTCAGTTTCTGCCTCACAGGGTTTTTTTGTTGAAACCTGAACTGTATTAGTCAGAAGCCTCTTCTGGGCCTAAGCTTGGCTTTTTTTCTTTCGTGTTTACCTTAGTTTCATATATGGTCTTCAGTGGAGAGCACACTGTTGAAGGCTGGACAGCTTCTGTGTTTAGTCATTAAATGGAGACATGCCAGGTGCTTGAAATTATGTTGTTGACTGTCCAAATGTCCACAATTCAAAACACACGACAATGTAATTCCAGAGCTTATTTTTGCCGTCAGTGTGGAATGTGTTGTTGCTGCAGTTGTATAAAAATGTCCTGAATTTGTAGCCCCTGTAACATATTATCAACATCATACCAAGTATCCCTTATCTAGAACTCTGGTGAGGTAAGACTTGTTTACGACGGTTTCTAATTTCTAAAAACCTTTTTTCTTCTCCTTACTGAAACTGGAGTGTTGTTGGGTTTATTTTGCAATATTTCTTATGACTCACACTGTTGTCTCCTTTTTTTAATGTGTTTTAAAGACATGGCTGCAGCAGTATGGTTACCTGCCCCCGGGGGACATGCGAGCCCACTCCCTCCGCTCCCCTCACTCCGTCACCTCGGCTATCAGCGCCATGCAGAAGTTCTACGGCCTCACCGTCACTGGCACCTTTGACCCCAACACAATCGAGTGAGCACACAGCTTTATTCTAACAGGGTCACCTACAGGTCAAAGATCAAAATAAAACTAGTTATTCTTACCCTGTTTTGAGTGGACTGTCTTGTCTTTGGCAGGGCCATGAAGCGACCGCGCTGTGGAGTGCCAGATAAGTTTGGTGCTGAGTTGAAAAGCAACCTGAGGAAGAAGCGATACGCCATCCAGGGCCTGAAGTGGGGCAAGAATGAAATCACTTTCTCGTAAGTCAGCAATGTGTGCTGCAGAAGCATGATGGATCAGTACTAAACGCTATTGTTTACACTAAAGTTTTGCTTAATTTTATCTTTGTCTAAATATGTTTCTATGTGCCTTACCTTTCTCACACCCTCCCCCTCCCCCTCACACACCCACACAATGACATACTTTACAGTATTCAGAACTACACCCCTAAGGTGGGTGAGTACGAGACCAATGAAGCCATCAGGAAGGCCTTCAAGGTGTGGGAGAGCGTCAGCCCGCTACGTTTCCGGGAGATCCCCTACAGTCACATACGGGACAAGGTGGAAGAGTTTGCCGACATCATGCTCTTCTTCGCCGAGGGTTTCCACGGTGACAGCAGCCCGTTCGATGGGGAGGGGGGCTTCCTGGCACATGCCTATTTCCCCTCTAGTGGTATCGGTGGGGACACCCACTTTGACGCAGCTGAGCCATGGACAATCGCAAACAAGGATCTGTATGGTGAGGCTTTGTTAAATCTATGTCGAAACTGACGTTTTGATACATGTTTTTAGTGATTATCCTAAAACTGATGACACAAATGTTGGGAGTAACTGCTTATTTTAGGAGTCAGGACTTTGCTGTCGTGGGCAAAACACGAGCATCAACAAGTCCAGTCTTGCATCAGAACATTTGAAGGAGTTTATGCCCTGGGCTATGGAGAAGTGTTTATTTCTGGGAAACAGTAGACACACAGCTTTGTGCTGTCAGCTGTTTGACTGTGACACACAGTCAAACAGCTGTCATACGGTCATATTCTCATGACCAGCAGATGATTTATCTATTTTTTACTGATGTTCCAAGTATTTGTGTGCAATTGAGTCGCTTAAAATAGAGGAAACAGCAACATTTAGTCCTTTTAGTTCAGTTCTCATTGTCTCAAACTCCTCCAGTTTCACAACTCCATTACTTCAATTATTTTAAAAGTAAGTTAATATTAAATGGTGATTTGGTGTTTCAGGTAATGATCTGTTCCTGGTTTCGGTCCATGAACTGGGCCATGCTCTTGGTCTGGAGCACTCCAATGACCCTTCAGCCATCATGGCTCCATTCTACCAGTGGATGGAAACCGAGCACTTCGTACTTCCTGACGACGATCGCAGAGGCATACAGCAACTTTATGGTAGGTTATTGAACATTAGCTATCCAGATCACTATCAAAAAACTTGGTGTCCCTAACTTAAGAAATACATCAGCAGTTGAAAGGTAGAAGTAAATGTATCATTCCAATGATGCATGTGATCTTTAGTTTTCTCTCTGCTACAATCATCTATCAGCTCATTGGTGGATCATGACATTTCCTTTGGTCTAACAGGACCAACATTAGATGAGGTATAAAAGTGGAAATTAGGTCAACGCAAATCTTCGTTTTTGTTCATATAGGGTCTGGATCAGGCCCTCAGCCCCCCCCTGTATCAACTCGTGCGCCGAACCATGACCCTGACATTGAATATTCGCCAGACAAGCCTCACTTTGGCCCCAACATCTGTGATGGACACTTCGACACGATCGCTATCCTCAGAGGAGAAATGTTTGTGTTCAAGGTAAACACATACAACCTTTTTGGACTTGTGATAATGACAGTTAGTCTCGCAGGGGGTTAACATTTCTGTTTGCTCTTTCAGGATAAATGGTTCTGGAGAGTACGGAACAACCATGTTCTGGATGGATATCCAATGCCGATTGGTCACTTTTGGAGGGGACTGCCCACTCATGTGACTGCTGCTTTTGAAAGGGAAGATGGGAAATTTGTTTTCTTTAAAGGTAAATCTGGGTTCGGTATAATAATAAAAACATTTACAAGATTTCTCTTTTAAAAGCAATCCCAATCAAAAGGCATATCTTACAGTTATATCATATGTATGTGTACTTTCTGTCTTTTTCTCTCTCCAGGGGACAAGTATTGGGTGTTTACTGAATCAATTCTAGATCCTGGTTTCCCGAAGAACATAAAGGAAATGGGCACTGGACTTCCCAAGGACCGAATAGATGCTGGTCTCTTCTACACCCCCACTGGACAGACGTTTTACTTCAGAGCAAACAAGTTAGTCATCCGTGTGTGTGTGTGTGTGTGTGTGTGTGTGTGTGTGTGTGGTGTGTGTGTGTGTGTGTGTGTGTGTGTGTGTGTGTGGTGTGTGTGTGTGTGTGTGTGTGTGTGTGTGTGTGTGTGTGTGTGTGTGTGTGTGTGTGTGTGTGTGTGTGTGTGTGTGTGTGTGTGTGTGTGTGTGTGTGTGTGTGTGTGTGTGTGTGTGTGTGTGTGTGTGTGTGTGTGTGTGTGACATTCTGAAATTAAACTCTACTGGAATTTATAAACTTCTGATTGTAAGGAAAATCCATTTACGTCACCACCACCAAAAGACATGTTTGAATGTTGACCCTATACATTTTAAATGCTTGACTTATCCTAAATTACAAACCTGCATATAATTTCAACATTGAAAAAAAACCTTGGCGTACTTTAAAGCTTGCTAAGCCTCCCTATGTTTACATCATGGTCATTGTTATAAAACAGCTTGGTAAAGTGTGGTAGTCAGTGTTTACAGTGCAAACAGCCTCCCACATAATCACTGAGATTGCACGTGCTCTAAGACCAGGCAACGCTTTCATTCCTTGCCTTGGTGTTACCAGGTTTAGTATGACTGTTGGAAGAGTTTGCAACAATTAATCTCTCATATTTCTGCAGAAACACATTTTTGCAGCTCATTTTGTGGTCCAGCTGGTGGTTTAGTTCAGCAGAAACACATACACATAACCACGTTTTCAAGCTTTAGGGTTCAAGTGCAAGTCAAGTCTCAAATCATTCAAGGAAAGTCAATTCTATTTTGTGTAACATTTGATGTCTTTGAGGGTAAGTCCGGGCCAGGTCTTTAGTCACTCCAAGTCAAGTCCCTAGTCATGTGAACCAGGTCCAAATCAAGTCTCCAGTACTGCTAGAAAAGTCCAAGTCAGGGCTTTACAGGCAATTGTGAATATAGTTATGAATGTGTCGAACCAAGTCTAACACCTGTTTTGGACAGGTCCAGGTCAGGTCTCGAAAATAACTCAGGTTATGTAGAGTCAAATCTGTGCATGTGGAAGTCAAGTCTAAAGTCTGTCAGAACAAGTTTCAGTCCTTCACGGCAAATCAGATTCAAGTCTTGAGGTATTCAAGTCCAATTCTCTAGTGAAGTCCTTTGGGGCTCTGCATGAGACCATTAACCCCTCTAGCTGATCCTCTCTTAACCTTTCCTCTGTTATTCCTTGTTTAGATATTACCGTTTCAACGAAGACATGCGAAGCGTTGATGAGGGCTATCCAAAAGCTGTCAGTGTGTGGCAAGGAGTGCCTGACAATATCAAGGCAGCTTTCATGAGCAAAGATCAAGGTAAGGGGGGCCCGTATGATGTTACCGTGTTTTCTTTTCCACATCTGTACAAGTTGCTTTTCCTTTCAGTTCAGGTTTGTTTCTCACATTTCTTTCTTCCAACTCCTTAGAGCACACCTACTTCTACAAAGCCAACAAGTATTGGAAGTTTAACAACCAGGTGATGCGTGTGGAGCCCGGATATCCCAAATCAGCCCTTCGTGACTGGATGGGCTGTCCCAACGAAGACCCCAAGACTGATGGAGGCAAAGGCGGTGGCGGACACGACAAGGACAAGGAGAGGGAGAAGGACAAGGAGTGGGATGATAAGGACAGAACTAGAGATAGAGAGAGGGAAAGGGAGAGGGAGAGGGAAAGGGAAAGAGAGAGGGATAGGGGGACAGAGGTGGAGGAGGAGACGGAGGTGATCATTATTGAGAAGGAAGGGGTAGGTGGAGGCAGTGGAGCAGCGGCGGTAGTGTTACCGTTGTTCTTGTTGGTGTGTGTGATTGCGACGCTGGCTGCCTTGTTGTTTTTCCGTCGGTACGGTACCCCACGCAGACTGCTCTACTGCCAACGGTCTTTACTGGATAAGGTGTAGACGGAGGAGAAGGGGAAGGAGAGAGGAGGGAAAGAGAGGAAAGGAAGGAGAAAAAAAGTGGAAGGAAATGTTGAACACAGATAATGAGAGCAGAACAGAAAAAGTTAACACTGGAGAAAGAGCAGAAGGATAAGCACAAGACTCGCATTTTTAAATATTCGTACCACTGCCAGTTTCCTTTTGCTCAATCTCTCAACCACTCCATCCTTCCAGTTTTCCGCCTCCCTTCGGCCTCGGCCTCTCTCCTCGTGGTTACTGACGCCAGCTCTTTGCTGTTTGTTTAGCTTTTTTCAATGTCTTATTTTGAGTTTATGTCAGTGGTCAGTGTTTGTGTCCTTGTGAATTCCCGCTTCAAACCTGCATCTCCATGACGCCCATCCTAGCATGTTCCTTTAAGTATCAAAGAGCGTGTTTTATCGCTCTTTCCTCCCCCTTGTTAACTTGCACAAACTCACATTAAAACCACAATGGCATAGTCATTGTTTTCCTAGTCTTCCAGTAAAGTAACATGTCAGAGGCAGTACGGGCCATACAAGGGAAACAAAGCCAAAGCTTAAGTCCTTAAGAAGCATGAGATTCACTCATCAGAGTAAAGCAATAAATACGATTGTCTTTTCCTTTTTTATAGCAATGTCTTTAGTGCTGATTATTATAAATGATGTTGTCATTATTATTATGACTAATACTATTATTGTTGTTGTGTAAAGAATGTGTTTTTGTACATTGTCATTAAAAAGTCCTGCTGGACAGTGACATACAGTTTTGAAAATGGCCTTAATTTTATATGTGTGGGAACAGTGAACGGGGAAGGGGGTTATGTATTCTTGAAACTTGAATGTCTTTTCTTTTTTTTTTACCTTGAATCCATTTCAAATGAAAATAAATTGAAGATCTGAAAATGACTCCTTTTTGTCATTGTACTTGTTTACTGTTTCAAATCATGGTGTTACATTACTAATCAGGGGTTAAATTAACAACAATGATAATGATACTAGTGATACTGATAATGATTTAGTTTTCTTAATAACATTGTTTGTGTGTTCTTAACCACTTATATTCTTAAGCTTTTCATACAAAATAAAGTAATTTCAAATGACTTTCAGTGCTTTGATTTTGACTTAGTAGTTCACTAACTTTTTGCTCTTTGCACCATCTTTCTGTCAACTGCTTTGAGCTAAACTAGAGCACTCCCTTTAATGCAGTCATATTGTCACTTTCTGCTGTCACATATCCAGTTCTAACCTGGACTTTATCTCACCTATTGCTCGCTCATCCATTTAGTCTTACCCAGTCTTCCTGGACCTCCAGGTTTCTTGCTCCCCGACTGCACCACTCTGCGTTACTGGGGCTCGGAAACTGGCAGTCCAGAAACTGGATCGGAAAACACGGACTGGATCCAAAGCTTAAGTAGAAACAGGGATGAAGAAGATTGTGTAAAGCTGTTGCTGCACAGCAGGAAAACAAATCTCAGCTATACAATTCAAGAGAGTGTGTGTGTTCATGGGTTTCCATACTTATGAGGACCAACCATCCTTCACAAGAGTAGGAGATGAGAAAACGGACGCACAAATTATTTTCTTAGACGCAGAGGTTTTGGATTTAGGGATTGATAAGCAGTGAAGTGGTTAAACCTTTTGTTGTCAGTGAATTGTGGTCGATGCAGGTCCTCATAAGTACAGCAATACAAAATGCTCACATGCATGTTTTGCAAGGCTATAAATGTATTTATTTGTGCATTATCCACTGCTTATATGTACACACCCATCCAACATGAGCCAATAAAAGCTCAAACAGCAAACTCAGGCGTCTCTCTACTCCTTAATGATCTCACTAATGAACAACTGCCACACAGCCATTAAATTCCCTGTAAAGATGACTTACTGCAAGTGACGGAATGGATGGGGGGGGGGGGGGGGTCAGGGTCTCTAGGATATGTTATGATTACGGCAATGGGAGTTATGCAATGAAAATGATGAGGTATTTTCCTATTGTGCCATAAAGATTTAGGGCGCCCATTTGTCTCTACTTTGCAGCAGTGTTTTGAAGAGCCTGGGCTGGGGAGAGAAGTCACAAGGCAAGGGGAGGACGGAGTGAGGAGGGTTAAGTCACATTTGGATGCCAGAGATGGAGCAGAATTCCATGAACAACATCTGGAATTCCAACTGCATCATGTTGGCCAGTAACACAGCGGGACAGGGCGATGGGGGATGGGAGTTGGTTTGGATCTGTTTAATTAGCTTCATGTACTACATCAAAGTCACAATAAAAGGACATGTGAACAAATATCGTGCCTTTTTGGAGTTGTCTTTCTCCTCACAAGGTTCGAGTATGCGTCTTTGGGCATGTTTTGCTTACATTATCTCTGTGGCTCAGCCCTGGGTCACTGTTTGGTGTTTTCTGTCTTCCCCAGCTGATTCTGCAGAGTGAAGAAAAGATTCGCCTCAGCATAATTCTTCCCAAAGTCCTCTCCTTTCTCTGCGCTCTGTGTAACTGGAGACTTTTCTTCACTGTCTGCGAAATGACTCACTCCTTTTTTCACAAAAGCCTGACAAAAGACCACACCACATTGCCTCTCCCAGCCACCTCCACTCCTCTGGCCCTCACATTTCACCTAGAAAAAAAAAGAAAAAAAGAAGAAAAAATGAAACTGTAATTTCTAGTCATGGTTCTGATGCAACTGTCCACTTCCAAAAACAAAAACTCCTCCGTGCCAAGGCCTTACAACACATCCACTGACTAATCTCATCTCTCTGTCGTCATTGAACTCCAGTAAGCGGACGCCATTAACAAACTCCTTTTATGTTTCAATCTCTGCGCTGGACACTTCCTGTGCTTGTGTTTCAGTTGGCATGTGTAGCACTCAGGCTGATGAATGGAAACTTCCAAATAGGGGAAGTCCTGCTTTTGGCTATTGTGTCTCATAATAGCTGAGCTGGACATCATACTGTAATGGCAGAACAAACCGCAGAGATGTGAATGAGTAGTTTTCCCATTAAATAAGACTGAATGATTAACTGAGAAAGGCTAGTGTTGCACTCTGCCTGGCAACTAGGATGTGGGAAGGTGGAAGGGGGCATTTCTAGGGATCTGGTTAGCTTTTATATAGGTTACACATGGTTTTCATTTGCATCAGTTAAAGCTTTGCCACATCCTGCACCAAGCAATAAGACAACAAACAGGAACAGGGGATTTCTCTCCTGAGTCCATGTCTCTTACCCTGTCTCAACTAATGCTGAGGTGATGGGTTGCCTTTCGTTTGCACACATTGTAAGGAACGATATATTGCTTGTTCTTGTTTATCTGTGAAGAAAAAGCATACTCTCTGTGCCTGTTAAATGTCAGTTATGTTCAGACTGACAACCTGTAAGTTGTAACAAAAGCTTAAGGTAAAAACATGTTCTCCAAGCCCTTATCTGAGATTACCCTGATTATTGTCTGTTGACCACATTTGCGCATACGTAATATCCAAAAAACTCTAAGATGGATTGCCATAATATTTTCTACTGACCTTAATGACATGACAATGACCTTTGTGGTTTTAAAACAAGTTTCTCAAAGAATATTGGATGCATTGTCTTCTCATGAACTCATGTTCATTCAGGATGAATAGGAAAAAATTCCTACTTTTAATCTTACATCAGCATTTAAAGTGAAACTAGTCACATTCCCACCAGCCTCAGCATGTGGTTAGCATTCTCACACACTAAATTAAAGAAGGGGAACATGAAAAACACAATTTTAGCTAAACATTTCTTTAAGTATTATAACCATTTGTTTGCTAAAGAGCTTATATTTTACAAAATCCCAATAGCTTTTTGTCAAGGGAAACATTGCAAATTATTATTTACCTATTACACATCATTATACATATTACAAATATATTATACACAGTGCTGGGTGGTATACCGTTTCATACAGAATACTGTGAACTTTATACAGTATGATAAGAATTTTTCAAATACCACAATACCCTTGAAAAAGTGGCAAAGGGCGCTCAAGCGGTTGGCATCATGCTGGGGTTCAGCGCCTAGCTTAGTAGCACTAGCATAACATGTGAGTCAAGATGGACGCTGAAGAAAATGAGACTGGAGATGGAGATACATATGACACACAAGAATAACTTGTCCGGAGGTTTTGTGTATTCCAAAACTCTGACATGGACTAAACAAACATTTATTGCATATGTTGTCGAACTAAAATTGTTGCCCGAGAAAGTAACGCCAGTAATTTACAAGAATGTATGAAAATACGATCTGCTTCAACAAGTAACGCTGGTGAAATGTCTAAAGTACGGTTTTCGAGGGACTGCCGATAGGAAAAACGTATAAATGCAAATACATTTCTAATCATTGAAAAATAAATAGATACCGTGATAAACCGTGATACCGTTATAATTTGGAAAAATACCGTGATATGAGTTTTTTATCATGCCGCCCAGCTAGTTATACATTTCTCTTTTTGCTTTTATCACCGCCAAAGCTGATTTGATATGAACATTTGTGGTTTTAATAGCCGTCATAAACACTGCTGTGATATGCAGTCCCAGTCGAGTAATGAATATGAAAGATTAACTTTTTCACAGCAGATATTCTGATGGTCCTGAGCACAGGTGTGACCAATAACTCTAACGACCCCTCCATTTCATCAAAGGTTCTGTGAACCATAAATGGCCGTCGTTAAGGTTATTGATTGCACCTTTTAAGGCAGAGGTTTGCTCTCTTTTCATGTGCTTTGTTGTTCAATCATTGTTTTAAAACAGAGAAATGTTGACCTTAAAATGGTCCCACACACTCTGCGAGGTCTTAGAGCTGCTGCGCTCACAGACACACGGTTTATCTGTGGCTTGTTAAAGAGGGGGATCAATACCTAATGCTTTTTCCGTTAAGTCTGCATCTTATTTTTCCATCTAGTTCCACAGCTTTGGATGGAAAATAACTTCTCATTAGTTACACTTTTATTTTGTGAGCCCGACGTCCCAATCTCAGTTTTCTCAGTTTCATCGTCTATTTAACTGTTTGCTCAGTGATTTTTGTTTTCTTAGCCATGCAGTTTTGCCTGCGTTTGCCCCCCTTAGTTTGAGCCTACGTGCCTGCCTTTGTTAGACTTAACACAATGTCTGCACTTTGACTTGGGTGTGGTACAGTGGGAGAAGTCTCTTTTTCAATGTTGGAGGAGAGGGGTATTGTGTGGGAGAAAATAACACAGGTGCAAGGAAGTTCAGCACTCGACATTTCAACTTCTTTAGGTTAGTTTTTTTTCTCCAAATCCTTCTCATATGGCGTGGTTTCCCAAGGAGATGCTGATTCAGGCTCTCCAAGCCCTGCTACCCTCGCACTGACCCAGCCGTATCCGCAAGGAAACCCCCCTGCTTCGCTCAAGGCCTCAGGATATGGATATACCACAAGAGAGGAGCATCAAGAACCCCCCCCCCCCAACACACACACACACACACACACACACACACACACACACACACACACACACACACACACACACACACACACACACACACACACACACACCTCCTGTAGTCTGTTAATGAAGTATCACACAACTTAATGCTTGTTTTTTCTGTCTCTCTACCATCGCAACAAGTCACATCTGGTTTCCATAAGCACATACATGTCATCGCAAAGAAGAAGGGGGGGAGAGGGGAGGACTAAGCGAGGAGGGGGGAAGGGTGTGTATGAGAGTTTTGAACTTCAAGGAGTGGTAACACTGACAGTCAAGATATGCAGTCTTTCATCATCTTTCCGAACACGACGCAGGCCAGTTTTAAGTCAGTCAGAGATTCAAAGAAAAGATAAGTATCCATGTGTGAGAGCAAGTGGTGGACTCTTTGGTAAATAGGATTGAAAAAAAAACCTTCAAGTCAGTAAGAGCAACGTCAGTGAGCCATGCGGAGATCAGAAAGGCCACATCAGAGGTTGCCTTTGAAAGTGGAGCTCTGTGGGCCTCTGTGCTCAGTTCCTCGCAAGGCTGGACACAAAGACCTATGTGGTTACACCGAGGAGGGGAGGAGAGGAGGAGGAGGCGGACTGCTTACAGAGCGAAAACATATTGTTTTTACTGCCCACCCGTCAGCACGAGAGTGGACATGCTCAGCTGTTCACGGAGGCATTAACAAACGACCTGAACTCTGCACCTGGTCCACTGAGGTATTCCAGCTGGTACTGGCGGTACTACAAAACACCCTCACATGCGGAAACATTGTTTGTAGTCATCTCTTCATCTGCGCTATCTTTCTTGTCATGAGCTGACCAGAGAGAATCCTGGGTAAAGCTGCAGTAGGAGTTTTTCAGCTTTAGTGGAATTAGCTAAATACAAGTATTTTAAAGCTACTCTCTCACTCTATCAGAAAACCTGCTTTTATCCTCAGTAGAAAATGTTAAAATTGACATTCATGCCCGGAACAAACGTGTCTACATTAGTCGCAGGTTTTTATTAGCGATTGAAACACAACACCCGGATGGACACGCACATTTTCGGCCCTTTTGTCATGCGATGCTATGACTTGCATTAGCTTTGAAGTGAATATATAATGAAAATGCCAACAGGGATTTGGACAATAACTTATAACGTATAAGTTATTGAAGGCATAACTTAAGCATGCTCTTTTAAAGCCACCAGGATCCATTGACGGAAACAGTAACTTCATAGTAAAATAAACTTGATTTAAAGAAAAACAAAGTAAAAGTTATCAAAAATAACTTTGTAAGTATTTTTGCTGTTCCACAAATCACAGGCTCTGTTTTAAGAGTTTGTTAGAATGAGTGAATAAGCAACATGTGGAAGAAGCAAACACTATGGATAGACACTTTGGGGTTTCGATGAAGTCACTTCCTGTAAGGCAGGGATACATCGTATGAAAGCAGAGACAAATATGAATTTGATTCAAGTGTAAACAGATGGGGTCATGTGGGACAGGGTGTTTCAGTCTGAATCATTGGTGTTTACAGTCAACAGACAATGTAGTGTGCAATCTGTCAAGAATATCATCTTGGATCTCTTGATCCAGTTGCTGCCAGTCGCAAACTATAAGATTTAATTCATTTTGTTCAGAAATACATTTGATATTCGCAACCAACGTCACTTCTGTCCAAGGTAGACATACCAGTAATGGCTAGCAAAAGGTATTGTATTAGATGGCACTGGACTAACACCACAACGTTTCTGACCATTGGTTCAGTGTACTCAGTCTATTCTTTTAAAAACACAAAGAATCTGTTAAAGTTGGTGGAAATAACCGTAACATTCGGTCCAGGCAGCGGTTTTGGGTGGAAAAATACATGATAAACCAACTTTGCTCTACCTGGCCAGTGCTAAAGGGCAGACAAAGTTATCTAGATAAAAGTGCAGAGGGAATATTGTACTGGAATTTGTCAGGTTACCAGTTTTATGAGAAATAGTTAACGGTCTGCTGAATTTGGAAAAATGGGCAGTCGTTTGCTAAACAACTTTGTATATGTGAATGTTTCAGCTTGTTTCACTGGGAAGAACAAATCAGCAACAAATCAGGTGTGGCTGGGTTGTAGCAGAACTTTTAACCTACATTTTCCAATATTGCAGACTTTCAGTCAACTTGCTCCCTTTTACTGCAGTCCTGCTTTATAACCCTAACACACTGTCCTGTCTCACCACAATCTCTTCTGACTTTCAATTTGGCCAACACATCATCACTTTGCCCTAAACTTCAACCTCTAACTCCCCAGCACACGCAGACACGTGTATGCTTTTCTCCGCATGATTGCTTGATAAAACATTCATTAGCAGATGAAAGACAGAATCTTTCTCCGTGTTCTCATTCCACCTCCTCAGTTAGAAAATGTTCTTGTTGCCAGAGAGATGGCAGGGTGAAGGATTCACTTGTCCTCCCAGAGTCCAGACATCAGTTGCATCAGGGCAGAAAAATGTTCTGCTCAGCGACCATAGGGCTGTAATTACAGAGGAGCACTGCTGAGCTCTGCAGGATCAACGTCAAGCCCGGAGAGATGGAACAGAAGAGGGCGAATACAAGATGCTTCTCCTCCCCTATGGTATTTACAGCCGAGTGAAGGAAGGGAAGGTATCACTCCTGACTTGGAGGAAACCACAACAGTGCTAATGCACAAGGCTAATCACCTAGACATGACATTTAGGGGAAAGTTCTCCAATATAGGGATAGTGGAATGTTCTGCTGTATCCTGAATAAAGCATTATTTCCCTTAAAGTCCTAGTTTGTACTTGACTGGATAAAGTCATTCCGCTCTGGCCCCGGTCATGTGGTGTGACTGACATCTTGTGGATTATAAGTGTTACCGCAGATCTAAATGTGCTTGAACTTAAAACCCAGTAATTAGTTAGAAATTCAAATGTTTGCAACCAGACCAAATGAATAATTTCACTACAAATCTAATTAACAGGGAGAATGGGGGGGGGGGGGGGGGGGGGGGGGGGTAAAAAACGTCACAGTAATTTCAAATTTCAATTTTTATTATTTGTACATTCACCACTGATAGGCGTACTCAAAGAAGAAATAAAAAACAAAAACATTTTTACTAACATGATAAAATAAAGATTAAAAAAACAATATTAAAACCATTGTTGAGAAAACTCATAATGAACATCCCCCCTTGACGCTATAGGGAGGAGGAAGAGGAGGAAGAAGAGAAGCAATGATACGTACATAATCATAACTTGTGACAGGCGTGACAAACAGAGAATTGTCTCATCTCTTAACTAAACAGAGGGAGAGCGGAGCACTGTATTAGAAGTAATTCCACACCTGTCCAAATATACCCCAGAGCTGCCTCATTTAAAAGACTTGATTTTGAATTAATCTTATATGTCTGTACAAAATGTCAAACACACCTATTCCAATATTTTCAGATTTATGCAAGCCTCTGCACGGAGGACAGTTTTCTCTTTAGGCAGGGCTGGCAAGAAGAGCCTTGGACTACATGCAGCAACAAAAGGATTCCTCATCCAGATTTCAGAGCTGTTCAAAACACAGAGGCAACGACAAGTGATTGCAAATCATAATTGGCATCTACACTTTGGGGGCGAATGGGGAACATATGGCGGGAAATTATTAAAATAACCCAGCGTGTCATACTGCGAAACCGTCAAGACAAAAAACTTAAGAAGAAGAGAGGCAAACGTATAAAGAAAATATATCGAATCTTGACAGAAGCGCCACGCACGGCACTCTGGGAAACAACACTGCAAAAAAACCATGATCCCTTTTAAGCCCGACTGCGTGTAGGTGTGGATGTGCTTGTTTAAAAAAGGTGACAATTTGAGAGATGGTGGCGACATCAGTTGGTCCTCTATTGGATCTTAGTTGTAACAAAGTACATGTAGTGAAAGGCAAATGGAAGAGGGTGTGGTCTCAGTCCCGTCAGTTGATTGGCCGTTAACGCCGCCTGTCTCGAGGGTCGCTGCGGCTGCGGGAGCGTCGGCCCCCGCCAGCCCCGCGGCCTTCTGGCCTACGGTAACCATCCCTCCGTTTGTCGTTCTCCCTACCTCTGTCTCTCTCTCTGTCCCTGCTCTTCTCCTTCTCCTTCTCTTTCTCCTTCTCTTTCTCCTTCTCTTTCTCACCCTCGCTCCGCTCTGCGGTTTGGCCGCCTGCAGGTTTCACCCTCTCCTTGCGCTCCTCTTCCCTTTTTTTCAACTCCTCCTCCTCATCTCGCTCCTTCCTCCGTGTCTCGCGCACCTTCATCCGTTCTGCCCTGGCAGCTTCCCGTTGAGCGATCTGCAACGAAGAAGAATGCACAGATGAATAATTGAAGTCTTGATTAGATATCTAGGCCGTGTAATAATAGTTGAGCATTAAAAGAGTATTAACTTCTGTGTGCCTCACATTGTCGTCTGTAAGTGGAAGCCAGTATATGCAAGGAGCTGCTTTAGTTTTGCGGAAAAGATCATCAAGCAGCTTTGCAGGGGGATCCTCAGCTGTTTTATCTGCAAAGAAACATCAACGTTAGAGCTCCAACTGCTTATTTATCAGCCATTATATCTGAATTAAATGTTTGTTTTATAAACTAGTGACACTATCAAAAAGCTCACAGTGGTGTCTTCAACTCTCAATGAGCAGGTGGAAACAATTAACAGTTTAGCTTGGAATTTTTATTTGAATGAATTGAATTAAGCATCAAAAATAATTAAAGATTCATTTTCTGTTAATGGCCGAATAACTGCTTCTGTTAAACAAAAGTTTTTACATAATGTAGCAAATAGTCTTGTCTCTCACCTTTCTTCTCAGACTTCTTTTCCTTGCCCTCTGCCCTCTCTTTGCGGCGTTTCTCTTTGGAGAGTGACCTCTGGGGGTCTCCCTCCTTCTCCTCGCCGGGTTTCCCGAAGTCTCGGACCTTGTCGCGGTCCCACTCCCGCTCCGCCCTGGCCTTCTCTCGGCGCTCCATCTCTCGCTCGCGCTCGGCCCACTGTTCTCGCTCGGGGAAGAGAGAGGGCAGGCCGGACGCTCGGCCGCGCTCCTCTGCTCCGGGTCGGTTGGCCAAGCCTTTTTGGAAGTCCAACTACAAAGCAGAGATACGCTCAGGCTACAGATGGCTTAGCATTGTGGGAGTAAGATAAAATAAAGACAAATAACAATAAGGTCCTACCTCATCCTGCTGGCAGAAGTCTACACTAAGGACTTTTGGGTTGCTCTGAGGCCATTTCACCCCGTGGAGAGCTGCACGAGTAGCGACGGCCTCCTCTGAGCTGCAGTACTAAACACAGAAAAAGACGTTAAGACAGAGAAAAACTTCGGGGGGCCAAAAGCAGTCCGACGCAGATCTACCAGTAGCAACAACTCACGGTGACGAAGCAGTGAGACTTGATTTTGTCGATCCAGAAGCCCTCTTCCACCAGGGTGCCGGTTCTGCTGAGCAGCTCCTTCAGCTGCCCCAGAGTGAATGGCCTCACCTAAACAAATGATAACAGAGCACTTATCACAACACGTATGTTGTAAACAGCATAAAGATGAACATGAATAAAAACTGTACATTGAACCGGGGTTCAAGGAAATTGTGAGGTTATAAGAACAGGTGCTTGATAGGTGATCCGGATCAAATCTGTCCTGAACGACGTCACTGTTCTTGAGGTGCATTTTAGGGACAATCATGGCATCATTGAATTATTCTTAGATAAAAAGGACAAATCCTTATAACCTGCCAAAGCCTCAAACATATCATATGCTTCAATGCCACAGAAGTCTTTTATGCATTTCATTGTGGCTTTACAGAAAAATATAACATGTCTGTATTTGATTAGGTCTTCCGACATTATTGGTTGATACTAAAAGTATATAATAGAAATTTAGACCTTTAGAAACAAATAAGCTTGCACCTATATAAAAAGGAGGTCAATAAGCGTCTTCAGTAAAAAACCATAGCGGGTCTGGCTGTTGCATTCTGGACTATTTAGGCCAGTTTTCTCTTACCAGGTTGCTGATGTGAACGATGCTGGAGACTTTGCCGCGGGGTGGTGAGGGCTGCCGGGCCGTGCGAACAGGGTCATCGATTGTGATGGAAACACCCGTTTTCTGCTGGCTGATGGAGCGACGGATGAGGGTGTCGCCTGGGGTCACTGGAACCAAGAACATACAATAATCAACAAAATGTCAGAAAAATACAACTGGATGTCAACGCAGCATGAAAGGTAGTGTGCTGACTTTTACATTTTTCTGAGTTTAATGCTAGATGAAGAACATCTTTTAACGTTTCCATTACCAGTGTTCATTTCTACGTCACGGCTGGTGTGTGATGGAGACTGGGTTTCCATCACGTTCCTGTCCTTCTCCTCGTGCGCTCTTGTCCTCTCTTTGTCTCCCTGCACATCCTCCTCCTCCGAGTCCTCGTGTTTGCTCCTCTTCACCTCCTTCTGTCCATTCTCCTGGCTCTCCGGGTGCACCACCTGCAAAATGTTTATATACAAAAAAAGCTCTTGATGAGGAAATTCATGTTCAAATAGTGCTTTGCATTTGAAACAGTGGTATACCGACCTGTGTGACGGTTCGTCTGATCTGTAGGTCCTGGTCAGAGCGCTCCCTCTCTTCTTCCTCAGCACCGGAGAGGGCGGCTTCCTCTGGGTGCAGGTCCACTACGGCCTCCTGACCGAGGCACGGACGAATGTCTGGGATCAGAGACTGAAGGGGAAAGAACGGAGAAAAATCACAAGATGAATGTGTGCCTATATTCAACAAATAAGACAGAGACCTGGCAAGTGCCTCATCGTGCATGTATCCGTCTAAAAAGCATTACTAGCAACTACAACGCAATATAAGTGCTGTCTACACCAAGAACTACATATTTCAAGTAGGGCTGCTTTGGAAAAAATGATAATAAAACGACCACGCAAGGCAAAATAGTTATTAGTGATAGAATAAATGTTTAAAGACCAAATCCGACTTCCAGCGTTGAACAAGAACACCTATTATACTATAGAAGTATTTTTTTGTGTATATCGTTCATCATATTGCTCTTAAAGTGAGTCATACGATATTGTTTGCTACTTTTGTTTAAGATGTAGCAGGGGCTCTGACATTTCACTTGAGTTTGAATAACCAACTTTATAGTTCTTGGTGCGAACAGCCCTACTAAGATGCAAATACCTTCAGTGACTCCGTGGTGATGCTGAAGGAAGGTTTCTTGGCGGTGACGGCTGTGCTGGATCCCCACCTCCTCTTGCGCCCGGCTGCAGCCCCAGAGTCCTGCTCGCCCTCTGCACCGCCGGTGCCCGGGGACGATTTACTGCCTGGTAAGACGAGAAAAAAACAAAACCAATTTAATCCTTTGGCACATGTTGTATACAGCCTTAGCTTGCAAATCAGCGTTGTAGCAACGGTTTCTTTAAACTATGGATGTTCATGCGATCGACGTTCAAGATTTTTTAGAATTTCCTTTACGAATATTGCCCTTTAACACTTACAATATACATAATAAAAAAAGATGCACAAAACCAAACGATCAGTTATAAAGAGGCATGGCACGAAAACTAAGGGACCAAGTTGGTGTAATTATTCTGAAAATGTGGCAGTCGTTTTTCGCTCATACACTGCGAAATGGTTTACATTTAGACTGCTTTTATTGGCTCCTTAAGCAAAGTCTGGCTATGCGTCCTGGACCACAGATTTTCTCCAGCCCTTTTTTTTTTCCAGCTCTTCTCACAATACCGTGTCCAGGAGACTTTACATGTTTCCCATGTTAATGTTGTGTTGGGTTCAAATCAGCAGGAATACAGCTAGTGAATGTTAGTGGTTATAATTGGAACTAGCAGTGCTACTGACTTGTATTAAGGTGCATTGAAGCACTATTTAGTACAATTCTGTAATGTGGTCGTCAATTATAATGTTACTATGTGTTCAAATGTAATGTTGTCTTTGGCAAAAATCCATTCCAGTTTCTCTGGAATGGATTTACTGTTTGAAGAGAATTTTCTTAATAGCAACAGTACTCAAACAATAAAGATGGAGTTCATTTTGAAGCACGTGGGATGATTTTGGGTATTGACTAGTCATCGAGAATTGTGGTATTTCACTAGTGCTGGTTTAGACCACTAAATGTGAAGTTATAAATACACTACACATCCCTAATTATAATCGTTGGTAAAGAGAGCAAGTAGGGAGGGTGTACTTACTGCTGATGGAGATCTTACGAGTTGAGAAGGCCTTTGGTGTCTGTAACACAAGAAGATAAAAACAACCCCAAACATGGGTGAGGTGAGAAGCTGCTACCAAGTGGTCAAGGACAGGTTAGAAGAAAGGTGGAACAATAACAGGAAGCTGGGGCTGAGAGTGGAGACAGAAACTGCTGTGAAATGTATTTTTTAAACTCAAGCCTACTGAATGGCAGCACACGGTTTTTCTACTGTACTGGTAGTTAAGTGCATGCCATTCATAATCATTTCAAAATCTAAATGTAAAGATTATAACTTGCTTGAGGATAAAACTGTTGCAGTCTCCATCATAGAGAAAAAGTAACTGGTTTAAATATTGCAGTTTAGATTCTTGTTATTTCTATAAAACTAGTTTCACAGGAATTGACTATGGTTAAAGATGACAACAATTTTGATTGAACTGCAGAGTCTATAAATAGGATAAGACTTTTCAACGCTGCTACTCGCAGCAAAGACTATATAGTATGACTGGAAACTATGCATTTATTTTCTAAATAACTATGAAATATAACATTGAGTAAACGTCTACTTATTCCCTGGTACCACTGACACCTGATCCTTACTGGTTTGGATATGGCCCAATCACGACTGCATGTACTGTATCTAGGCAACAAGGGTCCAATCAAAGGTGGCTGAGATGTTTGGATGGAAATCTGAAAGCGTGCTTGCTGGCAGGATGAGATCAAGAGTTCATTTGAGTAGGGGCTTTGAAATGCTTTTGGCCGAAGCAGTCATCCTCAGGTGTTTTGGCATTAGTCTTTCAAAGTGTGGCAGGCTCTTGTAACAACGAGTCCAATGAGTTGAAGGCCAGGTGTTGGAGGCGGTTAAATGTCATTGTGCACACAATTCCCAAAACTTGATGTTAGTGTTCAGTTCTTTAAGGCACTGTTCATGGCGTAGAGCACGAAAAGTCGTACGTTTGCAAAAACTCTGCAGAAGGTTGTTGTAGAAACGAACCCAAAACGTTAAGTCCTTCTTCAGTTCAAATCAATCTTATTAAGTCCAGGCAAAAGCTTTGGTCTCTTTAAAAACGCTTTTAGTATCAAAGAGATGTCTTGATTTCGGAATCCCATTCCAAGAGAGTAAACCGAATCCAAAATGTCCTCTGTCAAGCATGTGACAGTTCACCAAGCTTCACAAATCACATGTCCATGATGCCCCATGTTTCTCTGCAAAGGGGTTCAGATTGTACCAAAGTGAAATAGTACAAAAACTACTGACTGTTTCACAGCAACCTTGACTTGATGTGAGAACAAGTCCTTGTTCATCTCGTCTCAAGGCTGATTTTAAGGGCACAAGGCCCAATAAATTGGTAAGGGCAAAGAGAGGTGGGCAACGTTGACTAGCCGACCCCTTCTTTGCATGTTCTAGTCCATTCAATAGCTCTTGCCAGCCATATCCATGAAAATGAGGCAGCCTTTGTTGCCAGGGATGTCCCTCTGAGCCTTGGGGGCTTATCTGTGGCCAACTCTGGATTCTTGGGGACAGTGGAACAGGTGCAGCAGTAGCAGTAGTAGTAGAAGTAGTAGTGGCAGAGGTAGTATGCAGGTACCAATAGGGGCAATGGAAGAGGCATGAGCACCTTTATAACAAAGCAATCATTTGGGGTTTAAATATCAGCCACAGTGAGAACATACCCTTGCTGTTTCAGTAAAAGTTTTTCTTTTCTTTTTACATATAGCCATATCATGAAATTTAATTTCCTAAGCACATTTTACAACTCGTGATTAGGGCTCATAAAGTCATCTAGTGGATATGTATTTTAATTGTAAAGAAAATATTTCTAACAAAAAAATATAGTAAAATGTTCTATACTGTATAATATATCCTGGTTAATAAAAACTTAACTATAAACAACTCAACTATAAAACAAATGAAATGGGTCCTTCCACAAGTCCTGAGCTACAGACAGCTTTGAGGCCCAGGATGATTCATGGTTCTTCAGGAGCCTTACCTCCTCGCTGGTCTCTGGAAGCTTCTCTGGCTCTGCCATGGCAGTCTCCTTCACCTGCCTGAAAAGTGTGAAAGACACATAAAAGAAAGTACATATTTATTTTAAAAACAAGATAGACATTTTTTTTTTTACCAAGGCAGAACAAGTGAAATTACATGTATTAACAGTTTCATAGAGTTCAGATTTATGAAAAATTGTGAGGTACCGTGTTACAAAATTAAAAATATTCAATATTTACAGTCTAAATATTTAAAAGCACAACTTTTATCTTCCTCTAAATCTCATTAAACTACATTTAAGTTACAGTCATGAAACCCTCAACATACATATTGATTTCCCTTATAAGAAACAAAAAACAGCAATTAAAAAAAAAAGGCATACAAATTCTCAGCATATGAATCCACTCTACTGAGATACACACACACAAACAAGATTAAGCTTAACAGTCACTATGTTGTTTCACTGATATGTTAATTGTTGAATGGGGTCAAAGGACAGAGGCGATGAATGCAGAGCACAGCAGACTCCTCGCAGACCGACCGACAGACACGCAATACCTGACAAAAGAGCGCGCGCCTCACGTTCTCATGTCATCCTCATGCGCGTTCATGCGAACATGTCCAGTCATTTCGAGTTAAATGTACTTCGGAGGTAACTACAAATTTAAGACAAACTGCGCCGGGTTAAAACGAAGCGTACAAATGCTACTGTAGCTAATGTGACTGCGTCGCACCGAGCCGCCTCTCCCTCCCTTTCACCGGAGAATACTCCTCTATAACTCATTCATGTCTGAAACCAACCCCTGCGGCACACAAACCCCCTAGTTTTCTGTTCTGCTAAGCCGCTGTATGGAGAACCATAGGCCAGCATCTGTAGCTAAAGCCAGCGTCGGAACACAGCCATGTTGCAACGGATGAAAAAAAGATCGTCTATTAAAAAAAAGAACCCGTATCTCCTCAGCCACACCGGCTTCAAGGCAGTCTCATCACTCGCCTGATGGGAAAGCCATTACGTTTTTTATACGACACCGTTTTATCATCGACGTAGTGTGTTCATAAAGCATACCGATTTTAAGGAAGTGGGATTATGTGATATGCTGGTAATAAACGCGTATGAAGCAGCACGTGTAAACCTACGAAAAATGTGCCACATCATTTTCTATAACAGATACATGGCGTAGTAATCAGCAGCGAACCGCTTCAACACGCGTATTTCGGTGTATTCACGGCATTCATTTTGTTATTCTACAGTATTGTTGTTTTATAGATAGTTATTTGTTAATGTGACACAATTTGTGTTCTTTGCAATCAAAAAGGATATCGCATTGTGTTTGTTACTTTCGTTGCAGTTGTATATGTCTCAAGTGTAATTTGGCTTGACATGCTTTTATTTTGAAGGAGAGGTAGCGCTGTTGACAGGAAGTTGTTGTTGCTTTGGAAACAACGTGAAGGAGATTAACGTGGAAAAAACAAACAAAACGAATATCGACATTGAAACCTGAATAGTACTCCAACGAACAAAAATTCGGATATTCGGGTACAGCCCTAGTATGTAAGGGATAATGTGCAGCAACGCGGTCATTATGGAGAAAAGAACACCGACAGGCTGATCAGGAGCCCGACGCGAAGCGGAGGGATCTAGATCGGCATGAAGGTTAGGGTTAGATCTATTACATGGCCACATTCTCAACAAAGTAACGTTAATTAATCCCAATATTAATTGAAATGCTTTTATGGATTTAGAAAATTATTTTATTGATTTAAAAAATAGTTGTATTGATTTAAATTGACATGCATCCGCTAAGAAAAATAGTCCGTTGTTACCGTTTGAACTAACGTAGCAACGGCAGGAACTGCTTCGATAGCGTTTTTGATTACAGATTTGAAAACATCGCTGCTTGCTTTAAAAGTAGCACAATTCATTATGTCAAACCTTGGAAAGTATCTAGATATCCCTGCCCTAATGCCAAAGTAACTGCACACTGAATATGTGTCGCCGTTTGATGTCCATGTCTGGACCGCTGCGTAAAAAGGAGGGTTTCTGCCCGTTACTTCTCCGCTGTTTTCTTGTCCCTCTTGTCTTTTTCTTTTCTTCACTGGGGACTCATCAGCCACTAACTATTACTCCAAATTACTGTGCTCTCCAAATATATTAAAATTAATGTTAAAATCCTCCATGTTGCTATCACACGACAGCGGAAAACTAAAGACAATCAGACAGTTTGCTTGCTTTTCAAACTGTTACATTTGAAAAACAGTTAGAGCGTCTCTTGTCTTGTCAGTTTGAAAAGCCAACGGTAGGAATAGGCCGCAAGGTGAACCTCGAAAAGTCCTTTAGAAAAGAAATCCCGCTCCACAGAAGTGGAACTACATAATCTTTAGTTCATAAAAAAGAACGAGTCATGCTTATCCACCAAAGAAAAGTTCGTCGCTAAAATTCCTGTCAATTCTTCTAGACACTGGCTGAACTAGTCCCTTCAAAGCGTAATAATATCTTGGTCAAAAGTAGTGCCACGGTTCGTCACGTGATCGTGCTACACCAATTGGGTAGCTACATATTGTCAACAGAAGTGAAAGATGGCCGCCTCCATGGTTACGCTAAACCAGACCAAATGGATTCTAAACAGTGCTGTATGCTTGTTTTATGTCATGTTTTGTCATATGTCTTAATACATCACTAAGTCCGAGGTATTTGCGTTATATACGCGGTATTTGTGAGAGGTTTTACTATCTGGGAACAGAGTTGACCATCGAATCAACATTGGCTAGCAGCGTTTATCAGCCAACTCCAGCTACAACAACATTCCTGGACTACCATGTTCGCATCGCTAGGTTCATTGGCTGAGCTCGTGAATTATTCCATTAGACTGAGGACTTTTTGTCTGTCTGTCTGTTGTTATTGTTACCCTGTACACGTTAAATGCACTCTTAAAATAAACATGACTTGATTTCATACATAGCTGCGTCCAAGAAGAAGGTTAACTTGTTACGTTAAGTAATTTAGATCAATAAAATGCAGTACTTATACCAATGACCATTGATTCATTTATTTACTCATTCATCATATAATAATTTGATGAATTACATTATTATTATTATTATAGATATATATAGATTATTATTATTATAGATATATATAATATATATATATATATTATATTATTATTATTATTATTATTGTAATATGATAATATTGTATTTGTAACTTCAAAATCAATGCCACCGTTGTAAGCTTGTCCTGTACGTATTCCATCTTGTATTGGTAAAATAATCAACCTTTTCGTGCTTCACAGACGTAATATGCATGTAACAATGTTTGTTGATAATTTGACTTTTTGAGACTTTCTGGTGCGTTTTCCTCGTCCCCGCTACTCGATGAAACCATGGCGGTCGCCATTTTTTCCAAATGTGTTTGTTGATACCGGTATATGCAGCTACCCAATTGGTGTAGCACGATCACGTGACGGACCGTGGCACTACTTTTGACCAAGATATTATTACGCTTTGAAGGGACTAGTTCAGCCAATAATTACGTGCCTAGAAGAATTGACAGGAATTTTAGCGACTTTAACTTTTTTTTGGTGGATAAGCATGACTCGTTCTTTTTTATGAACTAAAGATTGTGTAGTTCCACTTCTGTGGAGCGGGATGAAACGATAACAGGGTTCACCTTATGGCCTAGAAGGAACTGCTTGCGTTTTTGAGGAGCTTTTTTATTACAGATTTGAAAACATCGCTCCTTGCTTTAAAAGTAGCACAATTCATTATGTCAAACCTTGGAAAGTATCTAGATATCCCTGCCCTAATGACAAAGTAACTGGCAACTGAATATGTGTTGCTGTTCGATGTCTATGTCTGGACCGCTGCGTAAAAAGGAGGGTTTCTGCCCCGTTACTTCTGCGCTGTTTTTCATGTCCCAGTTCGAAAAGCAAACTGCATGCAGTTTGCTTTTCGGCCCAACTGTATACAGTTAAATCGACCCGACTTCTTTCTGAAGATGTGAGCATCCTTAACAACGGTCAATAAGTCCTTGACAGCGGTCTGTCTGTTCGGTATTAACAACGTGTCACGTGTTCTGAATTGAGTATTCAACGAAGCCATGTAATAAGTATAATTCTATAACACATAGGTGTGAGCAAGCTCTCTGATTGGTCAATAGGCGTGTTTGATTCCACGATCAAAGAACGGTCAAATAGAACGTGCCTTTTCACAACAAGTCAGTATCCCTCCGCGTCTGAGAAAAACGGTATACCCTTGGCCTGAAAAGCTGCTTTTCGAACTGGAAAAAGAAAGCAGCGGAGAAGTAACGGGGCAGAAACCCTCCTTTTTACGTTACGAAACAAACTTCCAAACATAATATGGAAACATTTAAGATTAACTTCAACCTCCGGGGGGGTCTTACTGTGGAGGACTGGATTGAGGAGTGCCTAGAAAAAAAAGCACCTAAACGACAACATGCAGAGCTACGTGAAGAGCAGGTAGACCAACTGGAAAAGTACCACAATTCAAAAGCTAACTGCAAACTGGAACAAGAAAGCAGCGGAGAAGTAGTGGTTTCCATAGCGACACACAGCCGTTACATTGTTACATTGTCTCTCTTTGGAAAATCGTTAGCTACAAAATGTCAGATTTTATAGTTATCATCTGGACAACAGAAAAATGTGGAGCAACGCGCTTTTTGCCGGTCCGGGACACGCCAAACGGCCACTGGAGGAAAGCTCTTCCGTGAACACCACAGCACCAACTGCAAAAAAGTCTGGCATGGAGTTCATGCGTTGTTTCAAAAATTGCACTTTTAATGGCAGCATGAACATTCACCTTCATTCTGAAGCCAAAATGTTAAATATGTAAATAAATAAATAAATAGCCTAATTCAAGAATTGTTGTCAATAAATTGGTTAATAATATATTATTTACTATAATTATATCAATAACTGTAAGCGGGGAAGCAGGAGTGTTCGATTGATCGGCTCTCGTTACCAAGGGAACTACTTTATAGGAACTACTTTCTGACGGAGATTAACTCAAGCAGAAAGTGAAGGTTTGGGAGCAAATTAGCCCACATTATGAAATTATTTTACGATATTGTTGATTACAATGATAGTTTGTGTTATAGAATCGCAATCATACACTTGAGGCCGTTCTTTAACGTCATTATTGGTACTCCAGTACAGGCATACGGACCTCGGCGCAAGCGCCTCGGTCCTGTCGCAGTACTGTCGTACCAATAATGACGTTAAAGAACGGCCTCTCGTGTATGATTGCTTAAATAAATACTAGTTACAGTGACGTGAGCAGTTATATGGAGATGTGACATGCAACGCGGATCTAAAGAGAATGTTGTGTTCATTCTCAGAATAAATGCCAGAAAACACCCCAGATGCTTCGCTGTCGTTTCCTGAATGATAACAGGTCGCTTACGGTTGTGACCTGTTATCCCCCAGTATACCCTAGTCAGCGCCCCTAGTTACACCAATCAGCGTGCGATTACCGTACAGCCAATCACAATGCGTGACGTCATTGGTAAGCGACTGACCCCAAACACATATGGTAGGGCGAACACATATGGTACTGACACCAGAACTTATTTGCAGCACCTTAATATTTATTTACAAATGATATTTTCTCATATTTTGCCTTTACCAAAATATGGCGCTTGCTGAGATTTTGATATATCACTAGTCCATATTGCAGTTTCGATACATTTCGATTAATTGTACAGCACTAAGACATGTTTTCACTCTCCTGTTGAGAAATGAATGGTCACAAAACCACCAAGTCTGCCTGATTAGAAGTAGAATATGGTCTATGTGGAGATCCTGTGTATACAAATATCCATACAACCTTATATTCATTACTCTTTTCCCCTGTTAGCTTCATATGAGGCTTTTAACTTCTACACATGTAATTATGCTTTCATGAGTCAGCATGTGTTTCCATCAACTAAACTCATTTTCATTTGTGTTTGTGTGGGAAGTATGTTACAGGAGTTGGCTCAAATACTCATACACTGCATCTTGTAAAGCAGAGGCAGGCCCAACAATGCCAGTAACATATATTTTCAGTTTTGTTTTTCCTCCAAAGTATAGTCTTTCTTGTCTTCTAGAGTGAGTTTGTGGTGGGAAATGAAATAATGATGAACAGGAGAGTGTAGTAAAATGTATCTAACAACCCTGTTTTCCCTTTGCATTGTTATAGGTAGCAACCTGGCAGAGAAGCCTTTTGTTGAAGCACACTGCTCTTTTGAACCAATAACAGAATGATAAATATTCTCAAAGTAGGGGGGTGTTTGATTCATAAACCTGGCTTGTACCCAACTCTGAGAGCTCAGACCAAGAGTTAAATTAAAACAAACCACCTTTCTTATAACTTTTCACAAACAGAAAGTAATTTAAGCAATTACTAAAAACAACAGATGAATTCACCTGTGTGTGTTAAAGGTGGGGTAGGTAAGTTTGAGAAACCGGCTCGAGATACACTTTTTGTTATATTCCATGGAATGTTCTTAACATCCTGATAGCAATGGATATCTGAAGTGCTTTGACAATAAATCCATAAAAAAAAGCATACTGTAAAAAGCACGACCAATCATCTGAGCCGGCCCGGCTAAAATAACTGGATGGCCTACCTGCCTGTCAGCTTTCCATCTATGCACAAACTTATCTCGTGCAGTCATTGGTCATGTGCGCGTTCTTGTGTGTTGGAGGAGGGGCTCTGTAAGGAAGTGGCAGATTTTTTTCGGCTGTGTATTTTCAAATTCTAGCGCACTCGAGCTGGTTTCTCCAAAATTACCTACCCCACCTTTAATCTGACACACAGACAATGTATAGGATGAGTTTCACAAGATTAAGACTTAAAAGCAAACCTTTGTTTGTCTGTTTCCTTCTCTCTGTCGTTGTCCTTTTTCTTTCTTTGGGGCTCCTCTCCGGTCGGTGCTTCAATGAAAGGTTTCTGGGGATTTAAAAAGGGAAGAAAACTGAATAAGAGGTGAAATAATATGATGTTTGTCAAGGACGGTGGGTAACATCACCAAAAGAGAAAAAAACAGAAAGCTAGATATTTGTTTGTAGCATTAGCGAAGATGTCGAGAATTGAGACAGATGTAATAATAAGGGATGTTTTAGTTTATGAGCAACTGACCTTGTTGTGGCCTTCTTCATCAGCAGTTACGTTTCTCTTCTCTACAGACGACCCTCCTTTGCTCGGGGAGACTTTTGGTGTTTCCTTTATGCCCTGAGCCTGATCTTTTTTAGGTTTCTCTTCCTGAAAGGACACAAGCAACAGAGATATTTTTTAAACCAAAAAACACTTGCAACATTTGCTATAACAACAAAACCTTGGTATGGACAAAAGCATACTCAAATACTAGTTTTTTTTAACCAACCAAGCTTTTATTTATCAACCCAGGAGACCACCTGGTGATAATGCCCTCTGGGTGACTCAAAACATCAGACTATTGATAAATAAGGCAGTACATCACACAAAACTGACTATAGAGAGGCGAAGTCCCTCCACTTCCGGTGGACCTCCATGGGACCTTATTTAGGAACAATTATGTATTGAAGTCAATGGCGAGAGAAAGATTAACTTTCGATCCCATTTGAATTGTGCCACGAATTACACATATGGTGTTTGTCAATTTAAAAGATAATTTTGCGAGTAAAAAAAAAAAAATGTGTCGTAAAACTGTGAAGTAACACTTTTTGTGTGTGAAACCGCTCAATGAACTACATCTCCCGTCTCGCACCAACACCAAGACGGCCGTCACGTTGGCACCATAGACTGTATATATAAATGGACGTAGTGTCCGTGACGTCACCCATAGGATTCTGCAGAGTTGCCGTGAAGCCCTTAGTAGGCGGAGTCGTCCACTAACGGCTCGACTGTGACGTCAGAGTCTAATCCCGCCTGCTCCAAATAAGGGCAAAGAGGCGGAGCCGAGGTGGGACCTGCTGCCTCCGAACTGGAAGTAAATAGAGCTAGCTCAGGCTAAGAAGCTAAGCTAACATGAAATACATGCATACCAAGTTACTGCTAACAGTGTAGTTCCCCTATATAGACGTTACATTCATAATCAAATGAGACAATCTGCAAGAGAATTAGCTATATTTTGTTATTCTTAATGCTTGTCATTCACACGTTGAGAAAAGACGGACTCTACCCCGGACCTAACGGAGCCGCAGTGGGCTAACTCCGGGACGCCGGCTGGAGCTAGCCCCCTGCGGCTCCGTTAGCTCCGGCGGCCACCACTGGGATAATCGGGTCCCCTATTAACATTTGCTCCCGTTTAGCATTATGGGCGTCATAGCCATAGACTATAAAAGTCTGACCCAAGGCTGAATCATAAACTAAAATGTATATGTATGCATAAAGGGTTACGTCCTTAGCTGGCTAATAAGTAACAAGCTAAGCTACCAAGCACACAAACACCTGCGAACGGGGTTAACATGTATAATATTATCATTTTAGACTTCTTGGAAGTTCTGTTAGTACATTCAAGCGCACAGCACGACATTTTAATTGTCTGGTATTTGTAACAATATTTCCTAAAAAGGCACAATCACCACGAACACGGCTAAAGCTAAAGGGTCAAGTACAGTACTATGACTAACTAACGTTGTAGCCTCTATGGTTGTAGCCTAGCAGAGTGGACAAGTTGCTGTTAGCTGACAGTGAGGCATGTACGTGTCCATCAAAGTGACCACGCCCTAATTTATGCAAAAACGTTAAGACCTAATATAAATAAAAGGGTCGTGTTAGAAAACAATTCCCTCACAGATTCATAATCATGAAGGTGGAATCTAACTTTATCGATAATAATATTTATTGCATCCATGGGTAGAAACTAGGGATGCACGATATTGGTTTTTTGAAACCGATAACTTCCTGCTTCTCAAGACCGATACCCGATAATAATATAATATATATATATATTAAATGTACCTGTAGTTTTTGCACACCTGGTGGTAAAAAAAAGACTAGTAGTGAGCAAATGACATGAGCATTACTACTATGAACAAAACAAAGCCAAGAACAGTTTTGACTCTCGTCAAGCGCCATCATTTCTATGATGAAGTTAGAGATCGTTTTAGCCCTGGGGTCGTCTCTGGCAAACGTCTTGCCTTTTTCAAAAGCCTCGTCGATAGGTAAAAGCCCCGGTGCCTTTGCAGCTGGCTTTGGATTCGCCGCTAGTTTAGCAGCGCAGGCGTCTTCGTACGCTTTTAACACACCATCGTAGCGATGACGATGTTTCAGGAGACAAATCAGGTTGGAAGTATTATAGCTCGTTGCCTTTTTCCCTCCTCGTGGAACTTCTGCATTGCATTTGTTAATACAAATAGCAAGCAAACTATCTAACTCTGAAACTTTGAAATAGTCCCATACTACCGGCGACATGTTTGTTTACTGTCCTGGCTTCACACCATTTACGTCACAGCCAGGCATGAGTTAAGGAGCGCTGGATTTGTGAAAAACTCCCCTCTTCCTAAACCACTAATACCACAGTACTGGCAAAACGGGAGGAGCCGAGTGAAAAACAAGCGCCCCTCATCCCAATCCACCCACACCGCAGTATTTTTTTTCTTTTTTTTTACCCAAAAAATATATTGTATATTATCGGGGCTATTAATACTGTTATCGGATTTATCGGGATGACGTCATAATTCCTAATATCGGACCGATAATTATCGTGCACCACTAGTAGAAACATGTTTTTTTCTGCTGTAAAGTTGGGCATTTTAACATGGAGTTCTATGGAAATTGCGCCTTTCTGCAGCCAGTCCCTAGCGGCCCATGTATGAATTGCAGTGTGTGGGACTTCCGTATTGGCTTCCCGGCTGTTCTCCAGAGTTTGCCGCTTGGTTGGCACATTTAACTTCTTTCTTTTAGAATGAGGTGAAAATTATTACCTGTTTTTCAGGTCTCAGGCTCAAAAATGACATTCCCAGAACAAATGACCATATCTTCCCTTCTAAAAGGGTTAAATTAATAACCTTTTTTCTCAAAGTAATGATAAACCTGTGAGTTGGATGTAGAAAAGTCAGAATCAATATAGATGTTTTTTATTTTAAAGAAAATTCAAATTAAACATAGTAAAAAACTGTAAATTATAGTGTCTACCCTTAAAGAGCCTGTGACAGCCTCCCAACTGTTGTGCAATGAAATATTGGGCTACTAGTAATCTTGAACCGTCAGTTTAAAAAAATAAGGTGCGATACCGTTCCGATAAATATCAATAATTTCGAACATCGCGGGGAAATTCCTTCGACTCATTTTGAAGTTTTGGGGGAAGCCGGAACTGACGTCAATGCGGGAACGCTTCACTGTGTTGTCATGCGTAGAAATGGTGAATTACTGAGTTTAGGCACGTTAATAACGTTTTAATGAAGTTGACTACAGTATATTCATATTTGTCAGTGCTTTCATGTCAATTCGGCGAACATAAACATAAATGATCATGGTGAAGATGATTAAATTAGGATTAAAATCGGAGCTGCTGAATTTCCTCTCTTCGGATGTGATATAAAAACAAATCGATTATTTTTGTAGTTGTAAACTCAAGTGGATGAAACTACATTTATTAGTGCTTTCATGTCAATTCGGCAAACATATGATACATTAAATGATCGTGAGGATGATGATTAAAATCGTTTGTTTGAGCCGGTCTGCATTTCCTGGTGAGAAAACAAACCGATGCTTTTTGTAGTTGTAGTACACCAACATGGATTAAACGTGTGTTTTTTTTACCACAATGTTGGGGAAATTAATGGATAAAATGCACGGATTATTATTATTCCCACTCCGATCGGGACACTAGGTCCACCGTTTCCCCGCAGCGAGGCTCCCCCCGTTGACAGTTTACGTGGGCTGGGCTGGGTGCAGTGGCGGACTGGCCACTGGGACGAATCCCGATGGGCCGGTACCGAAGTGGGCCGGTCGGATAAGTCACTAGCACATCCCCACTCCCCCCGTTGACAATTTATTAGCGGTACCGAAGTGGGCCAGTCGAGAGTCCCGGGATGATTTTTAGTCCCAGTCTACCACTGGCTACATGACCGTATGATCGCCCATATTGACGCACCTAATTCCTAAACTTCTAACTGAGACAACATAAACCGATCCTTCAGCCTCATATGAGCTCTCAGACACGTTCAACATTAAACTGTCATCGCTGTCTGAGCTTACTGCTGTGTGCGCCATCGTGCGTTTACATGCAGATGCTGGGATCCTGAACGGTGCAGCTGGAGCGCTGTGCCCGCAATGACGTCACACGTAATTTGGCAGGACTTGAAGAATCCCCGAGCAGATCCAGAAAATTGTCAACATTGAAGGGCAGATTAATGGTTATCAAAGTACAAATATCCAAAATCAGTTCAGTAACGGTTTTCAAGGGGACAATATTTACTCAAATTGATGGGTTTGGATGATGGGGGAAACTCGTGTCACAGGCTCCTTAAACTACCCTTGGAATCCAAAGTACAACATATAATAAGTACCCTGTATCAAGATTGATGCAAAACAAGTGACATTTGACCTTTTTAGAGAGGTTTAGCAAAAAAAACTCCACCTCTGGGGTGATTTGGGTGGAAATAGCCGTTTTTACCATTTCTCTGGAACCCATTGGTCGATTTTGGTGATTGACATCTCTTTTTGACCGTTAGAGCCAATAGAATCAATGGGGAATTTCCCCATACACACACATGGGGGGGGGGGGGGTCGTAGTAATCAGCAGCGAACCGCTTCAACACGTGTATTTACGGCATTCATTTTGTTATTCTACAGTATTGTTGTTTCATAGTTATTAACCCAATATGTGTTCTTTGAAATTGAAAAGGATATCGCATTGTGTTTGTTACTTTCGTTGCAGTTGTATATGTCTTAAGTGTAATTTGGCTTGGCTTCCTATTTATGGACATGCTTTTATTTTGAAGGAGAGGTAGCGCTGTTGACAGGAAGTTGTTGCTGCTTTGGAAACAACGTGACGGAGATTAACGGAGAAAAGTAATATCTACATATAAAGACGGAGAAAGTAAACGATAACGTTTATGGTTAAGTGTTAGCACCCCCAAAGAGGCACAAGCTCTTACGTTGATATTGGAGATTTCAATAAATTCAATTTGGAAAAAAAACGAGAAAAACAAACAAAACGAATAACGAAATTGAAACCCGAATAGTACTCCAACAAACAAATATTCGGATATTTGGGTACAGCCCTACTCTATAGTGCCTAAAACTTCAGAGGCTGCGTATCAGTGAAAAAAAACAAATTTAACACAATTAAAAATGGCCAGCATGATAAGCCCTGTATGCCAGGGACCAATTAGAGGGATTCTTTTCAAACCACTTACCCTTTTACCCCTTGTAGTGTCACGGGTTTTCTCTCTAGAGGATGTTGATGAGCTGGAGGAGCCGGACGATGAAGACCCAGAGTCGGATTCTGAGGAGGAGGAGTCATTAGACGATGATCGTTTCCTTGCATGTTTTTCGTCCTTCTTTGTCTCTCTTCCCCTACGCGGTGCAGTATCCTCTCTTGGACCCTTGCTTTTGTCCACTTCCTTAGCTGCATATTCTGTCTCGATCTTTGCTGAATCCACTTTTTCTTTGTCCGCCAATACAAGACTTTTTGCCTCTTCTTTTTTGGGACTCGTGGTCTCCTTCTCGGGCGCCTTGGCAGCAACCTCCTGCTTTTTCTGTGGGCCTTCCTGTTCGGTGGAGGACTTGAGTCCTTCCTGCTGTGAAACTTCTGTTAGCGCAGAGACGGTTAAGGCCCGGGGCTGGGGGGTGTCTGAGAAGTTACGGGGCCGCTTGATGACCATGGAAGGCGAGGACGATTGAATTGGGGGCTCCCGTTGGAAGCGGAACTTCTTGAATGTGGACTGAGGCGACAGAGGTGTTGGTGAGATGCTGGATTTAGCATGGGCATCTACCTTCTCGCCTTCCTCTGCCGATGACTTTGCGGCCGGTCCAGTGGAGAGGAGGGTAGGAGTGGGCAGGGAGGTGAAACCAAGCTCGCGGCCGCGTTTCAACGGAGGGAGGTGACTTTCCCTCTCCTTTTCGGCCATTCTAGCCCTCTCTTTCTTCTGTTCCAAGGCTGTCTCCTGCTCCTCCTTTTCTTTCTGCAAGGATTTCTCCTTTTCTAGCTTCTCGTGTTCCAGAGCCCTCTCCTTCTCCTTCCTCTCGAGTTTCTCCTGCTCAAGAGCTTTCTCCCTCTCAAGCCTCTCCTTCTCGAGTCTCTCCTGCTCTAAAGCCTTCTCCCTGTCCAGCCTTTCTTTTTCGGCTCTTTCCTTCTCCTTCCTCTCCCATTCCAGAGCTTCCAATCTCTCCTTCTCCTTCCTCTCCCGTTCCAGAGCTTCAAATCTCTCCTTCTCCTTCCTCTCCTGTTCCAGAGCATCAAATCTCTCCTTCTCCTTCCTCTCCCGTTCCAGAGCTTCAAATCTCTCCTTCTCCTTCCTCTCCCGTTCCAGAGCATCAAATCTCTCCTTCTCCTTCCTCTCCTGTTCCAGAGCTTCCAATCTCTCCTTCTCCTTCCTCTCCCGTTCCAGAGCTTCAAATCTCTCCTTCCTCTCCCGTTCCAGAGCTTCATATCTCTCCTTCTCCTTCCTCTCCTGTTCCAGAGCTTCCAATCTCTCCTTCTCCTTCCTCTCCCGTTCCAGAGCTTCAAATCTCTCCTTCTCCTTCCTCTCCTGTTCCAGAGCTTCAAATCTCTCCTTCTCCTTCCTCTCCTGTTCCAGAGCATCACATCTCTCCTTCTCCTTCCTCTCCCGTTCCAGAGCTTCAAATCTCTCCTTCTCCTTCCTCTCCTGTTCCAGAGCTTCAAATCTCTCCTTCTCCTTCCTCTCCTGTTCCAATGCCCTTTCCCTCTCTTTCCTTTCTTGCTGCAACACTTTCTCTCTCTCGATTATCTCCTTTTCCTTTCTCTCGAGCGCCAACCTCTGTTGCTCTTGGGCTCTCTCCCGCTCCAACCTTTCCTGCTCTATAGCTCTTTCTCTTCTCTCCTTCTCTATGGCTTTCTCCCTCTCGAGTCTCTCCTGCTCCAGAGCCCTCTCCAGTCTCTCTTGCTCTAAGGCTTTCTCCCTCTCAAACCTTTCCCTTTCCAGCCTCTCCTGCTCCAAAGCCATTTCTCTCTCAATCCTCTCAGCCTCCAGAGCTCGTTCCCTCTGTAGCCTCTCTTGCTCCAGAGCCCTTTCTCTCTCTTTCCTTTCCTGCTCTAAAGCCCTGGCTCTTTCCTGCTCTATGGCCCTCTCCATTTCTTCCCTCTCTCGCTTCTCCCTCTCTTTCCTTTCTCTCTGCAGACGCTCCTGCTCCAGGGACCTCTGTCTCTCCAGCTCTTGTGCGAAGGCTCGCTCTCGCTCTTCCCTCTCTTTAGCCAAAGCGAGTTCCCTCACCTGTCTCTCTCGCTCTAGAGCAAGCTCTCTCTCGCGCTGCAAAGCCTTTTCTCGTTCCTCTCTTTCTAAAGCCAGTGCAAAGGCCCTTTCCCGCTCTTCCTCCATGGCCTGCTCTTTTCTCTGTTTCTCTTGCCTTTCCAGCTCAAGGGCCTTTTCTCTTTCTAACTGAGAGTCCCTCTCTCTGTCCCTCTCTTCTGTTGCGGTGGCCTTGAGCACACTCACGGGTGCTTGAATATGGGCCGGATATGCTCCTGGGATGCCTGGAATTGTGGAAAATGACATGTGCCCTGCCGCATTGGCTGTGTGAGTTATGGCAGAAACCAGACCCTCTAAAGGCCCTCTGCCATCGCCTTCAACACCGGCGGCACGGTGCCAACCTGCTCCAGAGAAAGCACCTTCTGACTCCATTTTGCGGGCCAGAAGGGTCAGTGGGCCGGGCTTGCGCTCGGCACTCCTCTGCGGCTCCGGGCTGCTGCTGCGGCTGTCGCTGCTGGAGGAGCCGGAGCTGGAAGTACTGGATGAACGCCCAGCTGCGGCTACATCTGGACTTGGGGGGCTCTGTTTAGGGGTGTCCGGCAAGGGGAATGATAACTCTGGAGGTGGGGAGGGAGGAGGTGTAGGCTGGCGGAGTTGAGGGGATAGAAGGGAAGGCATGTGTTGCTGAGGGGGTTGACAGGGTACTCCGGACCTCTCTCTAGACGCGGGAGCTCTGGCCGGCTCTCTGTTGCTTCTCCTGTGAGCGCCTCCTTCCCAATCGTCGTTGTCGCCATCCTCGTCTCCGTCATCACTGTCGTCATCGTTGCTGTCGGCTGCGACTTGGTTGGAGGCGGACCCCCTTTCTGGTCGGTGCTCTGCGACAGGAACGCGCATGGCCACAGAGCCAGACGCAGGAGGACCGGACATGTGGGCTTCCTGGTTTCTGTTACCCTCTGCCTCGTTCGCTGCCCCAAACAATCCCTCTCCACCGGAGGGGCCGGGTGGCTTTTGCTGCTCAGCCAATGGTGGCGGGGCTTCCTGGTGAGGAGAGAAAGGGGTTAAATTGATGGTATATGGACTGCATTAATATAAAACTTTTCCAGCTTTTCTGAACCCTCAAACCACAACATTAAGCCATTCATCTGGGCAATTTGGGGGTAAGTATCTTGCCCAATCAACATGTGGATTGCAGGGGCTGGGTATTTAACCATCGACCTTCCAATTGGTAGACAACCATTGCGACACCTATTTTGGCATTGCAATTCATACCAGCACCTTTCAAATGGGCTAAATATTTGAAACTTCAAACAAAAATCGTTGTTAAAAATATGAAGAGAATGTGACCTGAATGCAACAGGTAAGAAAAGAAAGTGATGACTGACCTGGGCTGGAGGAGGGCATGGTGTACTGTTATTAACTTCTGTGTGGTCCTCTTGATCTGTTGACAAAAGACAAAAACCTATAATTACGCAAAAAACGTATGCACCCTAGATGTAAACAGTTTCAGTACCAAACTGGGTTGCAATGGTGGATTCGTACAACACTTACCATTAGTGTCATATGCTTCACGGGCCTCTCTCTCGAGCCGCTGCCTCAGGAGCTCCTGTTGTTTAGCCAGATACTGCTTGATGAAGCTGTTCTGGCTCATTTCTTCTCCAATCTACAGAGAACATTAAAAATAATGATGGGTAGAAGACTTCAAGGCCACTATCAAGTTAAGACATTTAACAGTATTGGCGGAATTTGTCATATATATTTAAGTGCCGATTGTATGTGAACTGGCTTAAGTTGTTGACACAAAGATTAAGGCATCTTTAAAGACACTTACCTGTGAGTTTGGCTGTAGTCCGATGTGATTGGTTGAGGTCCTCTGCAGATTCTCCAGCATGAGGGCCTGTTAATGAGATGCAAGACATTTTATTAGGTGTAAATAGATATCAGTTATTTCCCAGGGTTATTACAGTTGACACTAGTGCCTTTGAACATTAAATATACAGAAATTATACAGGTGTGGAATATTTTTAACCACATAGCTATTGTCTACTTTATGAATTACTCGTTTTCCTTATAAATGCCAATATTTCCATTATTTGCCAACTTGTATGTGTCGTTCTTTTCAGAATGCCATCATCATAGATGGGACCAACTTTTTTTTAAGCCACTCTCTAAATTATTTAAAATGTGGTGAATGCAACTCTTGATACATGGCATAGAGAGAGAAGAGAATAACATTTAAGTGAGTTTCCTGGTCTGAAGCCAACAAGAAACATACGGTTAAATGAAACAAGGCATTGGAGACTCAGTCTATGAGGGAAAGCAAAAAGCAAGCTCTTGTGAAGTGTAATGTTATAATCTCCAACATCTTGAGCAGTGATAAGCAGTAACACATACAACACACGTGACATCCAATATACATAATAATAATAATAATAATAATAAGGTACATCAATTTGAGGTCAGTGGATGCTTCTAGTGCTGGTAGGTCTAATGTATACACAATTGCTGCTTCCATGGCGCAAATCAGGGCAGATATGGTAATGAGAGATGAGAGAGATGGTACTTTATTGATCCCAATTTGGGAAATTGTTGAAATTAATTACCCGGATCCCCCGCTTAAAAGGAAATTAATTCCCCTACTGTAATGGCGCAATGTAAATGTAAACAAACGCGCTCATCCAGGGCCTTTGCAGCTCATGGCTCTGAGATTCATTTGAGAGCAAAACTAATGCACATTTTGGCGGAAAACAGCTACACTTGTCGAATTTAAAACATTGCAAATAACGTTCAATTTACATTAATAGTTAGCCCATTGTTCACTAATAAAACACTTGTGTAACTTCAACCTCCCGGCTAAACTAATGTACAGCAACATTGCATGGGACCGATTCTGTAAACGGTAATATAGCTAACCAGGCCACCGCTCAATCACAGCGTTAGCCAAAGGAGCCAACGAGCTAACAGGACAACATTAACCCGAAAAACACTTTGAAATTAGCCCCTAAGTTGCTTAAACTCCAGGTCTTGCTACGGTTGGTGTAATTATATGCATCGAAACAACTTATCAGCCACAGCAAAGTGCATATAGAAGCGTTTCTCTGAGTGCTGGTCGTTAACCGCGGTAACTCTCCTGCGCTGCTCGGCAGTAGCGATACTCAGCCGTCGGCCCTCGAGAGAACATCAGCCCGTCTCATCGTTAACGTTAGCTCGTAGCAGCCGTGCTCTCGTTTTTCACCGCAGAACTTACCCCTTTGAGTCTTTTAATGAGTGCATTCTTCTGCCCGCTTTTAGAGAGTCCCCTCTCCTCAAGAGCAGCTTTTAAATCCGCAACTCGAAGGGACTGGAGCGGTCTACCGTCCAGCGTAACGTCTTCGAGGTCCGCCATTTTCCGTTCCTCTAGTCAGCGAGAGCAACGAGCAACGCCTTCCTCCACCCAGCGTCACCAGCGACAACTTCCCCCTAATCAAATAAATAAATAAAATATTTCTTGATAGTTAAAGCACAACACACGCATAGTTAATGTCCACTCATGTTGAATGTATTTTATAAATCAAACACAAATCTATAGGTTTTATTTGTATTTCGTTAACAAACTTTGCGCAAAACCTGCGCAAGCTTGATTTCCTGCACACCGATGCTAATGAGCTAACTGCACTCTTCCTGTGTGCATTCGTCAGAAAGATAAGTGCGACTCGTTTATCGTCGCCAAACCTCAAATATGACGACAGTAAGTTAAGTTTGGAAACAGATGGATACTCGCAACCATTTATGTCAAGGGCAATTGCTGGGAAAGGTCTACATTCAGACTCGAACGGCTTAAAAATATAAGCTAAGCTACATGTTAACGTTGCAAAGACCAGGGTAGTCTCTCAAGGGGTATAGCTGGTCAACTCAAAACAGAGTTTTTTTTTTCTCAGACGGAAATAAACTCTCTTTCCAGAGATGTCGTGGTTCAATCACGTCAGTCAAGGCTCAAATCAGCAACAGCAGCCCACTGACAGACTCTCAGCCACAGACATGTTGTGCAGCACCCTTCACTCAAGGCAGAAAGAGGGGTCACCGACCATGGCAGCACAACACTGGACCGGCTTTTCCACTCCCAGCCCAGAGGACTTTCCATCAGCTCCACGGGGAGTAGTCAGCCCTCTCAGCCTTGAGAACATGCTCTGCGCCTCTCACAGCGCAGGTAGGATGAGAGAGCTGGAGCCCATCTCCTATGTGAGCCTCCAGGAGCAGCGGTGTGTCCTGAGTTGGTTCCAGGGCTGGACCCCTCCTCAGAGGGAGCGCTTCATGCAGGACCTCCTGGGGAAAGCTGTACCCGGGAAAGTGTGCACCCTCCTAAATTCACTCAGCACTCTTCAGGTCTGCACTGTCACCTCTTAACAGTGTGTGATGTTATGTGAATAATATGTTCTTAAACTACTCAATTACAGTCCTGAATAGATAGGTGCTGTAAGTAGAAGTACAAGTGTCGTATTAGCAAAATGAACTCCAACTATCACAAGTTAAAGTAGCCTACTCAGTATGCAGAACTGCTCTTTTTACAGTTTTATAGAATATTATTATTCTGTTTTATCACTAACAAATACATGTCATATAGTTGTAACTCTATCATAAGCATATGTTCTTTACGAGGTAGCTAGTAGCTTTAGAGTTACATTTCTTGGAGTGAAATTTAAAAAAAATGAGTTGAAGTATGTGTAGAATACATTTAAATATTAAAGAAAAGTACAAATATGTCAAAATAGTACTTAAATAAAATACCTGAGTACATGTTCTTTGTTATGTTCCACCACTGTTTCGAACATATCCATCTTGGGAGCCATCTGTCATACTGCTACCTCTTTTAAAATGTTCAGCTATTTTGTCGCATTATTATTTTTTTGTACTCTTGCAATTCTTGTAAGCATTTTTTTATTTTAAAATAGTGTATTATTTGATCATTTTGAATTCCTCTAACTTTGTGTTTGGTATGCATGATCATAGACCAAAGCAAACAATAACCCTGATTCTGATTCACATATAACAGCAGATTATTTTTCTTTTATTCACCTACAAGGTTATGGACAGACTACCAAACATCTTTGAGTGCCAGCTGCGCCTGTGGTCCCAGTGGTTCGAGTCTTGGGGAGAAGAGGAAAGGAATCATTTCCTGCACATTCTGGAAGAGCGGGACCCAGTTTTTGTTGCCCACTTTTACAGGAGCGTAGCCGGTACAGCAGGAAGAGATTGACCAATGTGATGGGAAAGCTAACAAAATGTGTGGGGAACGTGTGTTAGGTTAGGATAGTTTTCTTACAATAAATGTTTTTGTTACTGTGAACGGATGTAACGTTGAAGGCAAACCATTTTGTTGTAAACACAGAAGTTTTCTTTTAATTTAAGCTGTTATTATTTAGTTTCCTTCATCAGTTTGGGCTACATCCAATGTTACACCACTTTTTTCTTTTTATAAATCAAGTTCAAAACTTTTTTTGCTTCAACCCTGTATAATGAGTAGAGCTCTGCCATTTAGGGACCCAATAGAGTGGTGCAGTGACGATGTATTTTTATAGGCTGACCCGGAAGTTAGCATTGCAAGGGCTCACTCTAAAATAAGCAATGGGATTTTTCCACTGGATTTGGAATATTGCTAAACAAATGTAATCTTTGGCCAACACGTTTATGATACTTCCACGTGTTGTTCAGCAGGATAATCTCCACATATTAACACCACTTTTATGATTTTTGAAGCGTAAATGCAATCACCAGAAGCAAAAAGCTATCGTTAGGGCTATAAACAAACCACATCACTGTCAGAGGACTTCACGTAACCATCGCTAAGCTTCCGTGTTCGGCATGATAACGTTTATTGCTAATGAGACTCTCTCCTGCACTACTCTATGGTGTTCACTTGGTTGAAACATAGTTACGCTTACAAGCTTACTATCTTTGTACAGGGCCTGCTGATTGAAAGACCTTGAATTACATGGACAAGGGCACACATGCTTTTTGAATATAGAAACAATAAACAAAATCCATTTTATTGTCTGAAACATTCTGCAGCATGTAAGTATGTCTGAAGGTGCAGGGATATTTTTTTACAACATACTGAAATACATAGCTGAGATTTGAAACAATGGACAAACAAACCTTGCCCTGTTCTCTATTTGATCCAGTCTACTGATCCAGGAGAGCTTATCACTATAGGTGTCTGACCTTCAACTTCCTCAACACAAAAATTGATAAATGGATAGATTTTGTCCGTATAGCTTTGCTGCACAAAGGAGTACAAGTGAGATCTGGCGCCAGCGTCGTAAAACGAGATCTGGCCCTTTTTATAGTCCAGCAGAATCCCCAATCTAAGAGGTTGCGTCTCAAGTGGAATAATAGCATGTCTTCTTTCAACAGCTTTAAACTAATCCTGTTTGTCGAGGACTACAGTCCCGAAACCTTTTGTCGGACTGAAAATGATCGTTCCTCTTCTTTGGGCAGATTCACTGGCCATACCGAGGTGGTAACAAAGCTTTCCGGCTACAGACACCTCCCAGTAATGTCTGCCAGAAGAGAAGCCGACCATGCCCAGGACAGCGAGAGCGATATTAAATCTGCCCGGGTGGTCAGGGACATTTTGTATATGCTCAGTAGTGGACATCTCTGAGTTATCTGCCGACAGCAATATTCGCGGGTTGGCTGTGTTTGGATCCAAGGTCGACTTCGCTGTAAAACGGAAGAAAAATGTAGTCTATCATATGTAACTTAACATGAATTGAAAGTGATTAGAAGTACACCAGTGATATTGTTTTAGATAAAAATGTCCAAATAATCCTCAGGCTGACAGCTTCAAAGAAATGAAATAAAGTCTTGTGTGTGACTCACTGGCATAGATCGTCTTATCATCCACATCACTCAGTTTGTTTTGAAGATCTGAGGAGAAGAACAGCACGTTTTTTTCTCCAATAAGGGGTATTGATTGACAGTATTCTCTGCACTGTGGAAAATAACTAATAGTTACCTTGTACAATATCTTCAAGATTGTTCTTCTCATTTTGCAGATCTAGCATTGAGACAAAAAAAGACAGCAACATGATATCAATAATCAAAAGAGCAATATGTAATTATCTCTATTTCACTGAATGAATCCAATTAATTCCAGACGGTTGAACACACTGCTAGGCGCCCTGCAGCTTGTTTTTCTCCCTCCTCATTTCTTCTAACTCCTGCTGCAGCGTTTTATGGTTGGCGTCCTTTTCATGCAACTGCCGCTGCAGACGATCTGCGTCCTCCTGGCTCTGTTGCAGTTGCCTTTGTAAATCTGTTTGATTAAATATTCGGTTAAAAAAAGCTACTTCAAAACACTGGAACACTAGCATAATAGTGAAAATGAAGTCATACTGAGGATCTCACCGTCACACTGGAGGTTGACATCATTACTGCAGCTCGTTTTCAGTTCTTGGACCTCTTGCTTTAAGTCTGATAGAGGAAGGAGTTTGAAACACTCAATCTTTTAAACACCAAGTGTCAAGGTTACATTTTAAAGGTCCCCTATTACACTGTTTTTCATCAATATATTATAGGTCTCAGCAGGGGCGGATCTAGACAAATATTCATGGGGTGGCAAGAGGGTGGCAGGAGATTTTGAGGGGTGGCATCCCCTGGCAGAAGTATATGCTGATTTAATTGCAGTCATATCAATCAATGTTAACTTGGAAAGCCACAATATTAATATGTTAACTCAATAAAATTAGGTGAAATTATTGTGGCACATCAGTAAAGCCTTAAATAGAAATATATAAGGTGGCAGACGTAATTTAATGAATTTTAACTGAATGAGTTTGTTTCACTCTTAGACCAGCAGGGGTACCATCTATGCAGACTGCTGCAATAAGTACATGAATTAACTGTCTCATCGATGTTTGTCTGTATGAATATGAAAATATTAACAATCATATTATTCCTATCAGCTGTCAATCACTGTTATGATTCACATATTCATTTATTATTGAATAAACTATATTTTTTGGAGAAGTTAATGATGAATGTTCCTCAAGATGCTTGCTCACCCTCCTTCAAATTTGAAGTAGCCGGGCCGGCTAAAATAATTGGTTGTGCTTTTTACAGCGCTACGGCTTCCACAGATGAATTTTTTAATGTATTTATTGTCAAAGCATTTAATATATTCATTGCTATCGGGATGTTAAGAGCATTCCATGGAATATAACAAAAAGTGTTTCTGAAATATATTACATACCCCACCTTTAATATGTTTATTAGAAGCAGCATAGTTTGAGTTTGGCATCGGCTCGGGCCTCATCATCATGATTAGACAACTATCCCCCGAGCCTACAGGCAGAAGCTGGGGTGGAAGCTGGGGTGGTGGTGGGGCAGGCGAGCAGTAGCAACATGATACACAGCAGCAGGAATATGAAAGCAGCAATAGCAAGTGAACACAGCAGTGGCAGCATCAGCACAGCGAGGCAGAGGCAGGAAGACCTGGCAGCTTAAATAGAGAGGCATGTTTAGGAGAATGTGTTTGGTTGGTTGTAAGACGGACGAGGTGCGTCACGTGTTAATGTATCATTGGTGCTTGAGTTGACTGCCTGAACTAGCTCGCAGGCTTCGCCCCATTAATGTAACATATATCTATGTTTTCTTTACTTTATAATCACCTGAAAGCGTGAATCTTTGTGTGTTTGTTGGCTAAGAATGAGCACTTCATATCTTCACGTTGTGGGCAATTTTGCAACGCCATGTTTTTTCAGTAGCCCCGAAAGCTCTGGAGAAGGCCGCTAGCTTATTTTACGTTACTTGAAGGTCACAAAAGCTATCTGATGCGCTTGTAAAGGGAGGGTTGAGGGGAGGGGTGTTTACTTGGTTGCAATCTGCTACCTCACCTCTAGATGCCACTAGATTACTAGATTAAAAGGAATGTTTTCTCACTTTCACGCCTAAAGACAGATAATTAATTTAACCCACTATAATTTCTGCATGGTAAATATGCAGCTAAATTAAGAAGTTGCTTGCCTTAGCACAGGGCCGTATTCACAATATTGGGGGACACACACCCCCCCCAATATTCAGATACACTCAAAATGTCCCCCCCAATAAATAGCACAAAAAAAAAAAAGTTTTTCTTTTTTTATTAAAATAAAATTGCTATTCTATGACTTCTTTATTTTGGTTATTTGTATACTTGAAAATCTATATTTTCTGTTATTGTGAACTTCACCAAAATGATATTTCTTTTCATATGTAAATTGGTTCCTTATTTTGTACCCGGGGGTGTATTTCGCTGTTGCACGTCTGAGTCCACCTTCAGTTAGCTTGATGCTCCAAGCAGGTCAGTCATGTTTTAATTTGCCCTCCATCAGTTCTGGTATCTTTTCTAGTTAGCCCTAAAGTAATCTATACTATTTTATTTCGTAATGGTAATGTTAATGAACCCTCCGGTTTAGCTTCTTTGTGTAAGTAACTTGTAGTTCTGATGTTAAAACCGAACTCTTCAGGAATAGTAGCTAACTAGCTGTGGGCTAGCTGGTTTCAGTTGTTAGCCAGGGTTTGGCGGGCTAGTGTCAGCTATGTGGAAAATGACGGTGTCGTTTTGGATGTAATCCAATAGATATTTATTCATGTGGATTATTTCTATTTTATTTTGTAATTTGTAGGGTGTGGAAAGATTTAAAACTGTGATGTGTGACATCTATGGAATATCAAAGGTGCCAGAATTAATTAAATAATAAATACTCTACAATTATTATGAAATAGTATTTCATAATCGTCAGAAGCATTTAAAAGATACTCACACGCAGGAGGTTTGCAGTGTGCATCATAGCTTGTGCTGGGTTTAGAATGCTCAGAATTGCTAATAAACATGTTTAATTATCTTATATCCAGCGCTGCTGACCCGTATTCATCACATCAGCAACTGCAGATCGCCGAGGTCAAGCTGTAAGCATGAGCAAGAGGAAGGGTGGGAGTGACATTAGACAGTTTTTTGGGCAGCCTCAGAAAAGAAAAAAAGTAAGTTAAGAGCAGTGAGAAAGTGAGTATTGTTACCAGTCAGATAGCTTGTTTACTGATAATATTTCTTCCATGTTCACTCTGGTGTGTTCAGAGTAAAGAGAGAGAGAGGGAGAGAGAGAATGTGAGCATGGCGACCAGACAGGGAGAGTGTGCGCTGGTGACATGGAGGTAAGTCAGAAAGGAGCTATATTGATGGTTAAGACAGAATAATGACAACATAGCAGTCTAATGTTAATGTTAATTTAAGATGAGATCATCCTCATATGTATTTCAGATAATACCATCAAGCAGGGAGAGTGAGTTTGACAATGAGAGAGAGAGCAGCAAGGCAGGCGAAAATGAAGGTACAGGAAAGGAAGGGGAGGAGCTTGGACTTTGCCCAAATCATCCAAATGTGAAAGTCATACCCAGTCAAACCCTATCAAATAGAATACTCTACTTTCAGGAGAAGTGGTTTGAAGATCATACATGGCTCCATTACAGCCCCTCTGTAAAAGGGGTCCTCTGTTTCTATTGTGCTAAATACTTTGCAGCACAAAAGTCTAAGCTTGCGTCAAAAGCAGATTCAGCGTTTGTCAAGACTGGTTTTAACAATTGGAAGATGGCACTGGAGAAATGTTGTGTGCATAAACACAGCCAGTGTCACAAATTAGCTGTGATGACTAGGATTCAGGAGCCAGAGCCTGTTAATGTGCAACTTTCACGTGAGCTTGAAAGACGGCAGCAACAAGCAAGAAGAAATCTGATGAAGATTGTCGAGGGTGTGAGGTACTTGGCGCGGCAAGGTTTTTGAGGTGATCAGAAGGAGAGTGGGAATTTAAGCCAGCTTCTAAAGTACAAGGCAACGGGCGATGCAGAGCTGACCTCCTGGCTAAAAGGTGCCCTCGATTTCACCAGTCCGGAATTGCAGAACGAACTGTTGAAGGTGATGGCCAATACAATCATCAAAGAAATTGTGTCGGAAATAACATCAATGCCAGTGGTCCAGTTCGCAATTATCATTGATGGCACCCAAGATATATCAGGAGTTGAGCAGGAGTCAATATGTGTGCGCTCTGTAGATGCAGATCTACAACCAAAGGAAGAATTCCTGGGAATCTACCAAGTGTCATCAACAACAGGGCAAAATATAGCCAAGATGGCATGTGATGTGATGACGCGCCTACAGCTTCCTCTGTCTCAACTCCGAGGACAAACTTATGATGGCTGGACGATTGCAGGGAGTACAAGCCATTTTAAGGAAAGAACAACCGCTGGCTGTGTATTGTCACTGTGGTCCCCACTGCGTGAACTTAATTACGCAGGCTGCCTGTGGAGCCTCTCCACTAGTAAGAGATGCAATGGGTCTGGTCCATGAATTGGGGGGCTTCTTTAAGGTGTTATTACTGAGAAATGTCAAACAAATTCAAAACCTTACATTTGAAAACAGGTTTGCATTCCTCCACTTAAGGTGACGTTATCATTAGAAACAATAAAAACGAACTGTTTTGATGTAGAATCTATAAATTGAATCGTTAGAGCAGAACAGAATGGTTGTATTGTAACCTGAGTTTCGTGCAGCCTCTAGTGTCACCAGGTGGAAACATGGTCCATATAATGTGAATACATGCAGAAGTAGACAGTAAGAGGCCCCTGACATTAGGCCTATACTAAAAATAGTAGGGGCTTTTAACAGCTTGCCAACTTACAGGCATCCTCTGCATAGCAGTATGAATAGCCTTAAAAAACAAACAACCCACTCTGTGGTAACAAGAGTCATATTTCTGACCCATATGCCCTAAGTGAAGCCGTTAGTCTCATCTGACTGACCCCAGGGTTGGTGCTGGTGTGACAATGAGGCTTCCAAGTGTTCAAAGCAGATGTCAAGCTTTCAGTTCATGGCTCGGTGGGGGGGGGAGCAGACCCATGTGAGACAGTATCAACGGCTGTAAAGTCCAGTTTGAGGAGCGTCATTCTCTCTGGGAGCATGAAATGGTGCCCATTCTCGGACCAGACCATTAGGCCATAGACAAAATGGAACCACGTACAACAAAAGGACACAGGGTCATCAATGTCTCTCTTTACCATTGGCCTAATCATAAAACAAATTAGTGGGAAAAATGTGGAACACTAATCCATCATGTGAAATGTAGAGTTAATTTAAATAATTACTTATGGGTTGAAATCAAATTAACATTAACATTAGAACTAAAGTCAGTTAAAATTGGACATGCACGGATCAGAATCTAATCAATACACCATTTTCCCAGCTCTGTGATGAAAAGGATAACAAGCAGGGATGCAAACTTGTCACCTTTCGGCGAAATTTGCCGTTTTGAATCCAAAATAGGTCGTTTGTGTGATTCATGTAGATCTGCAATAAAAATATTATTGGGGTAGGGGGGGGGGGGGGGGGGGCGTCTGGAACCGGAGTAATCTGCAGCCGCGTGCTGTTATGTGCCATCATGACACGCATGGTGTTCTCTTTTTTTGTTATATTATAATGAATGCTCGAGTCTTCCTGCCCGTCGGCTCTGCTTTTGGATGTATAATAAGGCTCTGCTTTTCCGCTAAGATTGTCTAGCTTCAGCAGCTATATTACCTACGGATGCGTTCGTTAATATTAACTGTGTGGTCCGGAGTGACTGTGGCACAGACTGGACCGCTGGTGAACAGCTGTTAGAACGGGGCGTTCAGGTGTTCAGAGCAGAGCTCCCTGTCGGAGCGGCAAAGCGTGAAGTGAACTGAAATTTTTTTCTGGCTAACGTTAGCTTTAGTACTCAGATCTTGTTCTTGAGTAAAAGTAGAAGTACCAGAGTGTAGGAATACTATGTTACAGTGAAAGTACTGCATTCAAAATGTTACTCAAGTGAAAGTAGAAAAGTATTCTCATCAAAATATAGTGGAAATAGCGACAGTAAAAGTAGTCGTTGTGCAGATTGGTCCATTTCAGAATAATATATATGATGTGTTTTATAATGATTGATCATGAGAGTGTTCTCAAAGCTGGTGAAGGTGCAGCTAGTTCGAATGACTTTGTATACTGCAGGGTAGCTGGTGGATTTACTCCAGGTGGAACTAAAGTCTGGTTTAACACTTGATTATATTTCACATCATTCATCCAGATCTGTAAAGTAACTAAAAGGTATTACATACATGTAGTGGAGTAGAAGTACACCATGTACCTCTGAACTGTAGTGGAGTAGAAGAACAAAGTAGCAAAGCATTTAAATACTTAAATAAAGTACAAGTATCTCAAAATTGTGCCCAAGTATAGTACTTGTTGAGTTTATGAACTTAGTTACTTAACACCAGTGGCTATACAGATAGAAAGACTAAGCCTTGCAGAGGCATGAAAATGCATTTTCAAAATGCTCAACAGTGCTGCCAAAATTATAAACTGACTGCTACACAATTAAAATAAATTTAGATTTAGATATTAGATGTGACCCAGGGAAAACAACATCTATCTTGGAACTGCAATTACTTATCTTAAAGAGATTGCAACATTATACTCCTTTAAAAATTGCTCAATTCATTTAAACACATTTATTATGTACACAATAAAAACCTCAACAAATATATTGATCCTGGCTTAACCAGCTACCTTTACTCTATTGTTCATAAGCTCAGTAGTTTAACAACTATTAGAATTGTAGTAATGTCTGTAGACCAATTGTACTATAAATAATTTGAAACAGTTTAATAAAGAATGTTAAACTATATTTAAAACTGTAATTGAACTTCAACTTATATCAATTATCCAATTCCAGTGGCCAGTTGGAATAGACAATCAACAAAGTTTTCATTTTGCAGCAACAGCGCAAAAGGTTTCAATCACAATTATGTCTGAGTCTAGTTCTGTCTTATCTGCTTTGTTTCGGAATGTGTTCAATACATTACGTTTTTTTTAATTCATTATTATCATACAATACATAGATTAAGAATAAATGAAACAAATAATACAACATTGACCTATTTGAGCAGACAGATTTTTTTTGCAACCCTGATTTCCTCAGGCCGGTATTTATGACCAGCAATGATGCCTCTGAGGGTGCAGACAGATGCAGGACATAAAAACACTCTTTTGCTATTTATTTTTCCTTTTGTAGCACATTTATACTACAATGTATAATTTTTCTTTATATCTTTACATTATTTATTTTTCTCAAGTCATTTACTTTTGGTGAGATAACTAAAGTTTAGTTCATTTTACCCTGGCTATGGACTGATTCATTATTAGTTGTTACAAAGCATACACAAGACGGCGGGTAGGCAAACCAATATAGAAACAATTAGACAAACAAACATGAACTCGCAACAAACACCAGCGTGACAGCAGAGTTCATTCAGCTCAATTTAGTCCGAATTAGGTTTCAGAGGAGGTAGGGAATTATAGAAATGGAGCACCTACTCACGCATCCACCCTTGTACAAGTGCTAAGATCGTGCCTGAAGACCGTCCAAAAGCGATAACTAGCTTATCCTCTTGCGACACCACTAGTTAGTGGCGCTATGATCCCCCGACCAGGAGAACATAGACTTTTTTTCTCTACCCTTTCTCTCCAAAAACAGCACAGTTAATTGTAGTTCTACACGACCAGCCTATACACCCGCCATCGAGTTCATCACAACGGTGAAACACAGCTTCTGTTCCACACTTGCTTGCCACTGCCCACCTGTGATCAATTAGCCTATAATTTTTATGTATGCACCCCGGACCACCACCAGCTGGTCCAGCAACGTAGGCAACACTTCCAAGCAACGTAGGAAATGTTCCTCCAGCAGAGTAGAGAGCTGTGGCGCATCAGGTGATGCACGCACCTCGTGCTGCCCCAGCCTTACCAGCAATGCAGAAGACGGTCACAAACCACGAGTGCTTTTAGACCATCCCGTTTTTAATAGAGATGGCGGTGGTGTGAGTTAAAGATATAGACAGAAACTGTGACTTTCTTCCTCTCAGCTGCACGGCTGCAGCCACCCAGACACGGGGGATGTTTACACACACACCCGTGGCTGCTGCTGGAGCCGTGCTCACAGAGGCAATGGGGGGAATATCTCTGGCTGCTTATTTTTAACTGCTGTTTTGGCCGCTGAAACCCCAGAATTCGGCGATTTGTTCAATACAAATCTTTACATTGCTTACATACAGAAGCTCCACTTTACTGATGTATTTCTTTAAGGTTACTCTGAACATAAGCTGTGCATGCTTGTATGGTAATTTCGTCCCAAGCAGCATGCACAGAGGCAATCAGCCAAATGTTCATCAACCAAAAATGAAACAAAACCGCTCAGTTTCACAGGTAATTTTAGGATACCGTCAATCACAGATTCTGGTAAGGCAATGTCCAAATGTGGATTTGAAATTACACTTACCAGTTCTGAAGATGTATTGGTATCCTGCCGACAACGCCAATTTGTAAGGGAAACTTCTGTAGCAATGGAGAGTCAGGACTCAGAGAGACACGGGACGAGCAGGAGTTCTGATGTCAAACACTGGCAGTTTATTACACGCATCGGCCGGAGAATTCATATCACAAATCACAGCAGCAGAAAGTTCTGACTGCACCGGTGGGTTGCCATGTCAATTCTGAATCCCTTCTCATCTTGGCAGACCTTTAATTAGCTTCACTCAGAGTCAACCCCCATATTGGGGAAAGCATCTGTGAACACCTGGGGGGCACTGAATCACTTTATCTGACTCTATGGCTCTTGTGACCGAGAGTTGACCGGTCATAAAACTCATAATGTCAGCAATAGCTGACAGTTCCCATTCCTTAAGACAGATAACAGACTTCGGCTTCGTCGTAAAACGTCAACAGACCGAAAGGTCAAATATCTTAGGAGTAAGGAGAATTATTCTTTGACACTTAGGAGTAAAGACAAAATTAATCCCTCACACAATACACATTCTGTTTGGGGCTTCTGAGAGATGGCGTCGTTAGCTTAATCAATTAAAGGTCTTTGAATTCAAATATTTGATCTTGCAGGGCTGGAGAGAGAGCTGCTGGTGAAGACCCATGCACTGAACGTAAAGAAGCCACGCAAACTCTGCACTTAGTGAGCACCATCTTTTTTCTTTTTTGTTAACAATGCATTTGTGGAACAGCTGTGTGAAGGGATGAAGTTTCAAGACGTTGATCTATTTTGATGTTCACAGACTTTATATATAAACATGGTTGTAAATGGTTCTGATTTTACTTTTTCTGTGTGTGTGTGTGTGTGTGTGTGTGTGTGTGTGTGTGTGTGTGTGTCTCATTGCAAAATCAGATCTGGAATCTGGAATGGGCAGAATCAGGAAGAGACAGTACTCTTCAGCCTGACAGGGGAATTCTGGGTAAATTGATGCAGACTTGACTGAAATATTTTCATTGTTAAATTGAGAATTTCAAAAGAATGACGGGATATGAACGTTTTGAATTGAGTTTGAATGATATAAATATATACAGCCACTGTGAACATAATATCTAAAGTCAAGAAAAAGGTTATGTAGGAAAATTTCAGGCCGATGGTTGTAAGCAGTATGATTATGAAACAGGTTAACCAATGGAAACATATTTGGAAAAAAACCTTTCTTAGAACATACAACTTTTTATTAATTGACTCTTTTTGCCCATGTAGTAAATACAATTTTGTCATTCAGTATAAATAAAAAAAACCTATTTTTTATAATAATTAATGATATAATAAATAATAACTATACTAATTAGTATAAAATAAATTGAAAATAATAATCACATTAAGTAATATAATATTTGTTGTCCATAATGTGTTCTACTTAGAGGATTTTGAGTTGTGGAAAAAGCATCCTGGGGACATACACTGAAGAAATTGAACAGTGACTTTAATTAAATGTATTATGTCAACAGGTTCCACATAATTGTATTATAATAATCTCACTTTAACATCATGTCACCTTATTTTTCCTTCGTTTTTTGTTGTTTACTTCATCAGCTCTACAAGAACAGCTGGACAGGAAGATCATTGAGCTGCGAGGCAAAGGAGATGCTCACTCCACCAGTTCGTAAATCGCTCCATATCGGTCAATATTTTCTTTGTAATAGAATTTGAAAAGCTTCTGGATAAAACGTTTCCTCTGTTTGTCTTCCAGTGCTGGAGCTGATCTCTGTGAACAGTAAGATCACAGTGATGCAGAGGCGTATCACCGTCCACAGCCAGGTAATCAGGACTCAGGCTGCTGGTGAGTCCTTATTTTGTGTCTGATGTTTCTCCCCTCTACTTTAATTTAATGTATTATGTCAACAAATTTCACATGACTGTATTAGACTAATATTAGGTTCAACTTAATATTACTGCTCTCAGCTAACCTAATACAGTTATGTGAAATCTGTTGACATAATACATTTAATTAAAGTCAAGGATTAATTGTTTTCATTTAAATCTTGATGCATTATACCAGTGGTCCCCATATTGTGTCTCATGTATGAAAATGTATGAATGTATGTATGAAAATCACTTGTATAACTCACCCTCAATACAAATGCATTAAAACTTGGCCTGAACTAGCTCGCAGGCTTTGCCCCATTACTTGGTGGGGTGCAGGCAGCAACCTCCGAGGCCGATAAATGAAGCCAGCGTGGAACTGCCAAAAACTGCAATTCCTTAAATGGCAATTCCTAAAATGAGTTAATCCTCCATGGAGCACCATTTTAAAATGCCAGACTTGACACAAAAAATAAAAATGTTTAAAGCTAATTTTCCCATTCCTGACAACTGCTTTTTGTCTTTGATCATATAAAGGTGTGCCTTGGAAATACTTGTTTTGCATCAATCTTGATACAGGGTACTTATTATATGTTATAGTTTGGATTCCTAAAGCTTTTAGTCTACTAACCCATCATTCAAGGGTGGTTTTCACAATAAGTAATGGTTTATTTTTTGCACGGACACTATCATTTACATTTTTTTACTATGTTCAATCTGAATTTACTTTAAAAACATCTATATTGATTCTGACTTTTTATACATCCAACTCACAGGTTTATCATTACTTTGAGAAAAAAGATTATTCATTTAACCATTTTTAGAAGTGAAGATATAGTCAATTGTTCTGGGAATGTCATTTTCAAACCTGAGACCTGAAAAACAGGCTTGGGGCTTAACTGGTTAAAATGTTTTACCATAATGTCTAATTGTGCATTGTATTACATCACCCTATTTTATCCAGTTTAGCTTTTCTTGTTTTGTTGTTTGTAATGGCAGAGATTAGGGATGAATAAAGTACAACTATAACCATAATCACATTAAAGCATTTCAATCCATAGAAAGGTCTGTGCCACGCAATTTCAGTAGAAACAGGAACACTTTATTGCCCTTTTGTTTTACAGCCACGACTCGCACTAGCTGCTTGCCGCTCATTCAAAATCAAAAAGACCCCCAACTTCAATGAGGTGAAAGTTGAACCATGCTCTGATTTTGCGATATTCTGGAACATCAACTTGAACTTGCCAGATTGATTAAGACGCCCACTATCATTCATGCTATGCATTCAGTGGTAACTCAGATGTTAAGGGGGTTGAAGCTTTTCCTCCCAAATCAGCTATGCTTTGTGTTTTCAACAACGGTGTGCATTTCCTGCATAATATATGTTTCTCACAATTGTTTTTTGTTAGCTGCGCACAGGTGATACTGAGTCTTCTTGAATGGATTATGACCTATACCATGCTTACATGGACTTGTATGTTTTATTTCATATCTAACAGAAGTAAGAGAGAAAGAGATGGGGAAGTAAGAGAGAAAGAGATGGGTAAGTGAACATATACAAAAATGGGGGAAGTGAGGAAAGAGGGAGATGAGGATGAGAGGGAGATGAGGAAGAGAGAGGATGAGAAAGAGAGACTAGACAGAGATGGGGAAGTGAGGAACGCGGGAGATGAGGATGAGAGGGGAGCTGACGGAAGCGAGAGGGATGAGAAAGAGAAAAGAGAGAGATGTGGAAGAGAGGGATAGGAAAGAGAGAAGAGATATTTGCGAGTTGCATACTGATACTGAGTCTTCTCGATTAATAGCTTACATAGACAATACCATGCTTAAATAGACTCCCAAGTTATTTAATTTAATATGTGACAGATGTAAGAAAAGGGAGGGGAGAGTAAATATATTGAGTAATTGATTTCATATTGGAACATTCATTTCTCAAACCTATGTTTTATGGAGAGGAATGTACTTCTGATAAACTAATCTTTTATCAAACGGGTAAAAGGTGAATTAATATAACATTTAGAATCATTGAGAAAGGGTTTATATCCACAGGACTAGCTCACATTAGGGCTGACGATATACCGTGTCATGGCGATAACCGCGGTATGCGCATGCGCGGTATTCACACCGCAGGGACGTGCGGTTTTATTCATTTTTAAAAAAAAATGCTAACGCACTTTAGCACATAATTCAAAAATAAAGATACCCTTATTACTTATCGAAACTGCACATACAATATATCCGATTAAAGCTGAGACTCCACGGATTATTTAAGTATAGTATCTAAGCGATCCGATCTCGCAACAGGGGAAGCAAACACAGACATCACAACACGTACCTTTTACGGAGCTTTTACGGGAGATCGTCTCACCGTAGCTGTCAATCTGATCAAAAGACGTGTTCAATGGCATTAAAACGAGAAAGAAAAAACGCGGCTGAATCGGTTGATCCATAGGTTGATAATGTATCTGTGGCTTTGAAGCAATTGTTTATAATCCATAATTCCATGTTTATGTAAAAATCGGATCACAAAAGTTAGCTGCTAATGGTAGCCACCTTGGTGGTATTCAGCTTCCGGTTTTGGCTACTCGTCGTCACTCTCACTCCTTATTTATATTTATATATACATATATTTATATATTTATATTCCTTATGTGTTGGTGTGTGTAGAACTTCCCCTGATATTTGACCTTTTTAGACAGATTTAGCACCAAAAAAAACCTCTTTTGGGGCCATTTGGGTGGATTTTCCATATCTCTGGTCCACCTTGCTGGATTTTGACATGTGACATCTCTTTCTGGAAATCACACAGTCCTTATTTGGTAATGTGTGTGTGAGAGACTTCCGCATAGCCAAGACCGGAAGCAGCAGCCACTCTGGTGGCTACCATTAGCAGCTAACTTTTGCTCTGAGATATTTACATACAAATGGAATTATGGATTATAAATTAAATCATTTTTTTATACAGAGACGTTAAAAACCTATGGATTAACCGATTCAGCCGCGTTTTTTCTTTCTCGTTTTAATGCCATTGAACACGTATTTTGATCAGATTGACAGCTACGGTGAGACATCTCCCCTCGAAGCTACGTAAAGGTACGTGTTGTGATGTCTGTGTTAGCTTCCCCTGTCCGAGTTCAGATCACTCAGTGATGATACTATATACCTAAATAATCGGTGGAACCTCAGCTTTAATCGGATATCTTGTAAGTGCAGCTACGATAAGTAATAATAAGGGTACTTTTATCTTGAGTTCTGTGCCAAAGTGCGTTAGCATTTTTCGCTCAGGGGTCATTTAGATCCTTCTTATGAGACTTGTGTTTTGTTTTGGTATAAAATGGTTTGTATCGTCAGTTAGCTGAGATTATTTCCGTTAATCTGGTATAACACATTAATAGGTTCTTAAATATTACGATCCCCTGAGACACTGTCGTGAAAAAAAAGTAAAGTACCCGCCGGGACTTTGGGGTTTAACAGGTTAAAAAAAACGCAATATATACCGCAGGGGGGGAAAAAAACCGCGATGTCAGTTTTTTTCAATACCGTGCAGCCCTAGCTCACATTTAACTTAAAATAACATTTCTCTGCTTTGGACTGAAGAGTATATGATTATTGCATGTTAAATGACTAACACAAACCTTACATTTATGCATGTGCATGTGTCAGGAAGGCTCCCAAATAATTCTGAGGGGCCTATCCTATTTTTGTAATTGAATGATAATGTGCTAATCCATTACTTTGAGTTGTCTGCACTCAGGAAAACATCCCTATCAAGTGTTAACCCAATAACTAGGACAGCTCTGAAGGCCAAGGGTCAGAGAGAGAGGGTCACACTCTCCGGCTGCAGAGAGCACCCCAGCCACGGGCAAGAAGGCACAAGGTCATTCGAGATGAGAGGATTATAATCTTCAACTTTCTGATGAGATGGGATGCTTCTTCATCTTTCTGCTCGGGGGGGGCCCAAACAGACAACTCTGCAGGACGAGCGATGGCTTCAGAGGCTTCATACAAGGTTCCATGTTTCTTGGAGGAGCAGATGTCTTCCTAACCTCTCCCATCACGGGGGGAGACATGGATGTGCCACTTGGAATAGGCACAGCTCTCAAGCAGATAGAAGAAGGAATACAGGCAGATGAGCCTCCATTTCACTGGGGGACCATACAGTGTTCACTGAATGAGCCACAAAAGCAGAGCAATTGGGGGGGTGAAATATGGCGCTCTGATGAAGAAGAGTTTTGAGCCAGTCAGCACCTCCGTGCTAATCTACAGTATAGGATGCCTTTACACACCAGACATTCTGTGTCATAAAGAGAGGAGGAGAACGAGTCAGGAGGACAGGTTCTTCCAGCTCTTGTACAAAGATAAAATTTGAATTGAATGACCAGATGTTTACAGATGTACAATTAATGATTGTTCTTATATTTCCGATGAACAGACATGTGTTAAATAGTGGTGATAAATACATTTTGTCAGATCAGATTACACTTTCACACTAAACAAATTAATTAATTGATATATTCAGATTATAAAGGTATTGAACAATAAGATATTTCTAATATTATAACAGATAATGTTAATATCCTTAATTGTCCAGCAATCAGGTTTAACAACACTACTCTTCAACGTATTACCCATGCACAGAAAGACCTACAATGATGTTTCAAGTTTTAAACATTTAAACCTTCCTTTCCAGGTTTTACAAAAGTCTTTGAATATTTGCCTAACTTTTCCTTTTCAGATTGTTAAACATTTTGAGAATTGTTTAGTTCTCCCTTCAGATTTTGAAATGACATAATGATTGATAGTTGAAGTAATGTAATTATGTTATCATGCCATAGTCTTTTGATTTAATATGTAATGAAGTAAACGTAAAGTAATCCTGAATTGAGGACAATGTAATTTTGCAGATTACGAATTGATCAAATCACCACTGTGAATTTTATACCTTAACTGTGATTTTATACTTCACCTGGATCTCTTATGATCCTATGTTTTAAATGCATTTGACTAGTGATTGCCTTAAACTAAATTGCAGGTTCAAATTAAAGTGAAACTGCTGGGGCCAATTTTGAATATTTCAAGATCATATTGATATTGGAGTTTATTATGGACAGAAAAGAGAGAGTATGGTGCCAAATTGTAGAGACTTTGCCCGGAGATGTAAAACAAAGCAACACTAACCCCTGATGTCAGCAGTTTCAGTCGCATTAGCAGCATGTTGAACTTTCTCATTCACTGTATCCATCTCTCTGGTGAGTGCAATGGTTTTCAGGACTAGAAGAAAAGCATTCATATTAGATAAACTCATTGCAATGTGAAAAAAAAGACACGAAAAGTGTGACAAAACAAAAACAATTGGTTTAAATCCAAAAACCTACTCAGAAATGTATCATTGTCAGATGTTTTCAGAAGCTGTTTCAGTTGGTTGAGTAACTGGGTTTGATAGGCTGTCCAAGAAATACATATGCAGTTAGTTATTGTCCTTCCATGTGTATCATCTGAATGTATTTAGTTTACAATCAAAAGTTTACAGCCAGTAATAGCTGAAGCTGTGGAGCTGCATGTGGAAAGCTGCAGTTTCAGCGC